TCAATTAGAGGAGGGCACGCGATGCAGCGTTGCGGTTAGGACAAAGGCGTGCACAGTCGCCACATTACAATTGCCATGAAGGGCACACGGGGAAGAGGCTGCGCATCGGTGGAGAGAAGGTGGTGGGGACAGGGCCCTGGGGTGGGCACTGCCCCACAACGTGTCCCTTGTCCCACTCGAGTTCATCCACTCCATAGCACGATACCACTGTTGTTAGGGTGGCCCTCCCCCCAAAGACAAAGATCCCCCGTGTAGTCTTAACAAACTGCTGGGGCAAGTGCGGTTCACGAGTATCACCCATGAAGGCCGGCACGGCATACAATGAGGTTGGTGGCCAACACCACACCTGGACGCCTTTTTCTCCCCGGTGGCGATGTTTATACACCGCATCGGGTACTCATTTGAGGCTGAATCCACCCAGGGGGAGGCCCAGAACCGATTCAGATAATCGTCACTGGCGTTGTTGGCCGTGAGCGGGAATCGAACTCAGATTTGGGGGGGGGGGGGGGGGGGGAGACAGCTCTACTGGGCCCATCGCAATCTGAGTAGCACTTGAGGCCCCGTAATGGGACGCAGGGCGCTGGGTCACTGCGGGCCGGCCCAGCGGTGCTGGTCACGTGCCGGGGAGAGAGCAGCCCCAGAAATGGAGGAGGCAGCTGACGAAGCGAGCCGCTCTTCTGGGCACGTGCGCCGTGTGGCCATCGAGCGCTTCACGCTGTCAGCAGTGCAATCGAGTATCTGAATTGAATCAGTTTAATACGTCGTAGGCTTTCGCGACCGATATTATCCACAATGAAGTTGTTCTTGTTGGGTTAGAGCGCATAAATATAAATGTGTCGTTAACCCACCACTGCCCGACACAGCCAATTAGTAAGACTCGTCACGTAAACAAAACGTGCCAATTAGTTACTACTCCAGCACACCGGTGTGTTGGAGTAGTAACTAATTGTCACGTAAACAAAACGTGCCAATTAGTCACTACTCCAGCACACCGGTGTGTTGGAGAGGACACTTGGAACATTTACAATTTGAGTACAGTGATGTTTGCACTGGTGATTACAACCATCTTCGTCGGGCGATTTTCCACATTTGTGAAGAAATCTTCATGTTTCTGTCCTTAATTGAATCCGCTTTGTCACAAGCACACGTGTCTTGTGTCTGGTATTTTCCACGACGCTTGGCGTGTTTTAAGTTCTGCCTCATGTCCTCTGTCCTGTCTCCTTTCCTCATGTCCGTCATGTCTTTCATAGTTGACCGTGTTATCATTCGTTCCGGCTTGTCTGTTCAGTCACATTTGTTCTCTAGCTTGGACCATCATCCCAAATGTGACGTGAAGATATTATTTTATATATCATTAGATTAGATGAACATTTTTTAAAGTTGATCCGTGCACAGACGATTCAGGGTATGTATCGTGAGCACAACGGTCAATCGCGATCAGTTAATCGTTACGAGTTTGGAAGTTAGGCTGCGTCGCAGACTGCCACACGCGAATTAGAAGTTTTTGTAAATAAGGAGAAGGGGCTTTAACATTGCAGTCAATGCACCTCTTACAGCACTGGCGTGATGTCACTGTGTAAGTTTAACGTCACGGTGACATCACGAGAGTCCTAAAGGACATAACCTGTCCACAATGTCACAGTCCGTGTGCCCTCGTGAACGAAGCTTTGACCCCATCAGACAGGCGAGGAGGGAACGCAGTCTCTTTGTTTGGGTTCAGCCCTATCTTTGAAGATGAGAACTTTATACGACTTCATTCGGCCAAACCAGCCGCCCGCTGCAGGATTCGAGGCGTAGATGCGTGCCTGCATGCGGCAGCGTCTGCCACGTCTCTGAAAATGAGACCTGTGGAATGATACACTTTTAACTCCGAGGTCTGTTGGGTGTATTATCTGCCATTTGTCTAAATGTGTCAAGGGCCGGACGATGGTACATTTAGGGAATGCAACTGATCATCCTGCCCGTGATGCACGTTTACAAAGTGTGCATCATAATTCATTTCAAGAATCAATCCCTTTTGCTGCCTCGCCCGCATTGTTTATTGCAGTTCAATTGCATTCAGTATTAACATGCATTCGCATGTTAATACAAATAACCATTATGTACGTATATATATAACAACGATTTCCAAGTGATGCCTGGTAAATGGCAAATATGCAACCATTAGTTTGAACAATATCCCTTATGTAGACGAGGAAGGCAACCTCCAATGCCGTTGCAGTTCACGAGGGAGTGTTTACTAACTTTCACGCGGTTGGGTGTTTTTTTTAAACACATGTGATCATTGTACATGTGGCCGCCCTACTCACATGCATATACAATATATCAAAAGATCAAGTAGTGGGAATCCATCTTTCCCATGGCCAAGGGGTCAGTATCCCCATAGGACGAACATCGATACTACACAGCGTGTTAAAGTGGATTGATGTGACAATAATGGGAATGTTGACGCATACCAGGCTGCGTGTTGACACGCGAGGCATGTTAACGGACAACTTGAAAGCACAAGACATTTACCGATGTTCGTGGCACTGTTGCCTTATCTTGACTAGAGGCGGGGACCAGTGTGCCCTGCGGTGCTTCGCCACTGCCGCTGATGTTAATGTCCCTGTGATTGAAGTGATGGGAAAGCACGGAGCGAGACCTTGTCTCATCACAAGCATCTCTTGCCTCATCATCACAAGCGGCCGCAGGCCATAGCGTCGGGAGGTTTCGTTTGTAAATGAACACCGGGGTGTATCCCCTCACTTCATCACTCGAATGTCAGTCAAGCGGGCTTTTGAAATTACCGTGTTTGTGTGTGCCTGCGTGTGCGTGCGTGTGCAGTGGTACAGTCCGTTTCAGCTATACAGGGGGATCGTGGGGTTTTTGTTGGGGAGCGGTAGCGTCATGGTTAGCGCACTGCGCTGCAAACCTGCCACCTCGAGTTTGATATCTGTTCACGACCAATAACAGTGGCGACGATTTCAACTGTTCCTCGGCCTCTACAAGGTCAACCCGGCTTTAAATGGGCAGCACCCAGTCCGATGTGTAAACATCGGCATTGGAGAGACAAAGGCAGCCTGACGTCACTTTGGCCACCCACACTCCCTTCGTATGCCTTCATGGGCGCTGCTGAATCACTGTGCCAGACTAAGGCCAGGTATCCCCAGGCAATCTCCCATCCACGTGCTTTGGCAAACTTAGCTTTGCTTCGTTTCTGAAATCTGACGGGATCAGTCCTGATCCAGTGTGCTTTGGGCCACAGGCATACCAGCATGCACTACCGTCGGCTGTGCAGTGCCGTTAGAGATCCGCTGACGTTGACATTGACGGCGCCCCGTCCTAACCTAACGTCTCGCACGGGAAAGCCAGTTGCAGCACAAGAGGTAAACAAGCAAACGGAGTCCTTTATAAGCCAAGGTCCTCTGGGCCTCCCTTACCACAGAGATGCTGCTGTGTGGTGTGCTCAGCTCTGATCTTAAAAAGGACGTTCAAATTGAAGGTGAGCTAAGCAGGGCTGAGTCTGGATGTTGCTGGACTAGGTGGCCACTATGTGCTGATCCAGTTCCCATCAGCCCATGGGCCTTCATTGTGGGCTGTAGACGGAAGTGCAGGAAAACAGCCGTTGTAGTACTTCACTTTTGCGCGTCCACATCCACGCCCCTGGCTATCTCCAACCCGCAAATGGCTGAGGTGGTAAAGCATGATCAAATAACCCCCGCGGCTCCTAGATGAGTGAGGGTGGCCCCCCTTGTCTGGCAGTGGACCGACGGACGGGGCTGCACGTGCACCGCTCGTGTCCAGGGACGGCTGCATCGCGTACGAGCTTTTTCGCTCGGTGCCTGTGCGTTGTCTATTGAGACTGAGCAAAATGCTAAAAGTCACCTGCAAATTGCTCGATTGCCTGATCACACGATGGCAACGGGGTTGCCCCCTGACCGCAAAACTCCTCCAGACTGCCGTCTGTGCATCACAGCCGGCGGCGCTTTGCTTCGCGATTGCCTTGCGCCATTAAAAAATGTCGCGAACATCAGATGTAGAAATTTATTATTATTACACCTCCACGGACTATGCCGCGTACGTACGTTGAACTTTTTTCGCGTGCCGCACGTAGCCAACCATGCCGATCGGAGGTGCAAAGCCGAGGTGAGGTTGCGTTGAATCCCTTGCTGGGAGGTGGGGCAGTGTGCATTCCGCCCTGTGGAGGGGAGAGCGCCCTGCTGCGTGTGTTCACGCTGCAGGAGGCAGTTATTCAATAACAACACATAGGGGGGAGGGTTGGATTTGTTTTACGAATCAGCCTAAGAAGGACTTGTAAGCAACGCCAGGCGACTGAACAAAACTCTTGACAGAGTGGTGCTCTGGCTCTGGAGAGAATGTAACGGCCGAGGGGTCGCATGCGCTGGCAAGCTGTCGCACGATGGAACCAGAGGCCAGGCAGCTCTGGCAACTCAGAGCGAGGCCTCCATCGTGGCCGTGTGTGGACATTGGTGATGGCGTTGAGGGCCCTTAGAGGGCACCGTGCACTGCGGGTGAAGTCAGAGAAGCCTCATCTGTCGACTGGTGTAAAAATACCACCTTGGTATTTGCGTGATGCCAATTAGCAGTCATCCCCTGTGGCCAGTGCCCCTCTCTCTGTTTCTCAATTGCACTCTCACTGTCCTTCCCTGAGGTGATTACCGCTTTCATTATTGCCATGAGGGATTTCTTAACGGCCTGGGCGTGTGCTTAGCCCCGTGGCATGCGATCATTTAATCTCTACCCCAATCCACGTGCTGCTTGCGCTGCTTTTGATCCTTGTACTTGGCACCGTCGCTGTGCGACCTCTTCTGATCCACCTGCCGACCTCGGCGCTGGGATACCTCGCACCGTTCTCTCCGCCGTGCGGCCTTTGATCTGCGTCGATTAGCACGCCCCATCACACGCGCGCACGTTGCGGGCGGGCACGGGCGCGGGCCGATTCCCTCCCCCCCCCCGGCGCCGCGCCGACGTTTGACCTCCGCGCGTGAACGCCGCAGTTGCTGCGGAGAAGCCCAGAGTGGAGCCGACGACGCCGGCGGGGGGCGAGACGGTGGCAGCAGGGCCGGGAGACGACAAGGAGCAGCCCCCTGTCAAGACCGGAGCAGCGCAGGTGGAGGGCGCGGTGAGTGAGTGAGGCTCCCGCCAGTGGCGTGCGCGGCGCCGTGGACGCGACTGGCTGGGGCACCGCCCGCTGCCTCGCGACGGAGGGCCGTGCGTCACTGCCCGGAATGCTTTTCCGCCGCTGAGGCGCGCGTCGCCATCAGCCCTTTCCACGCAAACGACCCTCAGGGTCGTGCGCACCTCAGCCTCTGTTGTTTGTGTTTCGCATTCCAGTTCTGACTTTAATTGCTCACAAGGGGGGCTTGAGAGTTTAACGGTGTTTCCAACAAGCACGTTAAATAGCGGTCGGTCGTGTTGATTCCCAGGTGCATCAATGAGATTTATTCATCCACAAAACCGCGACTCTTTTGACCAAATTTAAGGAGTGCGTTGCATGTGTGTGAGGATACTGGATGGGATTAACACTCAAGAGTCCACACACAGTTGGGCGAGGACCCACTTGTTGTACTGCCATATCAGCCCACCTCGCCGCGCAGCAGGCCCGGGAATTTCACAAATCGGTATCATCGATCAATCGCGGCATGCGCACCCACTCCTGGCTCGTGAAGAGAGAAAATATGTAACCATGTTACTGATATGGGCCGCAGGGTGGTGGCACAGTGGTAATAATCGTGCCTCACAACAAGAAGGGCCTGGGGTCTATTCCCAACTGTGGGCGGCATTCTGTGTGGAGTCTGTACAGTTCTCCCCCTGTACTGCATGGGTTTCCTCTGGACTCCTGTTTTCCTAACATAGCCAAAAATGTACAATGGTGATGATATTGGCCAAATATCCAATCGGTGAAAAATTAACTGCAAATTACTCAATTGAGATTACACTTGAGAACATGGCCTCTTCTAGCAACAACTTGGCAGGACCCTCCGAATAAGAGTCTTAAGACTTTGTTGGTTCAACAAGTGAAATAAAGAATAATATAAAACTAGATAAGCGTTCCCATAGTGTTCCACTTTGCCAGTCTGGGAAGAATTCTCCATTGTGAGAGCGGAGAGGGTCTCCCTCTGTCAGTGCTACTCATCGCTCGGGCCTTGTGTCAGGCCTGTGCAGTGAAGGCTGCTCCGCTCTCCCTCCCCCCCAACATGTGCTGCAGAGCGACGGGCGAGTGGGCCTCACCGGCCCGAAGGGGGACAAGGGAGATCCGGGGCCTCCTGGACCCCGCGGGCCCCCCGGCCCGCCAGGCCCTCCCAGCCCCGCCGCGAGTGTACGCGTCGACGCGGCGGCCGCCAAACCCGGCCTGCCGGGACCTGCTTGGACCCGTGGGACCCCCCGGCCTGCCCGGGCCCGTCGGCAAGCCCGTGAGCGGCGCACGTCCGTGCAGCGCACGCAGCCTCCCACCGTGTTTTTCATTTTTTATACACGGGAGTTGCGCGGCCACGGCAACAATACGAAGATCCCACCAGTTCACCCCGTTCACCGTAGGGGCAAGGTGCTGTTCACGAGTCCACGTTCGGCCTGGCAAGGCGCGCGAGAGGGCCTTGTGGCCAGCACCCGCATCGGCCCACATTTGTCTCAGCCAGTTGTCATGTTTACACACCAGATCGGCTAGGCTGAGCTGGCCTCGAGGAGGCCCGGTACAGGTTCAGATGTCACTTGCCACTGGTGTGCATGACCTGGAAATGGAGCGATGTTTATTGGATTGTAGCACTCTGTGCAAAGCACTACAGCTTGATTGCATGCCTATGCACACGACAACACACACCCACACACATCACAATAACGCACACAGAGTAGAACACGCACAAGCAACATAAACACACGTACATACCAATCCACACGCTAACCCGTGCACCACGTCACAGCAGTGCACACAGAGCAAAACACATTCACCAAAATGTACACACTGCTCTGATCCAAATACACATACACACACGGCTCTGTTCTGAGTTCTGTTTTCCTCCCACAGCCAAACACGTACAAATTGTAACTGATGTTGGCCAAACATCCTGATGGTGAAAACGTATTTGCTAATTACTCAACTGAGGTTACACCACCTCATCCAGCAAAGACTCGGCAGGAGCCTCCTGACAAAGTGTCTTGAGACTCAGAGCGAGGCTTCCTGGTTAAACAACACGTGTAATACATAATCATATAGAAATATATACGTGCCCTCATAACGTTTGCTCTGGCAGATTGAGGAAAAGTCGAATACACACATACACCAATTAATGTACAGTTTATGCTTGAATGCATAATACCAGCGCACACTCCACGAACACGTGCGCACCTAGTAAAGAAACGATTTTGAACCTCAACGTACGGGCACAAGTGTGGGCAGGTGTGATTAATGAGGAGCAGGAATTCCCTTACTTTGTGCGTCACGACGGTGATGACGACGACGATGATGTAATGACCTCGTTTGATTTTTCTCTTCCACTCAGGGCCTTGCGGGTAAAGGTGGCGCTAAAGTGAGTACGGGACATCCGCGTGCACCGGCCATCCCTCAAACAGCACCGTGGCAAAAGGGGTTCTGTTAGAGTAGCAGTGGACCGCCCTCGCACGTGCTCGCTTCTGCTCAATTCCGCACCTCCGGAGGAGCAAGAAGCAGGGAAGGGGTTTTGTTGAGTCGCTCGTGAGGTGAACAGCTATAGTACTAAACTATTTAAAAACTATGTTTTTATTCTACCAGGTAAGGCCCACTGAGCTATGTTGCTCTTCTTTCAGAAGCGACCTGGCCACAAATGACAGCTCAACGAAGTGGCTTTTCATGTGGAAATGTATAGCAGCCAAATACTCTTAACGCACATTTCTAAATGTGGACGTAAAAACCGGAGGACCCGGAGAAAGATCCACGCGGCCACGAGGAGAACATACAAACTCCAAATATACAGCAGGCTTCAGGGTCGAGATCGAACTCACGGCCTCCTGTATGCCAGGCAAGGGAGTTAACATCTTGCCACCGTGGGATGTCCAGAGAAAACCATATAATAGGAGATCTTTATGACCATGTAAAAGCCCATTGAGACAAAGCAGAATTATTTTATAATGGAGGCCGATACGTATGAACTATATATTAACAGACAAGCAGAGAGAGCAACGGCAAGGCCGTGAGGGCAAGGCCATGGCATGGAGATAGCACATTCCCGCACCTCCGATTTGCATGGTTGGCCTACATATGGTACGAAAGAAGTTCAACACTCATCATCATCACCACACCGCGCCTCCGATTAGCACGGTTTGCGACATACAGTGCGAATGAAGTTCAACATAGATACATTTCCCAACACCGCCTCCCCTTCTCATGCAGTCGCGGCTACATCTCTGATACCTCAATGCCTGGATACACAAGGCCCACTCGTCGGTGATTCGACACCTAGAATTGTTTTAATCACTTATTGTTTTTTTTTTTGCGATTATTATTTTTACTAGTAAAGCCAACGCTTGTTGACCCAGGAAAACCTGACTGAGTCTCAGGACTCTGTTCTGGGAGAGTCTGTGAGTTTTAGAGATGGAAAGAGTGAAACATACGGATTAGTACAACGGGGAGAGCTGTTCCACATTGACGCAGCAGCAGCAGCACACTGTGACAAACCTCACATCATGCAGAGATAAATGAGAGGTTAATAGTATTATTATTTTTAAAAATGGGTTTTATATTCAAATATTCATATTTATATCTTTTGCAAGCAGACAGAGTAACAATGGGAGAAATGCCATCGTCTGGAACCGCTGATCGGTTTATTCTAATCCGGGACGACAGCGGCTACGGCGCTGCTGCTGGCGTTGGCGTTGTTAATGGTGCCTGTGGCTGTTGGTTGTAGGGAGACCGAGGGTCACGAGGATTCCCCGGGGTCCAGGGAGAGTTGGGAGCGAAGGGGGACAAGGTGAGCCCCAGCACGTGCGCACGCGCCGGGGGTCATCCACCCGGGTCCAGGGGTCACCCGGCAAACGGGGGGGGGGGGCGGGGTGGAGGTCAATCAGCTCAGCCTGGGATCACAGCCCAGGCTTTGAGTTTCGCGGCTTGTGCTCCGCGTGGCGGTGCGGTCGAACCCTGCCAGAGGTGCTGCTCTTCTCGTGACTTCACTCGCCGTGTGAGGCTTTGTGATTGAAAATGAAGCCTTCGAGGTGGCCAGGTGAGACCACCTCTGTTGGACAGCGCGCCGAGTGTCCAACGCCAACAGCCTCCCGAGAGATCTCTGGGCACGAGCGCGCGCATTGTGGAAAAACACGCGAAGGGATTCTCGACACGGGCGCGCTACTCATCACAACGCTCGCACTGCTGAAGCAGAGTCGAGGGCAATGACTCTGACCGCCAGCCAGTGGAGATGAACGCTGCCTCTGCGTTGTCGTTGTGTTTGACTTTTGGCACCAGCTCTCGCAGTGGAGAGTGTACATGAAGCAAGACTTTCAGGGGGAATGTAACGAGGAGTTTAATGAGAAGCTCGTAGAACAAACATGTTATCTTGAGCCGTACGATGGTGTCTAATCAGAGATAGTTTTTTTTCAATGTTCTGAGACACACGAGTGCTTCACTGCAATTCGTGGGGCTTGCTAGGCCTGCAGTGCTGACAGGGAGTGATCACTCCCCATGCCCTGTAATTACTCAGCACCCTGCAGGGGAGCATCAGGTGAGTGTTAGGGATGGTTCTCATTTTGAAAATTCCCCAGCAGCGTCGGCGCCAATTCCACTCAAACATTCACAATCCTGTGAAGAGAGCGCCGCTCGTGCAATCTGCTGTCGTGGAGCCTCGTGACGGTGATGCAGCTCCACCGCTTCTCCCTCGGCTGACTCTCCCTGCACGTGTTGGTTTCGTCACCTAGGGCGACGCTGCTGTGGGCCTCCCGGGACCGCCGGGCCCTCCCGGACCGCCTGGGCCCCCCGCATCGAGGCACGGCGAAAAGGTGACGGAGCCCTCGCTCGGTCGTCGCACGCCACAGGACACGGATGATGCGATCACAGCTGGCAACACGTTTTCCCGTTTGCAGTGCGCCGCGGAACACGTGGGCCGCGGCAGACGTGGGGGGGATTTTTGTCTTTGTCTAGGGCTGAGACTCGCCTGTTCCTCTAGCCGCAGGCCTCCAGGGACGCGTGGTGAAAGCACAGATTTTCTCAACAAAAGCGAAATGCGCTTTGATGGGTTCGCGCGTAGAGTGCTCCACTTCAATGGGCTGCTTCCTGCTGTGTTTGTGGACACTGCCAAGCCTGCTGTGGTCATGTTTCGTACAGCTTCATGCAAACACTGGCCTGTCCAGCAGCAGGGGAGAACACGCATTCCCACTGCCCCTGCAAGACGGTTTGCATGTCAGGTATTTGAGGTTTACCGAAGAAAGCTGTCGTGACCACGAAGCTAAGCACGCTTGCGCTCGCTTCCGCGTCCTTTCGTTGCATTGCCGTAGAGCGCACCTCTCCCGGTGCACATGCCCAGGTGAAGTCCCTGCCGCTTGGTGGTGAATGGTTGCTGTTGCTGTGTATGCGTGTGTGGGGAGTGGTAGTGCAGCGGTTAGAACGATGCGCTACGAACCCGGTGGCCCCGAGTTTGATTTCCGTTCACGGCCAACGCCAGTGACGATTATCTTAATCGGTCCTGGGCCTCCCCTAGGTCGACTCAGCCTCAGATGAGTACCTGGTGCGGTGTGTAAACATCGCCACTGGGGAGACAAAGGTGGTCGGGCGAGGTGCTGGCCACCCACCCCCTTATGTGCCGTGCCGGCCTTCATAGGTGCTCGCTCCTACAATCTCTTCATGTTTATATGGGGGATCATTGTCTTTGTATGGGAAGTAGTAGACTATACTGCAGATCTTTGTCTTGGTTAGTATTGGAAGCAGTAGAAGTTCAATGCATTGAGATTGATGTTCCCTGGGTCTTATCTCTGCGAATGTACAACATCCTAGACAAATTGATCTTAAATCTGTCATGGGCCTTTGCTTGACTCGGCTTTAAATTAATTTTTTCCGTGTAATTATTTGTTTTTAGAATCATACAACTTAACTGGGATTTGCAAAACGTCCCAAAACTGAAAATTTCCTGCAAATTACTCAATTGGGATCGAACAAGCAGCAGCAGAATCACCCCCCTGCTGCAGAAGCCTGGCAGGACCCTCCTGAACAAAGAGTCTCGAGACTCGGTGGGAATTTGCTCCGTAAATAAAAAGACGCGTGTGGGCACTGGGCCTGGAGAGGCTGAGAATCCCACTCCTTCATAATTACCAATTACCGTCCACTCTCCCCTCTTCGCCACAGAAGAGGGTTTCCACTTTTTCAAAACGAAGAGCGGTTATTGCTTCTTGTTCTTCCTCGCCTCGCCGGGTCCAGCTGCGGTCTCGGCGAACGCCTCTGCGTTGTGTTCCCCAGCTCGACGCGGCTCTATCGGCCATGCAGAGCGGCTTCCAGAGCTCTCGGGAAAATAATAATTATTATTTGGTCATTAAAAGCAGCGGAGCAAGTGCCTACTGAAGAGGGAGGATTTAAACAGCGAATCTTATCACTTGCTTTGGCACGTCTTCACAATGCCTTCTGGCTGGCTATTGAACGAATGTCGGTCACTGCATCGCGCACTTTCAGACGCGTGCGTCTGCAGCCGTCTAGATATTCGGAAGCCACTGGAGCTATGCGCTTTTAAATCTGGATTGAAAACTAATTTATTTGGAACGGCTTTTTGTGTTTAGTTTGTTGTCCTTCCCCCGCACCTCCAGATTAGCACAGTTGGTTGGGCTACGTACGGTGTGAAAGAAGTTCAACGTACGTACGTATCCAGTGTAAACGTGCAGACGAACAAACAAATTAGAACAGCACCTGAAGAGTACGCGAGCGTGGAGAGATGCATGCTGGGAATCACATTGACGGACAGAAAGAATGAGGAACACATGGATGAGAGAACAAAATCACAATGACGGTTTAGGAAGCGAGCGGGCCTGGGCAGTACACGTCGATGGTTGATGAGCGATGGACAAGACTTGTGACGGGAGTGGCAATCGAAGTTCGGGATCGCGTCTGAGAAGACGATCGCCGCCGAGAAGGAGCAATGAGATGAGCGAGTGAGGCAGCGAGATGGACTGTGACCTCGCTTGTCCAACTCGGGGTGGTGACTTACGTGGGGAGGATATCATCCAGCAGAGGATAGAACATGGCTGATGATGATGATGCTGGCGCCACCACCACCACCCACTTATGTGATAGCGCTGGCCCTAACGGGCGCTTGCGAGCAGCAGCAGGAGCCAGCCCAGCTGTCTATTTGAAGCTAAAGCATCTGTGTACACATTGGGTGTGCACAGTAGATGTGGGCATAGGTCTGTGGTGTTTAAGTGTTTGGCTGTGTGTGTGAGTGAGTGCAGCGTGTGGCCACCGTCCCCTCTCGTGTGCCGTTCTGGCCTTCATAGGTGCTCGCTAACAGCACCCACCCCAACAGTCTGTTAAGGCTATATGGGGGATCTTTGTCTTTGTGTGCTTGCGCGTGTGCGTTGCGTGCGTACAGGCGGAAGGCTCTGGAGATGACGAGAATGATGATGAAGATGACATTGTTGACGGCACCACCAGGGTGAGCAGCTACCCACACAGCTACCAGTACACTCAGGGTTTACAGAGGTAACAGGTGTGACTACAGGTGCGTCTGAAGTTGTTACACAATGGGGCAGAGGCAGTTGGGGGTAGGGGTAGACAGTAGGCGGTGTACAGAGGACGATCGTTGAGTCTTATGTTTGGACTTAAACAGAAAGATGGAGTCAACAGGGTTCGATTGGAGGACTCGGGAGGCGGTAGATCTTATTCGTTATGTTCGTGGTTCTTTCAGTAAAGTAATAAAATGAAAAATAAAATAATAAAATTCAATTTATTATTTTGGTCTTTTAATTTGAAATTCGATTTTATTATTTAAATTTTCTATCTACGTGACTTTACCAAAAGAACCAAGAATATGAATTCCTGCAGTCACGAAAGTTTCAAGTCAAAATCTTATTAGTTACACACAATTTAACGGGTATTGGGGCCAAACATCCCAATTTGAAAAATATCCCTGCAAATTACTCAATTGGGTTCACACAGCAGCAGCAGCATCGCTCAACTACTGTGAAAACTTAGCAGGACTCTCCTGAAAAAAGAGTTGGGGGGGGGGGGGGATTCGGTGAGGCTTGTCAAGGGCATGAAGGCAAATAAAATAAAGAACTTAAATGACGATGTGAAAGCAAGTAGCGATATCAACTCTCCGACAAAGAGCACATCAGTGCAAGGGGTGCAGGTTTTAAGCGTTTGCGATCAGCATTGCCACGGGAAACCCCGAAAGGTTTTCTCCGTGTGGCAAAGCTCGGCCATGAATCGTGAAGAAGAGCTCTGTAACACGTGCTCCTCTTGGGCAGTTTTGACAGGCCCCGTGAGTTATCTCACTGGTCCGTGACCTCGTGTCTCACCCGCGAGCGCTGTGCCGGAGCTGGTAATCCTCATCACCTGCCTTGTGATTTTTGTAAAAAGGCAGCTTAGAATTCGTGTGTAGGTGTTGTTGCTGTCAAGAGCGGAACTGTGAACAATCTATCTTATGTATTTTTTTTATGACTTTTGTTGACTTCAGCGCTTTGCTGTCTGGAGCAATCTAATGGCTAAATTTGGTTGTGAGAATTGTTCTTCAGCTCCACCGGTGAGTGGATGACGATATTATGGGCGCCACGGTGGTGAGATGTTCACTACCTCGCCTGGTATACAGGTGATCGTGGGTTCGATCCCGACCCTGACACCTGCTGTATATTTGGAGTTTGCGTGTTCAATCCGTGGTCATGTGGATTTTTCTCCGGGTCCTCCTCCGGTTTTTCCCTCCACATTTAAAAACACGCATTTAAGAGTATTTGGCTGCGATAATTTTCCACGCGATAAGCCATTTCGTTAGGCAATAATTTTGTGTGGCCAGGTCGCTTCTGAAAAAGAGCTACATAGCTCAGTGGGCCTTACCTGCTAAACTTAAAATTTGTTTAGTTTAGAGTGAGCTGAAACGCTAACAATCGGCGTGTTGCTAAACCGCTCGCGCACCATGTTACAATTCAATTTGTTCATCTGTGCCGGGTGGTGGGAAACCTACATGCTACGTGACCTGTGGGGAGTCACTGGGACGGGTGAACCGCCATGTACTTTGAATAGAGTTTAACCATTCTCTTGAGGTGCGTGAGATTTCTGGCTTCAGTCTCTCCCTCTTGCAGCTCCAAATCAAATTGCGTCTCTAGAGTCCGCCTACGGCTCTGGGCCGCCGACAGTTGCGATCACCTCCCGATTGCCCATGTGACCGAGAGAGGACACCTCTGGCTATGGTCCTGTCTCGAGAGGCGTCAGCTGGTTGGCACAAGGGGTCAGGGCACCGAACCAGCACCGATGAGTTGCCTGGGGTTCAACCCAGGTGGCCGTCCTCCCCCTCTCATTGATCATCGCAACCGGGTCACCAATGACCATGCAAGAAGCCATCACGTGAAAAATCTGATTTAAAAACAATTAGTTTTTACTGCCATATGGCAAGTATTTCGACAGCAGAGCGCATGGAGAAACTGCAGCGCCATCCACGTGTGGATAACAAGTCACTTGCAGGGATCTCAGATGTAGTTCTGCGACATCTACCCCTACAGACTCCGTCTAACACGGGGTGGATCATAGTTCTGCGACAGTTCCCAGGGACACTTTATGTCGGGTGACGCGATGCTGAGAGCACAGTTGTAACAGAATTGGGAGATACACATATAATCGTTTTCTTAAATGAAAAATAATAAAGTCCTGTCGCATGGATTGCTCGTGCTGTCGCGTGTTCCGTTTCCCAGGGCCGCTCGCGTGTGCCTGGGCCCCCTGGCCCCCCCGGTCCTCCGGGGCCCCCAGGCCTCCCAGGGATTCCCGGGCAGCCAGGAAGCGCGGGAGAGGGAGGCCAAGCACAGGGAGGCAGCGGCGAGGCGGTGAGTTGCCCAGCCTGCGCCCCGTCTGACGCTCACTTCCCAACGCTGTCATTTGATAACCATGTGCAAAATATAGTCAGGTCCTGCAATGTTCATATCAGGGCTCTACAACACATTCAACCACTATTGAGTCGTGGCAGAGCCAACACTGTAGCGTGTAGCATAGTATCGGCGAGGTTCGATTATTGCAACTCACTACTCTACGGGACGTCTGGCAAAAAACACGACCAAGCTGCAGCGCGTGCAGAATTCTCTGGCACGTGTCGTGACGAGCACTGCAAGATCACGACCATGTCCATCCAGTGCTAGCCGAGCTGCATTGGCTTCCAGTTGTCAATCGAAATACATTGAGGTCGCGCTCATTACACACAAAGTGCTTGCCACAGATGAACACCAATTCCTTGCTGATTCCGCAAGGAGCATAAACCATCACGACAACTCCAGTCATCCTCGCGGCAGCTTTTGGATAGTCATCGAACAAAGACGGTCAGTGCGTTGTGCGCTTTAAGATGCAAGTTTGCAGCCGAATCCTCTTCCTTCCGATATTGAAAGCCACTGCACTTTCAAATGTAGATTTAAAACTCATTTCTTTTGAATTGCTTTCTGTGTTTAGTTTATCCTTCTCCCACACCTCAAGTGCTGTTAGCGACCGCCGCACTACCGCTCGCCACATACAGGACGCACGCTCGCTCACATGGCACACCTCACCTTCACTCTCATATGCAAACAGCCTTACACGTGACATGTGTGGCAATCACTTTAGTGTGTAATGAGAGCGAATTAATGAGCAATGTCAGATATGAGAGTGATCGTGTGTGCTCTGTATTGCCCCATGCGCTGTAGGGTTCTTCAGGCATCCCAGGCCGCATGGGCCTCCCAGGATCCGATGGGCCTCCTGGTCAGAAGGTCGGTTTTGGGGTGGGCGGTCACTCGATGTAAATGAGATCCGAGGCTCCGGGTCAGCGCAGCTTCCCAGCGCACTTCACCATGGCTCTGACGGCCGTCTGGCTGCACGGCTCCTTGCGCCCCCCCCCCCCTCTTTCCCCTCCCCCCACCCCCCGTGAATGATTCTCACCACAGCAGAGCGATCCCCACCCTGACAGGCAGGGGTTAGAGTACACGGCCGCCCCTCGGGTAAAGACATTCTACTAGCAGGACAACGGGTCACCTCGTTCGTCTGCTCCACGCACATTATACTTAGAATTATCGCGGTTATCATAATAACCGCGATAATTGTTACGTGTTTATATGCACAAGAGTAAATGTTTAGGAACAGTCTGGCGTCATGAAAACAACTACAATACCTTGCGAGCCACATCACAACACATGCGTTGTCTGCCTGATTTAGACATCCACATGAACATTGAAAAGCGTGGCGTTTTAAATTCCACAGGGTTAAAGAAACACAGCCAGTGTGCCCTGGTTTCACCTCTATCAGAGAGCATCGGTACAATATAATAATGCAGCTTTGTTGACGACCATACTGCTTGTTGAAGAAACTAAACTAAAAACTATATTTATTTTACCAGGTAAGGCCCACTGAGCTATGTAGCTCTATTTCAGAAGCGACCTGTCCACAAATGATAGCTCAAAGAAGTGGTTTATCACATGGGAATCTCTAGCGGCCAAATACTATAAACGCGTGACGTTGATTATAAATGTGGAGGGAAAAACCGGAGGACCCAGAAAAGAATCCACGCGACCACGGGGAGAGAGACACGCAAACTCCAAGTATACAGGCGTCAGGGTCGAGATCGAACCCACGACCTCCTATATGCCACGCGAGGTAGTTAACATCTCCTAGCCACCATGGCGAGATGAAGCGCATCTTTTGGTGCAATAGGATGACAAGCTGGTGTGAGTGTGTCCCACTTGATCTGAGTTCTTAAACACCGGTCTAGACATTGCCCTCTTGAGCCTCACACAGTAGAAGTTGTCAGGGGTTTAGGCTGAGAGCTCATCTTAAAACAGTCTTTCAGATGAGAGTCATCATTTCACCCCTGTAGTAAAACACATCAGAATGCAGAGCTTCTGTGATTTCAAGCAGACATTTACCTGGGATGTGGTTTAGTTGGGAATAACATAGGCGCTTTATCCCTCTAGCAGCTAGTAGCATATAAATAGGCTGATCCTTGCCATAGGAATGGGGAATTTTCGCAGTTGAGTGCAGCCAAAAATAATTTGGTCGTGAAGAAATTTCACTAACAAAAAATGTGATGTGAAAATCTATATGTTTTGTGACAAGGCCATAACTAGAATTTTTTAATCCATTTATGAAACGCTGGTATTTCCCACCAAAAGTATTCAGGACACTGCCACACTGGCAATGTGTAACTCCAAGCCCCTTGACTTCAAAGGTGACCTGGAGAAGCATTTGAAAACTGTTTATTTTTTTTAATAAAAAAAATATTTCCCATTCTTGCAACGCTCACAGGCACTGGGACAGCCAAGAGGACTGCATCGCTGTTTAGTCTCATGGAGTTTTATCTTTCAACTGTTTTCCCCCTGCAAGACGAGAGCACTGTGCACCAGCCAGCCAGCCTAGCCCAGCGCACACACACGCGTGGCCTTGGGGGCCCTGCAGGTGCTGGTGTCATGTGGGTCGGTGTGCCCTCCGCCCCGCGCTCTGGATTGCACGTCCAACTGCACCGCGTGACGGGACACCCGAGCCAGAGGGCAGGCTTCCTCCTGGGCCTAGGACTCACTTGATGGGCGAATTCCCAGGCGCCAGGTGGCCCAGTCCAACCCTACCAGCGGCTGAGAACGTCCGCCATTGTTGCCAATAGCTTCGTAGACACTTGCTCCATCGATTTTCGTCCCTCGTTTGTTTACGTGTTATTCCGTGGGTGTTTTTTTTCTGGCTGTGCAGGGTGACAGGGGACAGATGGGCGTGTACGGACTCCCTGGGTTGCAGGTAAAAAAAAAACGAGCGGTGCCCTCCAGGGTATGCACTGAGAGAGCGCGACCAACGTCACCCACGCACACCACCGCGTCCAGTGGTGCACTTGGGTGTAGCCTGCTCAGTTACTTCCCAAGATGTGTCCTCGCTGAGAAATTCTGCGAATTATGTATTGAGTTATTCGCTCCCATTGACTGTGGAAATGCCCTTGTAGCCACATATTTCCTTTGCCCAAAGTGGTCCCTTCGTCTCTGTCTATGATGCTGTCTCTGCCACTGTCTCTGTCTTTATGTCTCCTACCCCTGACTTGATCTCTGTGTCTCCATTCATCATTGTCTATCCCTCTCTCGCTGTCTTCATCTGTTTCTGTTTGCCTGTGTACCTGGGATTTTTGTGTGTGCGAATGTCTGTGTGGATTTGGTGCGGTCCTGCATGTACGAGTGTGAATGCATGCATACGTACGTATGCATGCACTATGTGTGCGTGTGCATGCATTTGTGCATTTGTGCGTGTCTCGGTGCGCGCCTGTTTGCGTGTGCGTGCGTCTACGTGCATGCTTGCGCGTGTACGTGAATGCTGTGTGAGTCTGAGTGTGCGTGCACGCTGCGTGTGTGCGCGTGTGCATGTGTTCGCTGCGTGTAAGCGCATGTGCGTGTGTGCACGCCATGTGAGTCCGTGTGCGCGTGTGTGTGCATGCTGTGTGTGTGCATGCTGTGTGTGTGTATGCTGTGTGTGTGCATACTGTGTGTGTGCGTGCGCCTGGACTTTGTTCTTCATTTGCCAGCCTGATCTCTCCACTTCCTTTCCCCCGTGGTCCCTGTCGCAGCGTCCGTCGGCACCGCAGGTACCACCACGCACCGCCCCCTCCCCCTGCCCCCCCCACCCTCTCCTCGCTGTGCCTTCGTGTCTCTCGGAAATCCCCATTTCACTCTTGCCGCCAAACTTTCGCCGTGTGGATTTCAAATGAGCAAAATGGGCGGGTGACAATGAGCCGTTTGTGTTAGAGAATAGATAATGTAAACACATTTTCAGGGGCATTGTTTTGCATTCACAGAGTACTTTTGCGGTCAATTAAGAATGGGTGTTCCACCACTGGCTCAGGCCGATCATTGGAGATGAACTTGCTGATTTGAGCAGAGACGCCCTTTGTGCAAGGCACCATGCTGTGAATGTCTTGGACCTCCTGTGAATTTTAAATGGAAAATTGTACCCATTTATGGCACTGCGTGGCGCAGTGGGCACACTCGTTGCCTTATAGCGGAAACTCCTGGGTTCGATTCCCAACTCGGGCGCCTTTTTAAACTAAAACAAACCATTTTGTTTGCTTGGAATTGTACGTTCTCCCTCCTCCCATGTGTTCCCTCTGAGTTCTCTGTTATCCTGCTATAGCTGAAGAGTAAATAAATCAAGCATACACAACACGTAACTGGTGTTGGCCAACACATCCCAATTAAAAATGTTTTTACCTGCATATGACTCAATTGTGATCACGCACAGCGACAACAGCCCCCACGTACTGCGACAAACCTGGCAGGACCCTCCTGAAAGCGAGTCGTGAGGCTCTGCGAGGCACGTTCCTGGGTAAACGAGTGGTGGTTGGCAATAGCACCGAGAGTACTCGGCAATGCGGCACGGACGGGACGAAGCTGTCCTTCGCAAGCACAGCGCTCTGTAGGGACATCGGACGTGACGCCCCCGCGGAGTGTGGCTGCATACGGTGGCTTAAAGAAGTTCCCACGTGCGGAGAGCAGACGAGCGGCAGCAGCTGCGCCGTGGCGGGATGGAATGAATCCGCGACAGAGTGAATGATACATTATGTTAATGCAGAAGGAAGCCCATCGGCATTGCGGGGTGGACTAATATTGGGGCTTTTTCGATCCCAAAATCGTCTCTTTTGATCCACAAATCATGTGACAGGAATTACTTTACCGATTTAAAATGTTTTTTTTTTTATATTCATTTGGCATAGCCTGATCCATGCTCAAACACCTATCGTTAAAAATCCGTCGATTCCCGTTCCAGGCACAGCCATGCCCAATTACTCCATATACAGTGAGGGAAAAAAGTATTTGATCCCCTGCTGATTTTGTACGTTTGCCCACTGACAAAGAAATGATCAGTCTATAATTTTAATGGTATGTTTATTGGAACAGTGAGAGACAGAATAACAACAACAAAATACAGAAAAACGCATGTCAAAAATGTTATAAATTGATTTGCATTTTATTGAGGGAAATAAGAGTTTTGATGAGGGAATTCTTCTGGGAAGGATTGTGGTGGGAGTCAGGTTTTAGATATGCATCCGTGTGGGTGGCTTTCCTGTAGACAGAGTGTCCCATTGAGCCATCTGGTCTCTTTTCGATGAAAACATCCAAGAATGGTAACTTGCCATCCTTTTCCATCTCCATGGTGAATTTGATGGCTGGGTGTATGGCCATGTGGCCAGATGACAAACGTGTCATCTACGTACTTCTTCCACAAGGATGGATGTAGAGTGGATGCCTTGTTGGCATGTCTCAAAATTTTCCATGAAAACATTGGCTACAACTGGAGATAAGGGAGAACCCATTGGGTTACCTTCAACTTGTGTATAGAATGTTCCATTCCAGGTGAAGTAAGTGTTGGTGAGGCAGTGTCTCACCAGGGCTGGTACATCAGCATTCAGTCCTTGTTGAACCAAGTCTTCAATGATTGCAATGGTGTCAGGCACATCGAAACGAACGAGCAAATCACCTGGAGATAGTGAGTAGAGACCCAGGGAAATGTGAGCCAACAGAGACATACACGGATAGAAGACGTATGAGGGGTTGTGATGTGATTGGGCAAAAGGGAAGTTAAGTTATTAGGGGGAAATATGCGAGTTAAAGAGGGTGAGTTGGAATGAGAGGGTCAGTGAGCAGGTAAAAAAAATACATCTACAATTTAGCGGAGGTGATCATGAAAGCATGGTCATAGAGAAGCAGCCATGGCCAGAGGCCTTGAGCAAGAGAATGGAGTTGAGCATTACGGATGGCCATGGGAAGGGAGTTCCAGATGACAATTGCACGCAGCGAACAGAAGAGACGACCTTCCTGCGAGTGGAAGTTGTCTGGGTGTTGATTGAAGGCCTGCAGCAGGCTGCACATGGACGAGAGAGGCAGGCAGGGGCGAGTCCAAGAAACAACTTGAAGGCGATGAGGGTAATCTTGTAGTTTGTGAGAGGTTGGATTGGGATACCAGAGGATTTATCTGAGGTTTGGATTGATGTCACATTTTCAGATACGCGTGAAAGTCTTTGCAGCAACGTTGTGCGTGACGAAAGCCATGGTTGAGTCACAGGGGAGCTTTTCGATCGCCCTGGCACAACTCTATTGCAGTGCAGACATTTCGTGTTGTTTTTCATTCAGCAGCACGGCTTCTTGTTCTAGAAATGAGGGGAGGGCATTGGAAAGGAATGTGCTGCAGGGTTCCGGTTTGTACCTGTTGGAGATTTTTCCTGGCGCCGTGTGGATGCTGTGCCGCTATTGACGTCTCACGCTCTGGGTGTTTGACTGTGCCGGCAGGGAGAGAAGGGAGACGCGGGCCCAGAAGGGCCTCAGGGCCCGCAGGGCCCACCGGGAATCTCCGGCGTCACCGGGCCACCCGGTCCCCCGGGGCCCCCCGGCCCACCCTCATCTGCCATCAGATACAACTCCGACTTCGTGAGTCCTACCACACGAAGGGTACCCACTGACGTCTAATCGCTCGTGTGCTTTGGCGGAGTAACTCGGCTCATGCTACTGTGGAACGTGGAATGGATAGACCTGCCCATAGGCCTCCACATTTGCGTGTCATTTGTCTTTTGTTTTACCACGTGCGTCGTCATACCGCGTGCGTCGTCACACCGCGTGCGTCGTCTCGCCCGCAGAGCGACATGGAGGGTTCGGCTTTCGGCGACGGGGAGCCGGGCACCGTTGGCAAACCTGGGCCCAAGGTGAGCGGTGCCACACGAAGCCCTCGCGTGTGGCGCTGCCTGTGTGCTCGCGTCGCGACGACACGTCGACAGCCCTGTCGTACCCTTTGCACAGTATCGCCATATGGGTGCTGGTTTAAGAGGTTGGTGCCAGAAGCATGTGGCACTACTTGAGCGTATTGGCACAGGAGACAGAGGAAAGTGGAAACAAATGACGAAATGGGCAGCGGACACCTACGGGATATCTGCCCATGGATCGTGATGATGATTCAATAAGTTACATTATTAGTTTTAGAAATGCTTTTTCGGAGACAGTTACAGCTTGGCTCTCGTTTACCACAGTGATTTTATAAGCGCATCAAAGGTACGTATTTGTTTAACTGTTTCTTACGCAACCGCCAGCGTGTGCGTTCGAAGCATCATGAAATGTAAAGTGACAATGACTTGTAAAGTCACAATGATTAGAAGACTCGTGGCAGGCCCGCCGAGTGAACTGCAGGTGAATAGCTGTTTTAATAAACAATTTATTCCCACGGGAGGTGCAGAAAAGCCGAGGAACAATGCAACAACAGCAACGTGAAATATTTGTTAAGAAACTGATGTTGCAAAAATTTCCGAATCATGGGAATTGACATTGTACCATATCGTATTGTGAAAAATGCAATCAAGTCAACCCTACTATGGACACACGCACTTCATATTCACTCTCCCTGGCCTTCAAAGATAAAAGTCCCCGTATAGCCTCAAACGCCTTTTGGGGCAAGTGCTGTTAGCGAGCGCCTATGAAGGCCAGCATGGTACACGAGGGGGTGAGTCGCCAGCACCACACGCCGACCACCTTTGTCTCCCCAGTGGCGATGTTTACACACCGTTCCAATTACTCATTTGAGGCTGAGTCGACCTAGGAGATACCCAGGACCAATTCAGATAATTATTGCTTGGTATTGGACATTGAGCGGGAATCGAACTCGGATCGCCGGGTTTGTAGTGCAGCGCACACGCACACACACACAAGGTCTCGTGCGAACCCGCTACTCTACCACGCCCCGCACGCACACGTACCTGCATACGCGTATACACGCATACAAAGTGTACATAGCTTACACGAGCACCGGCATTAGCACACGCGTGTGCACACGCGACACCGAGACTGGTAACAGCAGGCTTCACGCGGCCGCAGTGACTTCTAAAGTCGCCGGTGGTTGTCACCTGTGGGAGCACCGTTGACGCTAAGTAATCGACAGGGATTGAATTCACCTGGAGAACAAACGAGCGGTGAGGCGGTTTAAGAGCTCACACTGCCACTGCCGCCGTTACAAACCAGTTCGCCATTGGCAGCGAGGGCTGCCAGGCGTGGTTTGAGGTCAGGTTGCCGGGTGGCTCGGTGGGGCTGATATTCGCTCCAGCGTTGAGCTGGCATTGCACAGAATGCCGGGTTCAAACTCAAGTACGTATGTTTCTTGAACTTCTTTCGCACCGTACGTAGCCATCTGTGCTAATCGGAGGTGTGGGGGAACAATGACAAACTAAACACAAAAAGCAGTTCTAAAGTAATCGAGATTTCAAAGTGCATAGCTCCAGTGGTTTCCTAATGTCAGAAGGAAGAGCGTTCCAGACGGCCACAGAAGCGCATCTGAGAGCGCGCGACGCCTTCTTTGTACGATGGTTAGCCAAAAGCCGCTGCGATGATAACCGCAGTTTGCGTGATGGGCAATGCCCCTTGACGAGATCAGCAAGGTATCGTGGTGCACACGTGGCAAGCGCTGAACCACAACACCTTGCTGATCTCGTGCAGCGAGTTCATGGTCTCAGCTCAGTCGCCAATGACGACACAAACAATGCACAGTACGTTCGATTTGTGACTGCGTTTGGTATATAAAATCGGTTTCAGTGTCACGTAGCGAGCACATGCATCGCAGACATGATGCACCGCCTCGTGTTAACGAGAGGCAACTGAAACACGTGGGGGGGGGGAATAACTGACTTACATTATTCGTGGCTTCCAGCTTGGCTGCAAACACTTCAATGTCGCTGCACACATTGCCTACGTTGCTGCACTTGCTGATGCGGGCTTCTCTCGACAGGGCATGACAGGAGATCCGGGTGCAGACGGAACGCCGGGACTGCCGGTACGCCGCGTAGCTCGCTCATCTCCTCACGGGATCCGTGGCCCTCGGGGGAGTGGGGGGGGGGCCTTGTTAGGCACCTGTCAATCAAATCTGTCTCCTCAGCGAGCCTTCAGCTCGACGCATCTCTCCTAACTCAAACGAGCACTGGGAGGGCGGCATCTCCCTTGGCGGCCCCGGCCCAATGCTGGAAATGACACATTTCTGTGATGGGGGAGCGTGTTTTGTTCGTAGCACTGCCACTTGCTGATGTCCCAGTAAATGGTATTTTCTCTGGCGTCTCCCTCTCACGGAGGTGAAGGGCCCGAGGCAATCCCTCGCCAGAATCCTTCACCGGCAATCCCTCCCCGTCAATCCCTCCCCGGCAATCCCTCGCCGGCAATCCATCGTCGACGATCCCTCCCCGGCACTCCCTTGTCGGTGAGGGATTGTATGTACGTACATTTGATCAGCGTCTGAGATGGTGAGTCCCGCTCGCCATGTCAGCCCACCACGTTGATCGTTGCTGATTTTATCGTCGCCCGTTTGAATTCCTTTTTTTCCAGGGACCTCCAGGGCCTCCAGGCTCCGTCGGACTCGCAGGGCACCCCGGGCCCCAGGTGAGTCTCACCTTGGGCTGCCAAGGCTCCGCGCAGAATCGACACCAGCGTACACATTGCTCGTGCGGCCACGATTCACGGGGTTGTTGATTCCATTCAGTGATTTAAAAAATATATTTTGTTTATCATTTACTAGGACTTGTTTTTTCTCATTCCTGCACCACCGTTTAGCACGGTTGGCGACGTACAGTGCGAAACAAGTTCAACGTACATACATACAAGGAATAGACCTGCCCATAGACTTCTACCTCAGTGGGCTCCCACGTCGTGAACGCAAACGCACACAACGTCACCACTACGTTTTTCTCTCGCAGTTTTAGAGAGTACAGTGTTTCGCGACCACCTACACAGTTTTTCTAATTCCTGCAAGCATCGTTTGCACCTAAAGTCGTCGCAGCTATTTTGGGTATTGTCATTTGTGCATAAACTGTGTTTGTCATGGCAACATGTTTATGGATAATTGGTTCCCTTCGTTGCAGGGCCCGATGGGTGCCAAGGGGGAGATGGGTCTACAGGTGAGTTAACGTCTGCTCTGAGAGTCGATTTTTGCAGAGCAGGAGAAGACCCATAATGCACCTGTGGAATGTAGAAAGTCGCAGAGTTCACCGCGTATCGACGGTAGATGCGTTCCCTGACAACGCCTATTAGGGCCGTGGTAATGTCACTTCCCCGCGTGACTGCTCGTACCACCGACACCAAACGTCTGCCACCGTAATACCGGCTGCAAATGCCATCAGGATAGAAGTCCGGCTTGGCACATTGCACCCATTGGGGCACCACAGTGGCGAGATGTTAACTACCTCGCGTGGTGTGCAGGTGGTCGTGGGTTCCATCCCGACCCTGACGTATAGAGTTTGCAAGTTCTTCCTGTGGTCGCGTGGATATTTCTCCAGGTCCTCCGGTTTTTCCCTCCGCATTTAGAAACATGCGTTTATAGTATTTGGCAGCGATACATTTCCACATGATAAGCTACTTCGTTGAGCTATCATGTGTTGCCAGGTTGCTTCTGAAAGAGAGCTGTATATATAAAAATAGTTTGTAGTTTAATGCTCCTACGCAGGGATTGCAGCACACAGTCTGCAACACATCCCAGCCACCTGTGGACTTGTCGCTTTCACTCTAAAATTGAATCACTACTTTCTGCTCGATCAACACGTCCACTTCAGCCGGCGTGCGACCGACTACCAAAGCAGTAACGTCCACCGCAAAGGCAGATACCCCGCGCTCATTTGTCAGCAAGGTTGACTTTTAACACGAATTAATGTCGCTACACACCGACAGAGATTGTACCAGCTATGATGATACATTCACTTGCAAGTTTTTAAAAGGACCATTACTTCATGGATATATATCTACAGTATGTAACAATCATTTCCACAAGCGTTCTTAATGTTTTACCGAAAAATGCAATCTCCGTATGACGGTGCATTTTTTGTTACATTTGGTAATGAGCAGGCAGGAGGGGAGTGGAGAATGCAACTGTGATGCAGGCTCGATGGACGGGGTGCTGCTGTGTGCCTACAGGGACGACCGGGGTTGGACGGCGTCGGCATTCAGGGACCGCCCGGCCTACCCGGTCCGCCTGGGCCCCCTTCCTTCTTCCATGGACCGACCTACGATGTGGTGAGTGGCAGCGGACACCCGCGTCAAGCCTCGGCCTGAGAGACTCGATGGTGTAATCACACACTCACACACAAGACAAAGATCCCCCGTATAGCCTTAACAGACTGTAAGGGAAAGTGCTGTTAGCGAGCACCTATGAAGGCCGAAACGGTCCACGAGGGGGTGGGTGGCCAGCACCACGCCCGACCGCCTTTGTCTCCTCAGTGGCGATGTTTACACACCGCACCAGGTACTCATTTGAGGCGCGGGGGGGGGGGGGGGATTCAGGACCTTTGTCTTTCAGAGTTTTGTTGCGAGTCGGCAGTCTTCCGGAACGCTTCTCGGTGCACGTACTGTATGTACGTTGAAACGCTTTCACACCGCACGTATCTAACCGTGCGAATCGGAGGTTAGCAATACTCGTCATTGGGAACAGCAGAACCTAAATTGAGGTGTGTTCTGTGTGTGGTGATCATGGGGACTCTGTGAGGCTGGAGTATAAATATTGGCAGTTTGAATGAACAGTTGGCAGCATCCTTAACCCCCAAGTATTCGTAGACATTCTCCCCTGCTCAGAACCAGAATGCAATGGAGCAAAGGCCCAACCCTGCGCGAGAGATGTCAGCTGAATTATGTGAGGTACACCTTTCCTGCCAGAAATCTCAGCAGTGTTTTGAGGAGCTTGGTTGTGAATTACCCAAAATATAACTATTGAAAGACGCTATGAAGTGAGAGAACAGAAAATTAAACTATAGGTCCCACTTGGGCCCTGTTGTCTTTCTTGTTGAAAATATGGAATGTATTCAACTGGCACCTTCCTGAAAGCTGAGGCTGGATTTCTAATCTACAAATAGGCTCACTCTTATCACGTTCCCACGACCAATGTGAACCATGCCTGTCCATTGTTTGAACCGGGCTGGAGCGAACTGGTCATGAGCTAGCTGGCCCAAGGGGTTCCCAGACTCGGCTGGAGAAGCACATCGCAGCCTTCTACCCAGGCCGACCCTGGCACCGACCGCGATGCCTCGGGGTCGTCACAGACCCGAGATGCGTGCGTCGTGACGTTGCTCGCTTGGTGACACTTTGCAGCAGTTCTGTTAAAATCACATGGGCGCAATATTCTAAAGATTGTGTATTCCCGCTTTAAATTGCCTACCGTAACCCCCATGTCTATGTAAAAACATTGCTAAACACAAACCTTATTTAAGATCACTTCACAGACCCGGTAGAGTGCGGGGGATCCACGGAGCCCCAGGGCTCACGGGGCGTGGGGCACGGACCTGGGCACTGCTGCTGATCTTGGGTCAGATCTCGGCCAATCCTGGGCTCACGGTCCCAGTGCCCAGTAGTCGTGGGAATGAGAGTTGTGTTGGGAATCCAGAGCAGTTTCGATGAGAAGGGGATTAAAATAAAGAGTTCAAACGGTGGGTGAGAGTGTGATAAAAAAAATACATGTTTTGTAAAAAAACATCACATAGCTACTCACGTGCATACGGATGTCATACACTTATCACTGTGGCCATTAATGAATAAAACCGGGTCATAAATGGGCACCGAATTTTAATAAGCGTTTAGGCTCTGACCTCAATAACGTCTAATTACCAGGTCCCCTAATCAATGAAACATGAAGAGACGTCACTCTGCGTATTGTGGGAAGCTGAAATAATCATTTTTGGCACGAAAACATAACATTCTGCCCAGCTTGTAAGAATTAGGATAAGATTTAGATCGCTCGTGATTTATCATATTTTGGAAAATGTTTTAAATATTCGCATACACAGCCATAACGGTTTTTAATGACCACAACACATGGCAGTACTTTGTTAACCTGTTCTTTGTAGTTCAAGGTCATGTTTATTGACACTTTAACAACCTTTGCAGTAAATTCTGTGCTGCTTATGAGTTTACATTGACTCGGAGGCCATTAGCATTCAGTGCTATTTTGCAACCGCCCAATCACGCGAGGGAGCAAACCATTATGGCGTACGCAGTGTATTTATTATAGGAAGAGCTGTGCTTTGTAACGAGTGTCTCTTGCATTGGGTAAAGGAATATCCCTGGCTGCTCTATGCAGGCATTTGGTTTGTACTTGCAGGCCTTGTCTGTGCTGTGGGTGTAAGACCGCACGTGTCCTATGTTGTGGGGAGCGGTGGCGCAGCGGTTTGCACACTGCGACCGAGTTCAGTTCCCGCTCACGACCAATATAACAGCGGCGATTATCTGAACCGCTCCTGGGTCTCCCCGAGGTCGACTCTGCCTCAAATGAGTCGCCCTAATGCCATGCGTAAACATCGCCCCCCTCGAGTCCCGTGCCGGCTAACAGCACTTGCCCCAAGAGTCTGTTGAGGCTACACAGTGGGGGAATCATTGTCTTTGTCCTCTGTGTGACAGGAGTCGGGGGGTGTGGCAGGCCAAGCAGGACAGCCAGGGCCCCCAGGCCCCGTGGGACCCTGCAGGACTCCAGGTGAGCAAAAACGTGGATCGCACGACCCGCGAGCCACAGGTGGGCCCGCGGTGGCTCCGCCATGTACGTACGCAACGGGTGAAACGGTGTGTGTCCCGGCGTGACCAACGTCCCGACTCCGCGGGAATTCCATTGGTGATGCGGTGGAGGCGAGGAAGGCCTCTCGAGTGGATGAAGTCACTTTGCTTCTCCGCGTCCGCCTCCTCCTCCTGGCCGCAACGCTCGTTTCCGTCTCGAGCGCGTGGCAAACGCACGGCGGCAGGCGTCGGGGGTGGCGGGTTGCCGCGCCCTCCGCGCGTCCCGAAGGCGCGACAGCGAAGCGTGCGCACGCGCAGTGTTCACAGTCCCTGCCCTTGGAGGCAACAGCCGACAGACGCAACGCCGCACGGGAGAGAGGCGCGGGCCGTGCGACGCCTCGTGGACCCGTTCTTATCTGAAGGCCAGAGGCGAATGTTTGCCTTGGAGCGGACTGCAATTCCTGATGCGGAATCGAGAACGCAGCGCCACTGCGTCGGATGTTGTCATGGTACGGGTGTATTGACACCAAATGTCACCCCCGTCACCTTTGGGGTCGCAACGGTCTATTACGGCTCAAGGGAATCACAACGGAATCAGAATCTTTATTATTTAGACTGGAGCAACCCCATGAGCCATCAAGTTATTTTTCACTGATGTCCCGTAAGGGTGACAGGTCAGCAAGTTACAGCAACGAACAATACACTAAACGATAGGGGGTGGAAACGAGAGAAAAGGTAAGCAAATTACGGAAAATAAATATAAATAAACAAAATATATGAGTAAAAATTGCATGAGTACATACATTCTTGCCGATATTTCAACACTAAATGCAAGAAATCACCGTGAGGACTTAGATTACAGCTCGATTGCAGCAACACGCAATCCACAATATTTGTAAGAGGAAGTTGGAGTGTAATATTACACTCGGCATGAATTTCTCCTTGAATTACAGTTTCTTCAGACGTGCTTAAAACACTTAAAAGTGTGAATTGGCTGCACATTCCAAAGCGGCGCCCATTTGACGATGGGTGTTGAGACGCGGTGGGTGAAACCACCACCGAGACAACAGGTTCAGTCTGATCGCAACTTCCCATTGTGAATCGAGGCCCTGTCCCTGAAACGCGCGACACCTCATAATGCCTCGCGGCGGTGGCTCACGGCGGTGCGGTGCCGCGCTGCGGGCTCTGCCGCACCTACACGGGTCCCACCTCACCACACGGGTCCCACCTCACCACACGGGTCGCCTCACCACACGGGTCCCACCTCACCACACGGGTCCACCTCACCACACGGGTCCCACCTCACCACACGGGCCGCCTCACCACGCGGGTCGCCTCACCACACGGGTCGCCTCACCACACGGGTCGCCTCACCACACGGGTCGCCTCACCACACGGGTCGCCTCACCACACGGGCCGCCTCACCAAACGGGATCCGCCTCACCACACGGGTCGCCTCACCAAACGGGATCCGCCTCACCACACGGGTCGCCTCACCAAACGGGATCCGCCTCACCACACGGGTCGCCTCACCACACGGGTCGCCTCACCACACGGGCCGCCTCACCACGCGGGTCGCCTCACCACACGGGCCGCCTCACCACACGGGTCCCACCTCACCACACGGGCCGCCTCACCACACGGGCCGCCTCACCACACGGGTCCCACCTCACCACACGGGTCCCGCCTCACCACACGGGCCGCCTCACCACACGGGTCCCACCTCACCACACGGGCCGCCTCACCACACGGGTCGCCTCACCACGCGGGTCGCCTCACCACACGGGTCCCACCTCACCACACGGGCCGCCTCACCACACGGGTCGCCTCACCACACGGGTCCCACCTCACCACACGGGTCGCCTCACCACGCGGGTCGCCTCACCACACGGGTCCCACCTCACCACATGGGCCGCCTCAAAACACGGGTCGCCTCACCACACGGGTCCCACCTCACCACACGGGCCGCCTCACCACACGGGTCGCCTCACCACACGGGTCCCACCTCACCACACGGGCCGCCTCAAAACACGGGTCGCCTCACCACACGGGTCCCACCTCACCACACGGGCCGCCTCACCACACGGGTCGCCTCACCACGCGGGTCGCCTCACCACACGGGTCCCACCTCACCACACGGGTCGCCTCACCACGCGGGTCGCCTCACCACGCGGGTCGCCTCACCACGCGGGTCGCCTCACCACACGGGTCCCACCTCACCACACGGGCCGCCTCACCACACGGGTCGCCTCACCACGCGGGTCGCCTCACCACACGGGTCGCCTCACCACGCGGGTCGCCTCACCACGCGGGTCGCCTCACCACGCGGGTCGCCTCACCACACGGGTCGCCTCACCACACGGGTCCCGCCTCACCACACGGGTCGCCTCACCACACGGGTCGCCTCACCACACGGGTCCCGCCTCACCACACGGGTCGCCTCACCACACGGGTCCCACCTCACCACACGGGTCGCCTCACCACACGGGTCGCCTCACCACACGGGTCCCACCTCACCACACGGGTCCCACCTCACCACACGGGTCGCCTCACCACGCGGGCCGCCTCACCACGCGGGTCGCCTCACCACACGGGTCGCCTCACCACACGGGTCGCCTCACCACACGGGTCCCGCCTCACCACACGGGTCCCACCTCACCACACGGGTCGCCTCACCACGCGGGCCGCCTCACCACACGGGTCCCGCCTCACCACACGGGTCGCCTCACCACACGGGTCGCCTCACCACACGGGTCCCGCCTCACCACACGGGTCCCACCTCACCACACGGGTCGCCTCACCACACGGGTCGCCTCACCACACGGGTCCCACCTCACCACACGGGTCCCACCTCACCACACGGGTCGCCTCACCACACGGGTCCCGCCTCACCACACGGGTCCCACCTCACCACACGGGTCGCCTCACCACACGGGTCGCCTCACCACACGGGTCCCACCTCACCACACGGGTCCCACCTCACCACACGGGTCGCCTCACCACGCGGGCCGCCTCACCACGCGGGTCGCCTCACCACACGGGTCGCCTCACCACGCGGGTCGCCTCACCACACGGGTCCCACCTCACCACGCGGGCCGCCTCACCACACGGGTCGCCTCACCACACGGGACCCGCCTCACCACACGGGTCCCACCTCACCACGCGGGCCGCCTCACCACACGGGTCGCCTCACCACACGGGTCGCCTCACCACACGGGTCCCGCCTCACCACACGGGTCGCCTCACCACACGGGTCCCACCTCACCACACGGGTCGCCTCACCACACGGGTCGCCTCACCACACGGGTCCCACCTCACCACACGGGTCCCACCTCACCACACGGGTCGCCTCACCACGCGGGCCGCCTCACCACGCGGGTCGCCTCACCACACGGGTCCCACCTCACCACACGGGTCCCACCTCACCACACGGGTCCCACCTCACCACACGGGTCCCACCTCACCACACGGGTCCCACCTCACCACACGGGACCCACCTCACCACACGGGTCGCCTCACCACGCGGGTCGCCTCACCACACGGGTCGCCTCACCACACGGGTCGCCTCACCACACGGGACCCGCCTCACCACGCGGGTCGCCTCACCACACGGGACCCGCCTCACCACACGGGTCGCCTCACCACACGGGTCGCCTCACCACACGGGTCGCCTCACCACACGGGACCCGCCTCACCACACGGGTCGCCTCACCACACGGGTCGCCTACCACGGGTCGCCTCACGCGGGTCGCCTCACCACACGGGTCGCCTCACCACACGGGTCGCCTCACCACACGGGCCCCGCCTCACCACACGGGACCCGCCTCACCACGCGGGTCGCCTCACCACACGGGTCGCCTCACCACGCGGGTCGCCTCACCACACGGGACCCGCCTCACCACACGGGTCGCCTCACCACACGGGTCGCCTCACCACGCGGGTCGCCTCACCACACGGGACCCGCCTCACCACGCGGGTCGCCTCACCACACGGGTCGCCTCACCACGCGGGTCGCCTCACCACACGGGACCCGCCTCACCACACGGGTCGCCTCACCACACGGGTCGCCTCACCACATGGTATCCACCGCACCACACGGGCCCCGCCGCGCTGCGCGGGTTTGCGTGTAGAGACGGGCCCTGAGGCAGGGGTGACTCGTGCGTTGCCGCCCCACTCTGCGCACAGGGGCCTCCGGGAATGGTGGGACTGGCTGGACACCCAGTAAGGCCTCTCTCGGCTCTATCCCCGTAGCCGCTTATCCATTTCCACGTCGGCCTCAGTCGAGGAGACCCACGTCCCCTTGCCCATATCTGCCTCCCTTTAAACCATCGTGAGCGTTCGCCCTGGTCCCCGAGTCCCACTGTGCCGGCCCCGTCCGTGCAGGACTGAGCCTTCCCAGCCTCCGCGGATGTTTGTCGCCGCCCTCCTGTGTGTGCGTCAGCTCCTTGACCTCCTGACAGCGTCGCATCTCCATGACTAATGATCCCCTGTGTCAGTTCCAAACCCATCACGTTTTTCTGAGCTGAGTCCAGACCATGACACCACAGCGTGCGCGCACAAGCAATGTGGAAATAATATTGCGAGCACTTTGCGGTGATTGGCAGTGCCCATTCCTTGAGTTATGATGAACCGGTTGTGCCATACCCGCTGGTTTGCGCATTTGCTAAGTGTGAAGGGTCTTGATTCAGCTCAGGCCATCACATATGGTCCCTGCTTCCGCATCCCGACAACATCCACATATCCCCCCACGTTCCCCACGAGTGTCCGCTCACCCCGACACCACCGCGTGGCCCTCACCGGCGTTGTGGCTTCTCCGCAGGGGCTGCCTGGACCCCGCGGGGAGAAGGGCGCCTCGGGCATTCAGGGACCCGCGGGGATGAAGGTGAGGACCACGTCCACCCACAGACACGAGAGGAGCCGCTGACGTCCAGTTCTCCCTTTGCTATTATTTATTTGGGTTCTTACGAAATAAATTACAATAATATCGATAAACATATTCACCCGTTCAGTTGGAATTTAACGTCTACTAATGGTCCTTTAAATAATTCTGTGGCCTTACAGTAGAAGTGGTGCATGAATAAAGTATTGATGTTCAGCCAAGCATACACTTTTTAAGTATTGAAAAATGGGGGAAATTTTTTTATTTTAAATCCAAAGAAATGTAAAAATAGCGGAGATAATTCGGAGAAATGTAGAGAATCCACATGTGGTAGAACTGGCTGGCAGTGCCCTCCACGAGTCTCCACAGCTGATGAATCGATCACCGTTATTTAAATTAGGCAAGGGGCCATTGGGACGGGAAATCTCTCTATCGAAGTAGAGCTTGAGTTCAAGAAGAGTCTTGAAGGATCTCTTGATTTCCTTGTGATAGATGTTGGGATATGTGTCTCTCAAACAAGTGGCTTGAGACCTGAGTTCTTCTTCTGGTGAGGGATTGAAGATTTTAATCATCGATAGACAAAGTGCACTGCACTTGCAGAGGATCGTGGAGAAAAACACATTTCCATGAGGGCCACTTGTCACTTTCCATGTCAGGACAGACTTCTCAGTCACACTCTGTAGCGTAGTGTACGACCTCGGAGACCAGTTACGCTGTAAAGACCACACCACTAATGTCTCAAATTGCATTGCAGCAGAATACCGAGTGGGGTGCAGCTGATGGGGAAGCGGTGCGCAGTATCGATGTCACAACGTTCGCCCGACCATGGAATTAAAATGGGCGTCTGCTCGGTTTGTTTCCTGCGTGTGTCCATCGCAGGGTGAGAGGGGGGAACCCGGGGTCGTCATTGCTGCAGATGGCTCCCATCTGGCAAGCATGGCAGGGCCCCAGGGACCCAAGGGTGACAAGGTGAGTCATGGCAGCAGCAGCACCTGCTACCTGTAGGCCTCATCCCAGTGCCGGCAGCATCACGGGCAGGGCCCCCCGGCTCCACCCAGGGATCAGCTCACGGTCCGTGCTCGGAGGCAGCTCAACAGGGAGAGTGCAGGGAGGGCAGGGGGAAGAGAGACCGGGGAAGAGAGACTGGGGAAGAGAGACCGGGGAAGAGAGACCGGGGAAGAGAAGCTGAGCCCAGCCGAATGTAGCAACGCTAAAGACAAACACCAAGAAAGACGCGGAGAGACTCGGAGACGCAGAGGAAGAGACGGAACAAGATCGACAAACGGAGGACACGGAGATAAACAAATGCAGAGAGGCAGAGAGAGAGAGACAAAGACAACTGCTAGCTGGAGTAGTTGGCGGATGTGCTAATGGTATTCATGGGCCCACTTGTGTTAGTGTGTGTGAGTAAATTAAATTAGTGCCGCTCGATAGGAAGGCAGCAGTGGTTGCCCCGTGGTTCATGGAGTGCCCATTCGCTCACCACCGGCTCGGGGCCACTGTGGGAGATGAGTGCTGCCCCGTTGCACGTTTAGGCAGCGGAGACGCTGACAATTGGCCTCGACCGTCCTTGGTTGCTCCAGCCGTGAGGACACTTGGAGCAGGGCGCGTGAGCACTGGCCACTCGGGAAACGGAGTTTTGTGACGTCGCACTCCGAGCGGAACGCTGGCTTGCGTGGCGCGCATGTTACCGCCGCCATCTGCGAGCCTTGCCAACGGACGCGTTCCACCTTGTGGAAAATGCCGCTGTAGTCCAAGCGCAATGTGATTGGGAAAAAGTAAAAAAAAAGTGTGGCCGTGTGATTTGTGCCATAGGCAGAAATCACTGCTACTGTCACCTCCTTGATGATGACAGTGACGATGATGATAGCGGCGTTCACCTCATTCGCTCTTCTTGCTGTGTTGCAGGGCGATGCTGGCTCTCCTGGATTGCTGGTGAGTTCCGTGCAGCCACGATGAGCACCTCCAGTTAGCACAGTTGGCTACGTACGGTGCGAAATAAGTTTAACATATGTACGTGCATAGCGAGTAAGTCGAGAAGCAGCTTGCATACGTGTGCACACCAGCCGCGTCTCTTGGGGGAAATGAGCACTTGCTCCCCGTTGTTGATTTGTCCAGCGCTTGCCTTGCCTTGCTGCACTACTCCATCTGCACAAATAATAATTGACGCTGCCCTAAAGTTGAATAACAATAATATTGACTTATACTTTTAGAGCACCTTTCACCCGGAGATGACAAAGTGGTGTGCAGAGCGAATAACATGAATAACATTTCGAGAGATAAAATAAGAGCAAAAAAAACCTCATAAATAAAATCACGCATTCGTGTGGTAAGAACACCCACCAACATAAAATAACCAACCCATAGCTGCAAAATACTGAGGAAGTGAAGGGGGCCTTCGTGGGCGGACGGCGCTTCGGGGTGGGAACCGAATCGTGGGCGAGAGACTCGGCACCGCCCCACGCCGAGTAGTCCGGTGGATTCCACGCGGCGAGAGGTCCCCGTTGAGCGGCGAACGGAGGGGGAGCGCCGCGACCTTTGGGCGTGCACAGCGGCAAGCGGCCGCAATCGGGGTACCGGAGGAGAGGACGTACGGAGGGAGACGCTGCGCAGCTCCCTGGCAACGGGCTTCCGCGCCACCGCGTCCATTGAACCGGCGACGTTTCCTCGGGGGCTCGCCGCTCCGCACTCGCCCTTGGGCTAGGCGCTTCCCCGCCTGGGAGCCCACGCGGAGCCCCGGGGGCCGGGGCGGGCTCACGGGGACCGAGCGGCCGCGCTGGCCGCACCCTGGCTTCGGCGGGGCCCAGCGAGGCCTAGCGATGTCCTCACCGTGTCCCTCTTCTCGTTCGTCGCCAGGGTCCGGTGGGTCACGCCGGAGTCAAGGGGGAGTACGGCATGCCGGGGAGGCCCGTAAGTGCTCATCTCTGCTGTCGCTCTGCCCGCGTTTTTTGATGTTTGACGTAAAGAGGGCCTTTGCTCTAGCATTGAACGTGTTTGTGCGTGTCGTGCAGTTCGCGTGAGTATTACATTAGTGTTACAATGCAAGTCACTTGATTGATATATACACGGCAATCATCGCCCACTACTGCCAAAAACCTTGTAGGACCCTCCTGAAAAAGAGTCATGAGACTTGGTGGGTAAGAAGCGTATTGAAATATTACAATCAGTACGGCTTCTACACACAGCAGAATTGTCATAATCGCACAACAAATCCTCGTCTTAAATTTTTCATTCATAAGACTTGGCCATCTTCATAATGCACCTGGATATTAACCCAGGCTTCACTATTTGAAGTCAAGATGTTTACCTCGCAGAGCCACAAATCCACTCGATGCACTCAGTGCCTGGAACTCTCAAATGCTCACAGGCTTCACATGATATCTTTATAAGCATCATGAATGCACCAAAAACTAATCGACCCAGTGCATCGTTACACTGCCTCTGTCGTTCCGTGGTTGGATTGCTGACTTTGTGTTCTCAGGGTCGGCCGGGAGTGAACGGCTTCAAAGGTCAGAAGGGCGAATCTGGAGGAGGTGTTGGCCTGGGAAATGTGAGCACCTCTACCGTGCATCCTCACAACTCTATCACACCGGACACAGCACACACCACACACAGCACACAGCACACAGTACACACTGCACTGCACAGTACACCACACTGCAAACACCGCACCGCACAGCACACCGCACCGCACCACAAACACAACGCACACACCACACAGCAAACCGCACAGTAAAAACCATACCACACACCACATCGCACACCACACAGACCACATCTACTACACCACACACACCCTACTCTTAGACCACACGTATACTACTACACCTACCACAGCACACCACATAAACTACACTTACACTACACGAACCACCCCACACACACCGGACATCACGTATTACACCACACACAGACACTCCACACATACACTACCACATACCACAGCGCACCCACTACCACTTACCTTGTGTCTTCCAGCATCGTCTGTTTTGGCAGAAAAACCCAGAATCGGTTTTGGACTTCTTACGTTTCGTCAGCGGTCTGTGTCCTGTCGAACGAATGCCGCCGAGTTATTGTGGAATCGTAGGCAGGAGCACTCCACGAACACCGGAGTGCCCAACCAACGCGGTGCAGCGACATTGTGCACATTTCATGATGCCCTCCCATGTAAATTGTGGGCAATACAATAACAAATATGTTAATATCTATCTAAATAGGTAGCCGTGCAGAGGAGGGGCTGTTTCATCACCAAAGCGAATAGAGTAGCAGCATTTGTGCGGCGTCCGCTCGTCGTAGCGACGCAGCGAGCGTTCCCATGCGTTTCACCGCTTCACAGGAATTGGTCTCTTTCTGTCCGCAGAGTTTCCCCGGCCCTCCCGGACCTCCCGGCCCGCCTGGCCCCCCGGGCCAGCCGGGGTTCCCCGTGGACGTCAACAACAGAGTAAGAACGCGGATTGCGGTCCCGTGGCCCCCAACCGCCGCTGCTGCTGCTGCCGCCGCCGCCGCTGCTGCCGCCGCTGCCGCCGCTGCTACCGCTGCCTGTATCGCCGTGTTCCCATCCTCGTGTTTCTCGCGTCATCGCGCATTTGCTGCCCGTCACTGTGCTGTCTCTTGTCTCTGTCCCCCCTTGTAGCGAGTAGTTCCACCACCTCCTCGCCCCCACTGCAAAATCCCTGTAAGTCATTGCGCACATTGGAACGGTCCGAACAAACGGTGAACAAGAGGAGGAGTAAATGGGTCGTGATCAACAACGACAATGGATGTCAGAGGCTCACAAATGTCAATTTTTTTTGTTATATATATGCATTCGGGCATCTTTACTCATTAACTTGGCTGAGACAGCATTTGATATTTATACTTTGCAGAGCAAAACAAAGTACACGGGAATAATTGTACTCTTTGCCAGGTTTTGTTATACTTCTGCTTATGGCCGATGGAGGGCAACGGCTGAGATTGTTGAGCCAGATGATTGGGTCAGGAGTAGCGGAATGGCGTGTCGCTGTGATGATGCCTCCTTTGTATTTTACCAGGGAATGTGTAGTTACCTGGGGGAGGTGATAACGCTTGTCATTTACTTTGGCTACGTTCCAAGTTTGGGAATTCAGCTGAAGCCACTGCTCACATTGATTTGACGACTACCATTCGGAGTTCCGGTAAGGCAGCTCCTGGGATTGAAACATCGAATGCATACCGACTGCCTCAGCAGCAAGCACGCGAATGTGGCTCTTCAGCCACATAGAAAACTATTATTATCTGTATGTAAATTATTTATAAATGCGGATTGACAAAGTAAGCCCGAATCAATCAGCAGCTGCAATTTTGTACGCAGACTCCTCGCGACTTAGTAAGCACCCCACATTCACCGTTTGAGCACCCTTGACGATTCCACTGAGGAGGGCGATTCGAGTACAGCCCATCATCGATTATCCAACTGATTCAGGGGGCAGAGGCGTGCCCGATGAAAAAAAAAACGCTGGATAATCACTAAATCGTTATTTCCACGGAAAGCGTGCAATCGCTCTTCCAGCGTTGCGTACACCTCGCAGAACAACCCGGCGCATTTTCACGCTCAAGGGGACGCGACGGAGCGGTGATCGGAAAGGAAATCCGTGAGAGAGCCCAGGTCACCGAGTGGTGCATGGCCCAGCGGGGCAGTGGCCACTAGGAGCTCGTCTTGTCGGAGTCCCAAGTCACTCGACCTGTCTTGTGCTGCACTCACCCTGTCTCAGTGTCTCTGGCATGCCACCCATCAAAGGCCTCGAGCATCAGGCTGCGTTTGGTATTCGACGGCACGTTTCCCCAGATACGCAGCCGCAAAGCAAAGACAGCGAGATCAGCGCAACAAAACTGCGGCGGTTGTTTCCGGAATGTGGGGCATAGGATCACAGGGGGGGTACTTGATGGCCAAACGCAAATCCTTGATTCCACGTGAAAAAAAATTACTTCTTAAAATGTAAAACACAATTTTAACGTAGGAAGCAGCGGCATGGAGTAGGGAAACGTGCTTGCAAACGCAAAAGCAGCCGGATGTTCATGGTGTGTTAGCGGTGCCCTTTGCACCCCATGTGTCTGTCAACGCTGTGTGTGCCATGAAGCTGCAACGCTGCCTGCCGTGTTCGCGCTGTTACCAGCTGCCCTCTGCTGTCACCCCACTGCCGCGTTGTGATGTCACCAGCTGCTCTCTGCTGTCACCCCACTGCCGTGTCGCGCTGTCACCAGCTGCCCTCTGCTGTCACCCCACTGCCGTGTCGCGCTGTCACCAGCTGCCCTCTGCTGTCACCCCACTGCCGTGTCGCGCTGTCACCAGCTGCCCTCTGCTGTCACCCCACTGCCGTGTCGCGCTGTCACCAGCTGCCCTCTGCTGTCACCCCACTGCCGTGTCGCACTGTCACCAGCTGCCCTCTGTTGTCACCCCACTGCCACGTTGTGATGTCACCAGCTGCCCTCTGCAGTCACCTCGCTGCCTTGCCATGCATGGACACAGTTCAAGTTGAGAATTGAAAAGTGCTATTAAAGTCGCGCTATTGAAGCCACTTTATCCGAGTTCTTTTCTGTACGAGCACCGGATGTAATTTCCTTGCCTTCCACATACAATGTGTTTTGTATGCGCACAGAAGCCCAGCATGTTCAGATGTCTTAATGCCACTTGAATGGCGTGGCACTGTTTACATTTATTAACAGTGTAAGTGTCAACAAACTTATTCCTAAGTTGTCATAAAAATATACTGAGTTTCTTTTTAAACATTTCACTGATTAATTTGCACAAATGAAGTGACATTGTTGGGACTTCGAATTAAATATAACAATAAACGTGTGAGAGTGGATTATTTTGGCAACTGTTTGTAGTTGTTAGCTAGATGTCTGCAGCAGCATTATGTTTAGCCGATTCACTGGCATAACGAGCATCTGTTTGTGTCAAAGTGAAGGTTTGGCCCGAGTAAATTAAATTGCCAATAATTGCCTTTAAAGAGTGTAACTTTACTATACCTGACGCTGTCAATGCAACCTGCCGTGCAAATATGAGCGTGACCCCAATTGGTCATCAGAATCAGTGCTCAGAGTTCATGGGTTTTACTTATTTAATCCTTTAGATCCAAAAAGCATGAATTGTTGTTAACGATTCTGAGATCAGGAATGTGCGACCACTTGATGCCACGCCATGAGCACATGTTGACTTGAGAACCACAGCAGTCATGAAACGCGACTTTAAAAATAAATCCAGTTCCCCTGTGTTGCTTATTGCCACTGAAAGCAGTCCAGATTTCTCTCTGCCAGCCACAGCTCCTTCATTACCAACAAAGGGACCTGACAAACATGGCTAATGTACCTGTGCTCGGTAATGGCCCTCATGTATAACACACTCATCATTAATGGGGTTAGCCAAACATCCCACTGTAGGATCACAGAACTTGGACAAGTGTCGGTGCCAGTACTGGCTGCCTTGCCAAGCGCTTGTCTGTGGGTTGCCGCGCCTTCGAGCCGAACAAAGTCTGCGGCGCGTATCGAGCGGTGTGTGCGTACATCGATGTTTACTCTTTATTTATTTATTTATTCTGTGTGGGTATGCAGGTGGACCACTTCCAGCCGGGGGTGCATTCAAATTTCGGTGAGTGGCCGCACTGTGGCTGTTGCTGCTGCTTGGTGGTGGTGGTGGTGATGTGTCACCACTGCGTGGTCACGTGGTCGAAGGTCTCGCCCGCAGGTCGTGTCGTGGGCAGAGCGCTCGATAGACTGCAAGGAGGGAAAGAATGTGTGGAGGGGGGGGCAGTCGTTGATGTTGCCCGACGGGAGCTGAAGGAACCGCAGCTGAGACTGGGTCGCAGAGACGAGTTGGTTTGCGAGAGACGTAGAAGAGGTGAAAGAAGCTGACCCACCCAGCCAATGGAACAAATAAAGAGAAGAAATAAAGTACATTTTATAAATAGTGAAGAGTGGTCAAACAACCTCCATGGACGAACAACATGGGGAAGCCTTCATCAAACTATGGATTGACAAAGGCCTGCAAATTATTGTTTTTATGATGATCATATGCAGTAACGTGTAATAACATGACTTTCAACATCCATAGATCTCTCATACATACAAGCAAACAAGCACGTGTGTGCTATATTCTTTGGGTCTTTCGGTAAAGTCACGTTGATAGATTCAAAGAAAATAACAAAAAATAACAAAAAAACTACGACGTTTCAACCACAACACAAGCGATCATCATCAGGAAGAAAAAGGAAGGGGAAAGCTGCTGAGGCAGACTGTTTTAAAGGTTTAAAATGGGTGTAGCCCAAGGGTCATAAACGAAGTGGGTAGGGCTAGTGATGTTAATGTGAGAAATTAGCATGTTAATGGCAGTGGCTATGTTAATGTGAGAGATTAGCATGTGGATGGGAGATCGCAGAGCAGCAACGTCGAGCTCGGGGGAGCGAGGTGGCTGCGTTAGTGTGAGAAATTTTACCTGTTCATGTAAAATCAGAGAGCCCAAAATAACAACTAACATCGGAAGGTGGTAGGATGGGAACATCACAGCCAGTTATGACTTGAACTGGTTGATAACGTCCTTCCAATGATTGCTCAGTTTGTACCCATCTTCTCGATTGAAGTTGTGTGTATATGTGGATGGCTTCATGAACTAACCTTTGTTGATAGCCAGTGGGTTTGCAAAGTACCTTTCGTCTTAGAGAAATCTATTTCGTGTGAGCCCAACGCATTAAAACAATGATCAGCCACGGCCGAAGTGTTCGTCCTGCTGTGTTTCAGATCTGCCTTATGTTCACGAACACGGTCCGAGACATGTCGCTTAGTTTCCCCAATGTAACTACTGCCGCAGACACCACTTAGTTTGTAGACTGCCGGGGTATTTCATGTCAGGGATCATATCCTTCACAGATGGAATCAGATCACGAATTTTATATACTGTGTTAAATAGAACCTGGATCTTGTTTGCTCATGATTTTGGAGATCGTTTTGGTGACCCCTGCTCTGTATGGCAAGGTGATGGTTTTGATTGGGTCCTCAGATGGTTCTTTCCCAACGGTTGGGGTGATAGCTTTACGGATTGTGTAGTCTGAATATCCATTCATCTTGAGAACTTGGTGTACCTGTTTCAGTTCACTGGCTCGGTGATGATGGTTGGAAATACATCGAGCTCTATGGTATGGAATTTTAATGAAGGAATTATTCTGGGAAGGATGGTGGTGGGAGTCAGGTTTTAGATATGCACCCGTATGGGTGGCTTTCCTGTAGACAGTGTCCCATTGAGCCGTCTGGTCTCTTTTTGATAAAAACATCCAAGAATGGTAGCTTGCCATCCTTTACTACCTCCATGGTGAATTTGATGGCTGGGTGTATGGAATTGATGTGGTTGAGGAATTGGTTCAGAGCAGGCTGGCCATGTGGCCAGATGATGAACGTGTCATCTACGTACCTCTTCCACAAGGACGGACGTAGAGTGGATGCCTGGATGGCATCTGTCTGAAAAATTTCCATGAAAACATTGGCAACAACTGGAGAAAAGGGAGAACCCATTTGGGTACCTTCAACTTGTTTGTAGAAAGTTCCATTCCAGGTGATGTAAGTGATGGTGAGGCAGTGTCTCACCAGGGCCAGAACATCAGCATTCAGTCCTTGTTGGACCAAGTCTTCAATGATTGCAATGGTGTCAGGCACAGCAACTTTGGTAAACAGAGAGACTACATCGAAACTAATGAGCAAATCACCTGGAGATAGTGAGATGTCCTTAATTAACGATACCAAGTGAGCTGAGTTAAGTACAGCTGAGGTGGTCTTACCAGTGAATGATTGTAAGGTTTGGGACAGAAATCGGGGCAAGTTTGAAGGTGGGTGAGTCAATGGTGGAGACGATAGGATGGAGTGGTGTACCCTCTTTATGGATTTTTGGTAAGCCATACAGTCTGGGTGGTCTAGAAGCAGAGGGTTTTAAATAAAACCGCTTGGTTGGTTCGATTAAATATGTCGAATCGGTGATGATATTGTTGGTTTTCCTAACGAGGCTGTTGGTGGGATCTCTTTTAAATTTTTGTATAGCTACCATCATTAAGTAGGTCCTGAATTTTGTTATTGTATGTGGTTTTGTCCATGATGACTGTGGCATTACCCTTGTCGGCTGAGAGGATGACGATGTCATCTCTCTTTTTTAATTGGGAAAGCTCAAAGCGGTCATCCTTACTGATGTTGCTAATAGGTGTCTTAGCGTTTTTGAGAATTGCAGCGATTTCCGATCTTGACCCAAAGAATATGAATTGCTGCAGTCACGAAAGCTGTAAGTCAAGATTTTTGACGTGTGTGCTGTTCTGTGCATCTATGGGACCGTGGGTGTGGCCCACGGTGGTGGTATTGTAGCGGTTAGCGCTTCGAATCCGGGGACCCAAGTTCAATTCTTGCTCCATGCCAACACAAGTGACGATTATCTGAACCAGTCCTGGGCCTCCCCTAGGTCGATTCGGCTTCAAATGAGTCCCTGGTGCGGTGTGTAAACATCGCCACTGAGGAGACAACGGTGGCCGGGCATGGTGCTGGCCATCCACCTCCTCGTGTGCCATGCCGGTCTTCATAGGTGGTGCTCGCTAACAGCACTTGCGCCAAAAGTCTGTTTTGGTTATACGGGGGATCTTCTTTTTCATTTTACCAGGTAAGGCCCACTAAGCTATATAGCTCTTTTTTAGAAGTGACTTGGCCACAAATGCTAAACGTGGAGGGAAAAACCGGAGGAACTGGAGAAAAATCCACGCGACCACGTAAACTCCAAATATACAGCAGGGGTCAGGGTCGGGATCGAACCCACGACCTCCTGTGTAACGGGTGAGGGAGTTAACATCTCGTCTTTTGGTGTGCTGTGTGCTGTGAACGCGAGCAGGGCTGAAGGGCGAGAAGGGCTCCATGGGCTACCCAGGACACCACGGCTCCAACGGGGAGAAGGGAGACCCGGGGCCTCCAGGTTCCCTGGCACTGCGCGGCGCACCATGCACGACACAGACTGTGCTGCTTCTTCTGCTGCTGCTGCTGTGTATTCTGGGCCTTCACCACAGGGACACCGCGACGCTGCTGTTGAGCACGAGGCCGTAGTCACGCTCTCCTAGAGGCGTGTGCTGTCTCGACACCCCCAACTCCTCATCGCTCACCGCTCACACTGCTCGATCGACAAGCAGATCCCCTGTGGGACTTTTGCCGTCCACATTCAGAATCGTCCCCTCCTTCCATTCTTGTATCTTGTTTCCTGTTGCTTCCTGCTGATGCTGCTTTCTTCTGCTGCTGCTTCCTGCTGCTGCTACATCCGTTCTCATCTTCCCGCTGCCGTCCGTTTTAGTCAACGGCCTTCTTCTCCACGTCTTTCCATCACCCGTTGCCTGCATGAATATATTCTATCCGCCACCGCTGCCTCTTCTCATAAATACTCCCAAAGTAGCACACGCTTTACATGGGCTAAACTCGAAGCCCCGTATTCTTAGTCACGGCTCGGCTGAGGCTCTGACCTCACGGGAGCCGACTCGGAGCCACTGTGGAGCTCAACTTGAGAAGCTCTGAGTAAGATCCCAGCTGTGCTCAGGATTGGTCCCATGATGTTTGATATAAAAAAAATATATATTCATTTGTATTATTCAGTTATTTGTTTTCTCTGTGTTATGTCTGTCACGGAAACGGTGTGTGGTTTTTATTGATGAAACCTGACTTCAGAGCTTCTTAGCTCACAGGGTTCTTCAAAAGAAACTGAACTGAGGCCGAGCCCGAGCCAAGCCGTGGCCGAGCCGCCCACCCACGCGACTTTGAAACCGACCGAGCGGCTCAGGCCTGAGCTGATCCTGAGATGGCAGTGACGCAGTTTAACTCACCGTGGCGATGTTTGTTCCAGGGCCGCCCGGATCCATCACGAACATAGCACAGCTTGCCGGGATCAAGGTAAGGCTCTTTGGCTGCGTCGTCTTATAGTAGGCTCAGTGCAGTACAATGCTTCGCGGTGCGATGCTGTATTAAACGTTATGATGTGACGATTCTTCGGGACATCAGTTCCCATAACTATGTAGTCGTAATTTTTTGCATTTGTTATCGTGTTGTTTTTTGTCATTTACTGTACGTCCAGTATAAGGGTACTTAAAAGTTACTCAACTGCAGTTCGCTCAACATAAGCCTGCCATTAACATGTAGGCTTTCGCAACCAATATTTTCCGTAAAAGGGTTTTTGGGTTAGATAGCATAAATATAAATGCGTCTTGACTTAAAGCTTTCGTGACTGCAGGAATTCATACTCTTTGGGTCTTTCGGTAAAGTCACGTAGATAGAAACATAATATAAAAATTACGACGTTTCGATCGCAACACAAGCAATCGTCCTTAGGTGAAAAAATATTTTCGACGAGCTTTGTGGCTCGTAGGATTTCTCCAGGGTAAATAAAGATTCCGATCGATTGCGATCCTCTGTGCCCTCGACTGCAGGGGGAGCGCGGCGAGTCTGGCATGAAGGGCGAGCCTGGCACGGTGGTCTACGGGGACTTCCCTCACGGGATTCCCAGCGTCCCCGGGCCCCCAGGCATCCCAGGAAGACCGGGACTCGTGGTGAGAGATGCCGCCCTGTTGAGAACGCTCACTCGCAGACGTTCGGCAAGGGGCAGCATCACCAAAATCGAATGACAAGTCGCGCCGGCAATCGGCCGCTTTTCTGTTGTTGTTGTGATGTGCGAAAGCAGTATTGATGGCGAGTGTGTGGTGAGTGCTTATGAGGAAGTATGCCCTGCTGTGAACGGTGACGATTTGCCTGCGATGCATTAGCGCGCGCCCTTGCGCACGTCCAGGGTATGCACTCATTTACCTCGAGGTGTAAACGTTAGCCCTTTTCTTAACCCTTTAATCACTAGTAGCCTACACGCAGAATGATGTCTCGCCTGCATCGTTACCTGTAAATATGTAGTCTACAATAGAAACAGCTAAGACGATTAATTGCTTTCAGTCTTTTGGTTTACATTCTATTAAATTAGTTTTAAATCATGGTTGCTAAGCGCAGGTCCAAAGACCAAAAACGCCTGGTGGGCAGGAACAAACAGCACTATCAAAGTTCTAATAGACAATAGTTAACACGTTTCTTGATTGAGCAAGGTTATATGAAGTCAGGGAAAGAGACGGTAATTGAAGGAGGAAATTTCTAAAGTGGAGCAGTGCGAGGGTAGAAGCAGAGAGAAGTGAGGCGGCCTGCGTTGTGGTGAATGGGTGGGTCGGTGACTGAGTAGGTGGGTGAATGGGTGGGTGAGTGAGTAGGTGTCTAAGTGATAGTTTTGTAGGAGGAGCAGTGGCGCAGTGGTTAGCATATTGCGACCCGAGTTCGATTCCTGCTCATGGCCAACACCAGTGATGATTATCTGAACTTTTCCTGGGCCTCCCCTAGGTCGATTCAGCCTCAAATTAGTACGTGGTACAACGTGTAAACATTGCCACGCGTGAGACGAAGGCGGCCGGGCATGGTGCTGGCCACCCACAACCTCGTGTGCTATGCCCGCCTTCGTAGGTGCTCGCTAACAGCACTTGCCCCAAGATTATGTTAAGGCTATATGGGGGGATCTTTGGGTGAGGTGAGTGGGTGAATGAGTGGATGAGTGGGTGAGTTATTATCACGTGCAGTGTAGTGGTTGAACACAGTGTGGATCAGACAAATAAGTCGTGTCTATCGAGTCCTCAGCATGGGATTAGGAATCGAGGAGTGACGTTCATGGGAGCAGCAGCCATGGTCATGGCAAATGGACATGCCAAGACCACGCGTCGTGGTTTGCACACACAATCCCACAACGCTTACCCAATATTTGAGTGGTTTGCCAAACATCTTGTTTTCTGATATTCCAGCTGGACACCCACGAATAAGTTTCAGCTTGAAGCTAACCCAGTTGCTGCACTCGTGCACTGGGAGAATGTTAAACACGCCACGGGTGGACAGATTGAATGGTTTATGCACATCATGTGCAACACGCCCATGCAAATCTTAATTTATATTTATAAAAGGGAAATTTGTGAATATGTGTGTCTGTTCGAAATGTTTAGCATACTTCCCGACATGTAACAGCGCTGACTTGGTGTGCTTCATCGGCAGGGCCCCAAGGGAGACTCGGTGGTGGGTCCAAGTGGCCCCCCGGGCAGCGCTGGCCCCCCTGGATCTCCGGGGTACGGCTACGAGGGGCCCCAGGGCAGGCCAGGCCCCCCTGGGCCTCCAGGGCCCCCCGGCGGTCAAGGACACACCTCCCCAGGTATTCTCAACGTGATCTGAAGCCTGCTGCTGTATTTTTGGAGTTTGTGGCGTCTCTCTCTTTCCTCGTGGTGGTCGCTGGGATTTTTTTCCAGACCTTCCGGTATTTGCCTCCGTATCACGCGTTTAGGCTGCCATACATTTCCACATGATGATGAGCCACTTTGTTGAGCTATCAATTGTGGCCAGGTCTCTTCTGAAAAGAGCTTTATAGCTCAGTGGGCCTTATCTGGTAAAATATATATTTTTTCATAAATCTGGTAATCCACCAGCGTGTAGCAAGCGCGAATCTGCTGACGAGACCCATAAATTCAAAGCTGCTCCAAAGTTCGCTGACTTAAACATATGCTGCTGCATAATATTGGTCTAGAAAGCCAATAGGCAGATGGACTGAAACATATTCAGGTATCCCTCGATTTACAAAAGGGATGCCTTCAAAACACACGTAAAATGACATTGTGTAAACCAGAACAGCTTTTCAATGTAGTACAAAATATTTGGGATGTTTTTCGCACAGTCATTCCGACTCTACTCCTAACCTTTTCGCGAAAAGAAAATAATAAAGAACATGAATATTGAAACGATTGAATAATAATTAATGTAAAACAACAACAAAATAAACCTTTCCAGGGAACTTCTTCATGCAGCTGTGCTGCGTGTAGGAATCCCTGTCAAGGTGGTGTGGAGGCATCTCTGTTGCACTGCAGGGGCGCCGTGACGCTGTCGCGGATGGCTGAGGCAGCCTCCCGGGTGCCTCTTGTTTGACGATCTCGTGGTGCGTGGCCGCAGTGAAATTTCGTTCAAGCGGAAATTCGATTTCGTTAATCGAAAAGAAAATTGTCCAGAATGCTGCTTATATATACACACACACACAGAAGAGATGCACAGTTGCCTGGGCTCGTTGGCGACCTATGCGAGAGAGTGACCCTGCCGCCCACGCTGATTCCCCCCCCCCCCCCCCCCCCCCGTGCGCTCTCTCTCCCAGGAGGCTCCGGTCCCAGCTACGTCCTCCAGGGAGCGGTGGGGCCCCCCGGGCCACCAGGACCCGCCGGCTCCTCCAGCGGGGTGCGTGACGCACGCACAAACTCACGCCGACTGTCGCAGTTGCAGATAACGCGGCCTCTAGGCTGGGTGACACGGTGGAGTGGGATGGGGGGGGGGGCTTCTACTCTGAGCCAAAACTGCTTGGGTTGACTCCTAGGATCCAACTTGAGATTAAGGCGCACTCTGATGTGTCGGGGCGCCATGGTGGCGAGATGTTTACTGCCTCATGGGTTTGATTCTGACCCTGACACCTATATATTTGGAGTTTGCATTTTATATCTCCCTGCGGTTGTGTGGATTTTTTTCTGGGTTCTCCGGTTTTTTCCCTCCACATTTAGATACATGGCGCTAGAGCCACTGCTTACCGCTACGGCCACCGCGTTCCCCTACGGCCACCGTATGCCCCTACGGCCACCGCGTTCCCCTATGGCCATCACGTTCCCCTACGGCCACCGAGTTGCCCTACGGCCACAGCATGCTGCTATAACCACGGCGTTCCGCTTTAGCCACCGCGTGCCGCAATAGCTACCGCGTGCCACTGGGCCGTGCTGCAGGTGACGATAACGAACTCCGTGGAGGCCATGCTGCAGACGTCGCGAGCCACGCCGGAGGGCGCGCTGGTGTACGTGCGCGAGACGGGAGACGTCTACATCCGGGTGCCCGGGGCGTGGAGGAAGTTACAAGTGAGGCCACACACACACACTTGTGATTATGATTCCACACAATCAGGAGAACAACTTTAACCAAACTAAGGCAAACAAGCAAGCCAACCATGGACTGCCGTTTGGGCGGTTGGGGCACGCTGGCGTGCGAATCTACGCGTCGCATGCTGTATTTCCACGACCATTGCAAAGCAGGCCCTGGCCCTCCTGGGCCGTTCCAAGCAGGCCCAACGCGACTCAGAGAGGCCCAGCACCGCCAGAGCCGCAAGGATCCTTGGCCTCTGCCCCCACCGTCCCTCTGACCCGCGACCCTCCCCGTCTGCGATGTGTGAGTGGAAAAGCAATATTTAAAGTAATTCTCTAACAACGTTTATCAAGGCCATGGCTTCGTCTAGAGCAGGGGTCGGCAGCCTGCGGCTCAGGAGCCGCACGTGGCTCTTTAAGGACCGCTTCGTGACGCGTTACTTATTAAGGTCTACCACAGTCTTGTATTCACATGCATTGTGGATCTTGAGATATTGATACTCTTAGGTTTTTTCGGTAAAGTCACGTAGGTAAAAAAAATAAAAAAATGAAAATAACTCAATTAAATCACGACGTTTCGGAGGCAACACAAGTCTCCGTCTTCAGGTGGGACCGTCACAGCTAGATTTACTGTATCAAGTGAAGATAAATCCAAGAGACAAGATCTTAAATACAGGATAAGGGGAGGGGGGAGGAGCTTATCTAAAGGTGGCAGTCAGGGACTGGGAGGGTGGGGGGGCGGGGCTAGAAGGGGGAGGTGGGTGGGGCTAGAAGGGAAGGTACAAGTGAAGAACCTCCACAGGGGTTACGGCCGATGTTGGCTGCCAAAATCAAAATAGCAGCACTGTTAAACGCTTGGGATTTCAACAATTCGGTAAAATAGACTAGTACCTGTCAAATAAGATGGTACAAATATGCGTAGTTAAATCTTTTTTACATGGTTAATAACATCTTTCCAATGATTGCTCAATTTGTACCCATCATCACGGTTGAAGTTATGTCTATGTTTGTATATCTGGATGGCTTCGTGGACAAACCTTTGATGGTAGCCAGAAGGTTTGCAGAGCACCTTGGTCTCAGAAAAGGCAATATCATGAGAGCCCACAGCGTTGTAACAATGATCGGCAACGGCGGAAGACTCAGTTTTGCCGTGTTTCAGATCTGAATCTACGCGTCACACGCTGTATGAATTGAGATATTGAGTTTTTTTGACTGATTTCAAACAAAAAATGTCCCTTGTTATTTTGGTTGCGAACACCCTGGTTTAGACGGTTAAAAATGAACAACCAACGCTGCCGTAAGCTTCTGCCGGTGTTTTAAACGAGAGACAACCAGAAGGTTTGAACGAGCGGGCGGCCGACAACCGCGGATCACGCGTCTCACTTCCACGTTGAACCCCGCGACATCCCAACGAGCTCCTGCCACTGAATTCACGCCGTGTTTGTCACAACAACAACAAGTGCTGTCCGCACCGTTGCCGGGGTGGGTTGCAGGTCCTGGCTGCAGCTCACGGTGGTTGAGGCCATAGCGGAGGAACGATTTTGCGACACGATTTTCTTTTTTTTTGCTCCGATTTCTATTTGCTTTCATCCCCGTACATGTCATTTGTTTTCCTCTTTGTCATGTTGGTGGCCCAGGTCTCTCTGGCGAGATGGTAACTACCTCGCCTGGTATACAGGAGGTTTGTGGGTTCGATCTCAACCCTCACGTCTGTATACAGTGTTTGGAGTTTGCGTGTCTCTCTCCCTGTGGTAACGTGGATATTTCTCCGGGGTGCTCACGTTTTTTCCTCCAAATTTTGAAACTTGTATTTAGAGTATTTGGCTGCTATACATTTCCACTTTATTGCGCTATCATTTGTGGCCAAGTCGCATTTGTATTAAAGCTTGAGTTCTCACCCTGGTTACGCAAAACGAGCTGGCTGCAGGGTGATATAAGAACGGCATTGTGATCAACTTTTGCCATTGAATGCATCTATAAACTGTTGTAGTTTTGATTAAAAATAAGAAAATGTTTTTACTCTTTCTGGCAATAAAACTAGCGTTAAGATGTTCAAACACCAAATAGAAACCCTTTCCAAAAAGAAAGTCTGCATTAGCCACACGTACTTGTAGCAAAACATGAAAACAAACACGCTCTGATAATATTTGCATCGTCTTTGAAACTGATTGGCCTACACCAGAGACAGCCTCTTTATGGCCTTGTCTCTCCAGTGTTAGACCAGAGAACGCCAAAAGGCGAACAGCGCAAAGACAATGCCGGTATCAGAACACTTAGAGCTCGGGTCGAGTGGTTAGGCCAATCAATGTTGTAGTTTTGTGATCGTAGTGGCGTGATGTGTGTCGTGTAATCTTCGTCTTTGTCATCGTCGTTGTTGTTGTTGTTGCAGCTTGGAGACACCATTGCCATCCCTAGCAGCAACACCCACGTGAGTCACCCGCTGCTCCCCAGACCATCGCGATTCCCTTCCCCTGCTCGTGGCACGTTGCCACGAGCAGTGGGCCGCGTGCCGTCTGTGGGTCTCTGCGTGAGTCTGTGGGTCTCTTTGTGAGTCTGTGGGTCTCTGTGTGAGTCTGTGGGTCTCTACGCAAGTCCGTGGCTCTCTGTATTAATCTCTGGGTCTCTGCGCGAGTCTGTGGGTCTCTGCGCGAGTCTGTGGGTCTCTGTGTGAGTCTGTGGGTCTCTGCGCGAGTCTGTGGGTCTCTGCGCGAGTCTGTGGGTCTCTGTGTGAGTCTGTGGGTCTCTGCGTGAGTCTGTGGGTCTCTGCGTGAGTCTGTGGGTCTCTGTGTGAGTTTGTGGGTCTCTGTGTGAGTCTGTGGGTCTCTGCGTGAGTCTGTGGGTCTCTGTGTGAGTCTGTGGGTCTCTGCGTGAGTCTGTGGGTCTCTGCGTGAGTCTGTGGGTCTCTGCGCGAGTCTGTGGGTCTCCGTGTGAACTTGTGTCCACTGTGGGGTTCACACCCGCTGTGCTCTGAAGCCAGCGGCTGGATCCACAACCTGGACATTGATTTATAGTTGTTACTCAACTCATATCGATACGAAAGAAGATGAAGAACGCAGCATGAGTTTGAGCTGCACATTGCAGCTGCACTTTGATTTGACTTGCTTAGGGGTCACTTCACCGCCGCTGTGACCGAGTGTTTGTTTTCCACCCAAGGCTCGTCTGCCCCAGAGCGAGGTGGTGCAACTGAACCCCCAGCCAGCGTGGCCTCCCCGGGCACCCAGATACCACAATGGACACAAGGTACGCAGCGACGGCGGACTGCTCACACTCGGAGCTGTCTCCACTCAGGGAGGGGGGCCCCGTGTACATGGGAGGAAGAACAGCCCGAGAGATAAACACAGAGACACACGGAGAGGGGCACATGGAGAGGGATACATAAGCATGCAGAGACGGAGAGACGCAGAGAGCTAGACCAGTTACTATGAACTAAAAAACTATTCACTTTCTTATTATTTTATCAGATAAGGCCCACTGAGCTATATAGCTCCTTTTCAGAAGCAACCTGGCCACAAATGATAGGCCAACGAAGTGGCTTATCATCATGTGTACATTTATAGCAGATAAATACTCTCAACGCATTTTTCAAAATGTGGAGGGTAAAACCGGAGGACCCCGATAAAAATCCACGTGACCCACGGGGAGAGAGACATGCAAACTCCAAATATACAGGCATCAGGGTGGGGATCGAACCCATGACCCTCATGTGTACCAGGTGAGGTCGTTAACATCTCGCCACCCTTACACAGAGAGAGGAACATGGACAGATACGGAGACAGAGAGGGGAGGTCACAGAGACGCGCAGAGGCACATGGAGAGACACAGAAGGACACAGAGCAACAGACAGAGAGATAAGTAGAAGAGAGGCAGAGAGATATTTATAGACAGACGGACATGCCATCCAGAGTGGTGGGCGAGGGTGCGGGGGGAGAGGGACAAAACGGATGAATTTACCGAGGTGGGCCTTACACAAAAGAGAGTCCCACATTAGGCCAGTTTGTGGCATCCTGCCCTGAGTCTTCATGAACCTCTGGGCCGCCCTGGAGGCATGCACAATGAGGGACAGCCACTCAACACCCATTCACCACACTGCACGTCACAAACACTCCCCTTGCCGCATCTTCCCCTCGCACTGCTCCACTCTGGCATTCACTTCCCTCGCGCCTGTACTCGACGACTGTGCTCAACTCCTTGTTCAAGTCGTTCTCACGGCTCGCTTCGCGTGCCCCCCTCTCCACCCTCCCGTGTGCCATTGCCGTGCCAGCAGCTCCACCTGGTGGCGCTCAACAGGCCAATGACGGGTGACATGCACGGCATCCGCGGCGCAGACATCCTGTGCTTCCAGCAGGCGCACGCGGCCGGCCTGCAGGGCACCTACCGGGCCTTCCTCACCTCCCACGACCAGGACCTGGCGGCGGTCGTGCGCAGGGCCGACCGCAACAGCGTGCCCATCGTGAACCTCATGGTCAGGCTTCCTCAGGGCCCCCCCCCTCTCTCTCTCTCTTCCCTGCTCCACTGCCTTCACCCCGAGCGCTCATTACTCTGATAGCGCTTGTCTTTGTGCTGTACGCCTTTTGGCGTCATCTGGTCTAACACCGTTTGAGACGAGGCTCGAAAGAAAGCTGTCTCTGGTGTGGACCAATCAGTTTTAAAGACAAGGCATATATTATCAGAGTATGTTTTTTGTTTGCATTCTGACCACAAACATTGTGGTTAATGCAGACATGATTCCTTGTAAAAGGTTTCAGTTTGGTGTTTTAACATCTTAACACCTGTTTTGTTGCCAGAAAAAAAGGGGAAAACCTCTTCTCATTTTTTGGTACTGGCAAAGGAGGTCCCATGATGGTGGTGAGATGTTAACTCCTTCGCCTCGTATGCAGGATGGCTGTGGGTTCGATCCTGACCCAGTGGTCGCATGGATTTTCGTCTGGGTCCTCCGGTTTTTCCCCTCCACATTTCGAATTATGTGCTTATTCGGCTGCTATAAATTTCCAAATGATGAAGCTACTCGTTGAGCTGTCATTTGTGTCCAGGTCTCTTCTAAAAAAAGGGCTACATAGCTCAGTGAGCCTTACCTCGTAGAATAAAAAATAGTTTAAAATAGTAAAAACTTGCGCTGTGCCCCTCGCTGACTTTGCCATCAGCTCTGCATCTCAGCGAATGTGCATTAGTACTTTTAGTGTATGATGGAGAAACTCCGTGGGCCAGGTTACTTTTATGTTTTGCAATACAGATTTAACGAGCGAACCGGGTGATACAAAGTGCCGTTCAGTGTTGACGTCCATAGTGCACGTTGAAAGCCAGGGAAACACGTGACACTTTGGTCAATGTTTTTTCTTGCATAATTGGTGTCATTGTATATGTATATAAATCAATGCTATTGATAAGATCCCTGGGTTTGATCTTCCACAAAGCTCATGGTCCACCCTAAACTGCATCCGCACAAACCATAGCAGATTAAAAACTCTCCAGTGTGTGACTTTGGTCATCCAGAAGAGGCCCTACAATGTATAACGACGCAATGCCCGATCCACAAATACGAAGGAGACATCAGAGCGGCGATGATGATACACTACTCCGCTTGCTCCTGCCACGGTTGTCTGGCTTCACCTAAATATGAAATTTAAGTCGTTGTTCTGCATCTACATCAGCAGCCGTACGAAAGAAGGAGAATGCCATTGGTTGCTATGGAATTTGCAGGGATCGAATCGTTGTGATCATGCCCGTAGCTACCTTTTGATATTGTGGGTATTACTCACGATTCGTGATTAAATTTCGATTTAAAGCTTTCGTGACTGCAGGGATTCATCTTCTTGGTTCTTTCGGTAAAGTCACGTAGAAGGGAAGTAATAAAATAATAAAAATAAAACATAATAAAACAATTCTCACGACGTTTTCGGCCACAACGCAAGCAGCCGTCCTCAGGTGAAAACCAGGTCCGTCGAGGCGACAGAGTCTGAATGAAACAGCACACGGGCTTAGAGCATATATATAAGCTGGGCGCATTGACAAAGGAATTTGCATATCAACAGGAATTTAGCATATTTATGGGAAATGCAGGAATGTAATTAGTACTGCATATGCATGTGCATTATGCAGGATTAACAGCATCAAAGGGAGCTGCAGTTACTGCTGCTGCAGCAGTTGCTGCTGCTGCTGCAGTTGCTGCTGCTGCTGCAGTTTCTGCTGCTGCTGCAGTTGCTGCTGCTGCTGCACTTGCTGCTGCTGCTGCACTTGCTGCTGCTGCTGCACTTGCTGCTGCTGCTGCACTTGCTGCTGCTGCTGCACTTGCTGCTGCTGCTGCACTTGCTGCTGCAGTTGCTGCCTTATCCATTTTAATATAACACTATGTATTATTCTACCCACCCTAATGTGTATCATACTGCTATATGTTTACTGTACAATTACGACACCATACATTACTCTGCACACTGCACCATGCCAGTGAGTGGAACGCGGTCTGAAAGTCACCGTTAACGTGAACACAATCAGTTAAGATCCGAAATGGTTTATTACGTCCTTCCAATGATTGCTAAGCCAGAATCCATCTTCTCGGTTGAAATTGTCTCTGTGTTTGTATATGTGGATCGCCTCATGAACGAATCTCTCATGATAGCCAGATGGCTTGCAGAGAACCTCTGTCTTGGAGAAGTCAATGTCATGTGAGCCCACTGAATTGTAACAGTGATCTGCCACGGCTGAGGTGTTTGTCCTACCGTGTTTCAGGTCTGCCTTATGTTCACGGATGCGGTCCGAGACATGTCGTTTGGTTTCTCCAATGTAACTGCTACCACAGAGGCAACTTAGTTTGTAGACGCCAGGGTACTGTATGTCTGGAACCACATCTTTAGATCCAGGTCCGATTCAACACAGTACATAAAATCCGTGATCTGGTCCCGTCTGTAAAAGATGTGGTTCCAGACATACAGTACCCTGGCGTCTACAAACTAAGTTGCCTCTGTGGTAGCAGTTACATTGGAGAAACCAAACGACATGTCTCGGACCGCATCCGTGAACATAAGGCAGACCTGAAACACGGTAGGACAAACACCTCAGCCGTGGCAGATCACTGTTACAATTCAGTGGGCTCACATGACATTGACTTCTCCAAGACAGAGGTTCTCTGCAAGCCATCTGGCTATCATGAGAGATTCGTTCATGAGGCGATCCACATATACAAACACAGAGACAATTTCAACCGAGAAGATGGATTCTGGCTTAGCAATCATTGGAAGGACGTAATAAACCATTTCGGATCTTAACTGATTGTGTTCACGTTAACGGTGACTTTCAGACCGCGTTCCACTCACTGGCATGGTGCAGTGTGCAGAGTAATGTATGGTGTCGTAATTGTACAGTAAACATATAGCAGTATGATACACATTAGGGTGGGTAGAATAATACATAGTGTTATATTAAAATGGATAAGGCAGCAACTGCAGCAGCAGCAGCAAGTGCAGCAGCAGCAGCAAGTGCAGCAGCAGCAGCAAGTGCAGCAGCAGCAGCAAGTGCAGCAAGTGCAGCAGCAAGTGCAGCAGCAGCAGCAACTGCAGCAGCAGCAGAAACTGCAGCAGCAGCAGCAACTGCAGCAGCAGCAGCAACTGCTGCAGCAGCAGTAACTGCAGCTCCCTTTGATGCTGTTAATCCTGCATAATGCACATGCATATGCAGTACTAATTACATTCCTGCATTTCCCATAAATATGCTAAATTCCTGTTGATATGCAAATTCCTTTGTCAATGCGCCCAGCTTATATATATGCTCTAAGCCCGTGTGCTGTTTCATTCAGACTCTGTCGCCTCGACGGACCTGGTTTTCACCTGAGGACGGCTGCTTGCGTTGTGGCCGAAACGTCGTGAGAATTGTTTTATTATGTTTTATTTTTATTATTTTATTACTTCCCTTCTACGTGACTTTACCGAAAGAACCAAGAAGATTCGTGATTAGTTTAGTTGGGGTTTGATCGTGTAGTTTAACTTTAGCGCTCCACTGCCCGACGGAGTCAATCAAGTCACGTAAGGGGGTAATATCCAGATTGAATTGTTTTTTCAGCGAACTGGAGGAAAAAACAAGCAAAATATGTTTGACAATTGTACTCGGCGCTCAGTGGAGATTACATCCAGCATCATCGTATACATGAAGTCAACCCTTGTTAATTCGACACGTATGCGGCTCTGGCCTTGCCGAATTATGCAATATTCCGAATTACGTACAATGATGCTCCCCAGTGCCTCCTGCTCCAATTAAAAAAAAATTGTTTTCGAAACTCTTTGCACACCATACGCATTGACACACTCGCATCCATTCCATCCAAAACTTTGTATTTGTCTCGCGGACTAAGGGATTTATACTACAGTCCCGTTCTATTACGTCTTGATGTAGGTGTAGACGACATTTCTGCGGGGGTTGGCTTGCACAGAGTGCACAAACAAGGTAAAGTCCAAAATGACAACGGGTCCGCACCGACGCTCACCACGCGCCCCGCCACCAGACCGAGTCGTCGGTTTGGTCGTGGCGTGCGGCGTCACTCCACGTGCATGCCGAAAATGGACCATTCGGTACGGCAATTCGGCTCATGGTGAACTACTAATATACTGTGTATATGCCGAAAGCGCAGCCGTGTCCAATTATCCCCCATTATCCCCAATTACGAATGATCAAATACAGAAATAACGAAGTTTTACTGTAATGTTGCATTCCTTTCATCTGCACGTGTTTATATATATGTATTGGGTTTATTTGCCTTGAGTGGTCGTGTAACATTTCCCAATGTAAGTTGCATTACGCGGCAGTGAAACATCGGCGCTGACTGTGTAGTGTAGCAGTTAGCGCGCTTCGCTACGAACCCGGCGAACCCCTGGTCGCTACCCGCTCACGACCAACACCACTGACCATTGTCTGAACCGGTCCTGGGCCTCCCCTAGGTCGACTCGGCCTAAAATTAGTACTGGTGCGGTGTGTAAACATTGCCACTCGGGAGACAAAGGCGGCCAGGCCATGCCGGCCTTCGTAGGTGCTCGCTAACGGCGCTTGCCTCAACAGTTTATTAAAGGCGATACGGGATTTTCTTTGTTTTTTGCCATGCAGGGACAGAAGCTGTTCCAGAGCTGGGAGAGCCTGTTCGACGGCTCCAATGGCAACTTCGACACCAGCATTCCCATCTACTCCTTCGATGGGACAAACGTGCTGAGCGACCCTCGATGGTGGGTGCTGTCTGTGCGTGCCTGTGAAACGCGGTGAGCTGCGGGTTCTGCGTGTGCGCCCCTCGTAGCGCAACGCGTGGGCGATGCGCGGTTGGTTGAAGAGCTCTCGCTCGGAGTCACCTGCAGTATGTACGTTGAACTTATTTCGCGTCGAACGTAGCCAACCATGCTAGTCGGAGGTTCGGGGGAAGAACAGCAAACTAAAGACAAAAAGCAGCTCTAAAGAAATGAGTTTTCAATCTACATTTGAAACTGCATATCTCTAGTGGCCTCCAAATATCGGAAGAGCACTGCAGACGGCCGCAGAAGCGCATCTGAAAGTGCGCGATGCAGTGACCGTCTTTGTTCGATGGTTAGCCAGACGCCGCTGCTGCGAGGATGACCGGAGTTTGCGTGATGCTTCATACTGCTTGACGAGATCGGCAAGGTAACGTAGTAACAATAAATAATACAAAACTTCCCTCGATTGTGCTGACCGCGGGTCCCCCGTCTCCCTGCCACAGGCCACAAAAGATGCTGTGGCACGGATCGGACAGCAGCGGCAAGCGGCTCATGACGAGCCACTGCTCATCGTGGCGCGTGGGCGACACGTCGGGCAGCCCCGTGGGCCAGGCCTCGCCGCTGCAGCAGGGCCGCCTGCTGGAGCAGCAGGCGTACAACTGCAACAGCCCCTTCGTGGTGCTGTGCATCGAGAACAGCTCCGTGCAGCACGCGCGCCGGCGCCGCTAGCCACGGGGGAACCGGGCCCGGCATCGCGCCCGTGGCGCTTTCTCACCTCCAGCCATACCCCCACCTTCCCCGAGTGCCCCCAGGGCCCCCCCCTCCCCCCCGGTTTCCGTGCTCCGGCGCGAGGAACGGCCGAGTCTAAACGCGCGTGGCCGTTCTGACGCTGCGCGTGTGAAACCTGCTGCATCGTATCGGAGTGATTGCCTTCTGCTTAAGTGAGGAGTTTTATATTTAAAAGGAGTAACCTGGTCCCAGCCAAGACAGCGTCAGCGTGGCATGTGGATGGGTTGCAGTTACTGTGCCTTTAGTTCTCAGTAGATGAGAGTAATTCTCTCCCGACTCTCGCCCCAGCGATTCGGAAGCGTCGGAAAGGTTCCAGCTGGGTGCAACATCTCGTCCACGAACGGCCCCTTGGGATTATAGTAAGCGCCGTTCCACGTTCACAACTTTCACCGGCGAAACGTCGCGTCCGTTCGGGTCACGGTGGCCTCCCAAGTGCTTTCTTTTATCTCACGGGTGCTTTCTTTTTACAAGCGGCGAACATCATCGACTCTCGCTCCAGGGTCCTTTTTATTATTGTTGTAGCAATGCAGCAACGCCTGTTAATCAAACAACAGATGCCCGTCAAACTGTTTTTTTTTTTCCCGCGTGCCGGAACGACGCACGCAAACGCTCGCCTTGACGCTTCGCCACATTTAGTTTGAAGCGTATTTCACCCGTCACGATTGGCACGTCCAACGGACGCTTCAGTTACAACCACGCGATGGCTCCCAACCGAGCTGCGCTCGGGATCGAAACACAAAGCAGCAGGGGGTTGCAAGGGAGCAGTAGGCAAGGAGGAGGGGGGGGGGAGATGATGATGACGACGACGCGCCCTGGGGTAAACGACGTACATTCGAGTGACGGGTGGAGAAGTGAAGACCGGCTGACCGACCGCCCCCCCCCCCCCCGAGCATTGCGTAACGGAGTCCGTCAAGGTTGTTATAACAGTGGCCGTCAGGGGATGCCACGCGAATTCTGAGCCCACCGAGGGGTCGGTTCAGAACGACGTTGTTTTGGAACGACGTTGGGCGACCGTTTTGAGGGGCGGGCTGGAAGTCGTCCCCCCCCCTACCACCTCACTGAGTCTCGCCCATCGCTCACAATGGGGGCTACTACTGTAACGATACCCTTCATCGGCAATGTTAATCCGTTTTCAATTAAAACAACAACAAACCTTTAATGTGTGCACTAAGTAACTATGCAGTTTGTATCCACGATGTCGCTGTTTGCTAGTAGTAGTAGTCGTAGTGAAAGCGGGCAGATTCTGCTGTGCCATTTCACTCATTTGTAATAATAACCGACGTTTAAACCACGGCTCTTTTGCGGGCAAACTCTTCTCAATAGTAAACGCGGGAGATGAAGCACAACGACTAGAACAGCAACGGCCCTCTCTCTCTCCCTCGACGAACTCTCAGCTCAAGAGGCCACGGCAACTGGCCCTCAATGAGGCGTCCTAAGTCTCCGCTCGCGTTCAAGCAAAGCCTCTGAAGTCTAAACGGACTCTTGCCTCGTACAATAATAATGATGATGATGAATCAGCCTTGGGGGTGACGTCGCACGTGCTCTCCAAGCGCACTAAAGGGGGCGCACAATGGCCCATCGTGTGGTTGAAACGCCCCCCCCCCCATCTCTCTCTCTCTAGAGCTCTACGGTATATACAAACAATGTTCTTTGTTAACCCTGTAATGGCCATGTTTGCTTCGAGCTATTGGAAGCTGCTGCTGCTTTTTTTTTTATTGACAAAGCATGCAATGTCTTGACTCTGGAGCTTGTTACAATATCTGTGCGACGGTGCCGAGTGGCCGTGTCGAGACACGTAGCGGTGCCTCGCCGCTCCCTCGCTCGCCCTTCGCAGTGTTACCGTCCAAGCCCCCCTAGCGCTCGGGCAGGTGGTGGCATCAGCCACATCGGCAGCAGCGGTCGTAGCGTGCGCGCATGCAGATGGGGGGGGGGGTGGTGGTGTCGTCCTTGGCAGCGGCAGCAGCAGCAATAGCAGCGAACGCACAACTTCCCAGCATGGCACGAGCGCGCGTGTGCCACACACGGGAGGAGGAGGAGGGGGGCCCATCACCGCCAATGGGTGTCGACGCATTCTCTCGTGTCTTGTTTTCACCATCGCGTGAGCCACTAGAAATGGGCCCTCTCCCCTGCTAAGGGGGCGGAGGCGGCATCGAGTTTTGGGCGCAGCGCGTAACCTTGCTTTGAACTTAGTAGGTCAGTGTTGTTCGTGTCAATGCATTGTGGACACGTTCTGCAGAGTGCGGACGTTTGGTCAACACAGCCCTGGCTTTGCGAAAGCTTACTTTGGTTTTGTTTTGTGCATTGGAGCATTTTCTGATGAAGTATTTAAAGGAAATGCGCACACATTGTCAGAATGATTTGTAATGAATGAAATGTCAAGGCTTCCTGTATGCCAAAGATGCCATAGCCTTGCATGGCCATAGCCGTTAGCGTCTCAGCTGCTGCAGTGAATCTCCTACAAACCGGGTAGTGATTGACCAGAGATGGCGTTTTTAGGTAAAATTCAATGCAATTTTGGTCATTTCTCATTTATATAAACATGCATATATCACGAACAGTTTTGAATACTTTTATAAAGCTAATTAATGATTCATGTTTTTAGAGAGAATAATTTTAACCACTATTTCTAAAATCAAAGGGTAGAGTACGTGTTATGCGGGCTCTTTCCATGGATATGTCGGCATCACATCTGGTTGTCGGTAACATAGATAATTTCTCCACGTAGGGGGGGAGTTAATGTCGAGGCAGACCAACTGTCACTGCTGATAGAAGGGCAGCCCACATCGGTGCTGTACACGGGAATATATATTTCCGATATCATGACGCATTTTGATCGTTAGAAACGACCATGCTTTTATGGAAAAAAAACCTGGCCACAATTATTTAATCTGAGAATCAAGTAATTTTTACACTTTTCATTCTAGTTCATATTTCATGCAATTATTATTTTTATTCACATCATTCTCACCCTTTAAATATTCGTGTAAACGTCAGTATTCACATTCAGCAGGGATTTGATCATGGCTGGTGGCGATAATGATGATGTTGATAAACTCTGGTAGTAGCTTGGGCTGTGGGAGATCTGTCAGTGTCTCTCCCATGGAGCAACACGAGCCCAAAACTGGCCCAACACTGGGCCCAACACTGGCCCAACACTGGCCCAACACTGGGCCCAACACTGGCCCAACACTGGGCCCAACACTGGCCCAACACTGGCCCAACACTGGCCCAACACTAGCCCAAAACTGGCCCAACACTGGCCCAACACTGGCCCAACACTGGCCCAACACTAGCCCAACACTGGCCCAACACTGGCCCAACACTGGCAACCAGAGACTAACCTGGGCTTCCCACCTCAGTGCACGTGGCGTTTACATGTTGCCTAAAAGCGTGATCTGTCACTCAGGACAAACGCCACTTTTGGTCAAACCCACTTTTAAACGTCCGGTTAACTCGCGTACGTTTTTGTAGCTTTTCATTTAATATAATCACTGTCTCATAAAATGATCATTTTAGTGTCAGATTGATCAACCTGAAAAGGCATTTATCAGCAGTGACTTGATCTCACGAAAGTGACAACCGACTTCATGGAAAAGCCTGTGGGTGCGAGTTAAGTGGGTCACATGGACCTCTTAGGATTAATCAACTTAATTCGCGAGCGTGTAGGTCGTAGTGAAATTGGTAAGGCAATATTACATTGACATCTAACTTATTGACATGGCGGTTCTGAATTAATGCATGGAAATTGGTCAAATGTACTTTTTATATTGAGCATAAAAATTAATTCCAAGCAATGCCTCAACGTAGGTGGATGCATAATGCAGAAGGCTCACATACAGACGTGCATTTTAAAGGTTTTCTGAGGCTTACAGCTGAGGGTTTTATTTATTCAGATGTATCGCTTGAAAAATTAATTGCCCATTAAGTGTTATATTTTTGTATTTTGCTGCTTATTTCAACTAGGCTCTTTTCGGTTGTTTTTTTCCCCCTGTGTAAGTGAATGGTGCTACTATTGCTTGCTTCGCAACATTAGGAATTGGAACGCAGCCACAATGAAAGCGCTGCCACTGCGCAGCAGTCGTGCTGCCTCGTGCAGGTCAGATGTCACGTCAATTTTTTGTTATTGTTGAAAGCCTTCGCTCATGTACCTGTACCTGTAACGTCGCACAGTAAACCATAAACACCACTTTCTCGTGTCCGCTTGTTGAACGTTAGACATGAAGTGTTGTCACTTGGAACGTACCATCCAACTTGCCTGTAAACCTTCAACTTACAAGTCAAGTGGACCACCTCGTAGCGCAATGGGACCACACTCGTGTTGCCCCGCTGCTCCTCCCCTCGGTGGAGTAAGTCAATATTGTACTGGTAGGAACCTCCTGGTTACACCAGCCCACAGGGGATTATTGTGTCCGTCGTGCAGGGTGGGGCTGGGTGGGGAGGGTGGGGCTGGGTGGGGAGGGTGGGGCTGGGTGGGGAGGGTGGGGCTAGGTGGGGTGGGGAGGGTGGGGCTAGGTGGGGAGGGGCTGGGTGGGGAGGGGCTGGGTGGGGAGGGTGGGGGTGGGAGGGGTGGGGCTGGGTGGGGAGGGGCTGGTCACCCCGTGGTTCCCTTATAAAACTCAACGTTTAACCTACTCACGCCGGCTTGTGCCTGCCCTCACAGTCGGGCATATTTGCGGAATACACCACGCCGCCGTTGACCCTGGCCATTGACCGAGCAACCGAACGTTCCAACCAGCTCCCTCCGCAGAAGGAATGTGTTATACACTCGTTTAGCCACGAAAGCCTCATGACCGAGTCTCAAATCTTTTTTTTTCAGGAGGGTCCGAACAAGTTTTCACAGTAGGCGGCGATGTTGCTACATCCTTGCCCATCACTACCGAGTGCTCGCTCCCCTTCCCACAACCTCCACTCACCACGAAGTGGCGGGGACGGCACCGCTTGTGCCAGGCTTTGTGCACCTTGAGGCCACGTGAAGTGTCGAAGGCTCGCTGCTCGCAGGTCACGGGACAGACTCAGGTTCCATGGGTTGGCTGACTGGGATCCCTGGCAGATGCTACAGTGAACGATGTGTTATACGCTTTGGTTCTTTCGGTAAAGTCACGTCGGTAGAAAAATAAAAAACAGGAAAGGTGAGCGACTGATTTGGCGAGCTTTCTTTTCTCGCAGTCTGTTAAAAGATCAAACAGTAGTGTGGAAACCCTCCCCGTAGAGGCGGTTAAATCTTGATGTGAAGCTTTCGTGATTGCAGGAATCCATACTCTAATCGAGTCGCTCACCTTTCCTGTTCAGCAGTCCGCCTGCTGTATCTTTTCACCTGATGACGGTTGCTTGTGTTGCGATCGAAACGTCGTGATCTATTAGTTTTCTACCTACGTGACTTAACGAAAGAACCAAAGAGTATGGATTCCTGCAGTCACGAAAGCTTCAAAGCAAGATTAGACTGTTTTATTTTACCAGTTAAGGTCCACTGAGCTGTCTGGCTCTTTTTCAGAAGCGACCTGGCCACAAATGATAGTTCAACGAAGTGGAAATGTATTGCAGCCAAATACTCTAAATGCCTATTGGTTCTAAACGTGGAGCGAAAAACCGGAGGACCCGGTGAAAAATCCACGCGACCACAGGCAGAACATGTAAACTCCAAAAAAATAGAGGCGAGGTAGTTAACATCTCGCCACCGTGGCACCACCAGCGTCCACGACTGTGCCAACTTGCTGCGTTTTAGCCGCCCGGCACTCCGACCGTTGAGAGTCGCTCCTCTGCCCTCCGCTGTTGTTGGAGGGCGACTGCATCCTCCACCACTACCCCACTTCATGCTATTTCAGACATCAACAAGCCACCGCTTGCAGTGTCGGTGTGGTTACCAATGATTATTAATGACATCTCTTTTTAAGTAAATAAAATATAATTTTTTTTCCATATAGCCCACAGAGGTAAAGTGTGGAGATGTCTTCTTTTCAAATACCACGTCAGCCAGCGATTGCTGCATTTAAACACTTGCCGAGACTTTCCAAACTTGAGTCAGGACACCGAAACACAAGCGTAACCATCGCGAACATAGACATGCATTGTTTAATTGCATTGGTTCCAAAATACACCTTTTTATAATTATTACGTTTTGAACATGTGTAATTTCAAAGGGTATTTGATCACATTGGGTATAAAACCGATCTTTAAAAGGTCGCTTTATAACTAAATCGATTAAGGCTGGTTGTGATTCTCTTTGGAGACACGAGTACACACATCGCTGTACAGTTCTTCCTTGCTCATTCAAAAGAAATAAGCTTGAGATTGATCTGAAAACAATTGATTTCCGCTTAAACATTAGACATATAATTCTCGTCAATCGCTGTATAAAAATATTTAAATCACAAGCTCGTTCCAGAATGTAGCCGATATCTATTAGCACGGAGTGGCAACGATAAGACAATTCGCTAGTTGTAATTACTGGCGAAACGTCGTACTCAGATTGTAAATGTTGTGGCTTGGCTCTCCAACACACCGGTGTGCTGTACTAGTGACGAATTGGCACGTTCTGTTTACGTGACAACCCTTACTAGTTGGCTGTCGGGAGGCTCCTGCCTCTCCAAAATACTTTGCTTACAAATGGGTGGCTTCTATTTGCGGTTTTACGTGGAGCCTTTCCACCGACACAATTCATGCCACTGAGATGCACAATGACATAAAATAGCAGATGTACGCCCAAGGGGAGATTATTCTCGTTTTAAGATCATGGAGTTTAATTACTTATTTAACCGAAGATAGCTAACTTTGTGTTCCTGTGCCAGCTGACTTGGTAGTTACACTCACTACCAACATGTACCACTGATTTCATATTCAATTCTGAGTTTGTGCTATTAACTCAGGCAGCTTGTCTTCATTTTCCTAACACAAGATACAGCTCGCACTGTAAAAATATACGTAATTTAAGTGTTTATCACAGTACACACAGCAGTGCGTATGTAGTAGTCCAAAAGTCATGTGGCAATGTTGCACTACAAGTGGCCGGGAGGTCAACCAAGGCCTATTGAGATTGCGTCAAAGCAGCACGGGAAAACCCTTTCCCGAGCCAGTGGTTTCGGTTTATTTTGGCACAGGTAAAATATAAACCCATGTTCAATGGGAACCTGGTTACAAAGTGCTTGCCACAAATGAACCACAATACCTTGCCGATTTCGTCAAGAAGTATAAACCATCACAAACTCCGCTCATCCTCGCTGGCCATCGAACAAAGACGGCCACTGCATCGCGCGCTTTCAGATGCGCTTCTGCGGCCATCTGCAGTGCGTTTCCGTTATTTGGAGGCCACTAGAGATATGCAGATTCAAAACCTTCCCCCCGTACCTCCGATGTGCATGGTTGGATAGGTACGGTGCAAAAGAAGTGTAACATACGTAAATACAGCAAAAGTACACGAAACAATCCAACAACTACTGTACGTGGTTGGGTAGTGCGCGGGACTCTTCCAGGGATTTGATGCCTTGAGTGGTGGCGACCCTGGCTGGGACCGTTCCAGGAGGGGCTTCTCTGGTCCCTTTGGGAGCTGCAGAATCAGCCCTGCGGCGACTGTTGCGGTTGGATGGGGCTGGATGTTGGCGATTGAGCAGGGTGCATACACGGCAGATTGCACCAGGCACATTAGTCTACGAGTGTTGCTGAACTGTTACCGATGCTCGGGTTTGCAGTGGCTCTTGTGAAGTGTTAGTTTTCCCTTTAATCCGAGTCATCATCTTGTTGTGTCCATTTTCCCTGCTGTTTGCCATGATTGTCCTTATGGTTAGGTGGACTGTATTTTCACATAACACACTCTGGGATTGTCGTATTTAAGCACTATATAAATGAAAACCCATATCCTTAACGTTATTTTAAAAATATACAATAGAGTGCATGCACATGTAAAACCCACACATTTCAATGAATGAATCAAGATAAAAAAATGTCACGAGGAAAGATGCGCTTGTAAAATCTGAGGTGGTTAAGTGGTGGTTAGCTAAATGTCCCATGAACCGAACCAATCAGGTTCATTTAAAGATCTCCGTCAGCAGAAGCCATGCTGAAATGCGCATCCGGTGAGAGTGGCTAAGTCAACACTAAAGATGCAAAGTTGCATGTCTTTGACCCAACAGTATATCCATGATTTCGTCCACCAATAAATTATTGTTAGGGTATTTAACATTCAATTACTGTGAGCATGTGAGCTATGTAGACTATTTGAGAATTTGAAATGTGAAAGCCATATTCTTGGTCAGGATTTCCAGTCCACAGCATCTGATGCAGACGGGGGGTGGTGATCTTGGACAGAAAGATCGTCATTGGGCGGGCTTAGGAACAGTTTCATGCGCAGGCTGAATTTGGGCTGCGGCATCTGCTTGGTCGATTCTCTTCTGTGTGTTTGTGGGTTCTTCATACGAGCTGTTTTTTCAGCTACTACTCTGTTCACATCAGTTAAAATGGCCAGAATGTCATTTTTCCTGTAGACAAGAAAAGAAAAAAACAAATGTGGTTAAAGTGGCACATTTATGTCACAGAATATAGCCTGAAATGTAACTTTCAAGCCTGAAATACAACTTTCAATTTAGCTTGAAATACAACGTTCAAGTTCACGTTGTTAAACCAGCTGAGAACTCAAGATACTATGATAGTGTCATTTACAAGCATGACCTGGGGCATTATTAGTCTGCCAGTAGGGAGGGGGTGGCGATTACGTTGTATAATCCCAATTGAGTCATTTCAATTCTAGAAATGTAAACTTAATGCATAAAACAAGTATTAATTCCCTTCATCTGCAATTGGCTGAAAAGGTTACATGGAGCATTTTGAATGACATGTTAGAATGACAATCTGTTGGTTCATTTGGGACCCATGATGGTGAGGAAAGAATGGAGAGTTTTATGGCAATTCAATGTGAAATGCTATGGATGTCTACCGATTAACGATTATTCGGGTCAAAACGATGCATCAATAAAAAACACAAGTGTTGACCCAAATTATAATTAATCGAATTTCCAGCCTGACAATCGATTAATTTTCTATATTGGTTCCCCCAACTTGACGAAAAAATGCGTGTAAATGCGTCATAATAAGCGATGGGGAAAAAATGTACCTACCCATTACACTTTTGCTCCAGGAGGTTGCAGAGGGTCTGGATGTACCACGAGCCTTCCCTTCGGTGCCGGAACGACAGATATCCAGACACAGTGGCCATCCCTAGCAAAATGTCAGCCTCATCTGGTATGGAATAGGAAATGGGACTCACAGGCCCATCTGCATCGATGTCAGCGTCTGCAGCAAGGTGACATTCAGACTGTTTTTCGTGGCCCTGGCAAGCTTGGATAAAAAACAGTTTGGGTTTACCCAACAAAGATTTGCAGGCTGAGCCATTGAAGTAGGATGTCACCTGTGTGATCATCAGGGACTTTCCATCTGATCCAAATACACAGTTAATCTCTCCGTGTGTCAGGATGCAGCAGACAAAGACATCGTGATTTTGGTGATTCATGTTACTGCAGCTAATCAGGGTTTCTTTCATCTCACCCACAGTCAGGTTGTTATGTAGCAGTATTTTAAATCCCAAGTATTTAAACACCTGTTCAAGTTTTTCTGTGAAAAAAAATACTGTGCATTAATTACAACAACATGACATCTGTGATCAGTGCAATCTCTATTAATATGCATTAAACAATATAATATTGGGTTTTAAATATAACAGTGGAATATTAAAATACTACGTCATATAAAACAAACCGTTAATTCATATTATTGGCCTTCTGAAAACACAATAAAAAACGTGACATATCCTTTCAATGCTTAATTTCACAATGAACACACATTCAAAGTTTTCATGTAAATGTGACATGTAATGTCGTTCCCCAAGCCCTCCATCCACTAAGATTTTATGAACCGCCATGATCTGGGGTCACAATTTAATTCAGGAATCAATTGTCTCATGTGTACCGTCTTATTCTGTCTCAAACATAACAGTTGTATATGATGTGCAAATTATTTGCATACATTATGCTACGTGACACGAAATTTGTCCCTGGGTAGTAAGTGTTATTTTTTATTGCTTATGCCTAAAAGTATAGAAAATGGCTATTATTCCCCACAAACTTTGCTTTTGTGACCAGGACTTTACGTGAAGGAAAGACAAATGCACACCACGTTTTCTCATTGAAAATAGGTCAATTTCAAAATGTCACTATCCTGGTCACAAAAGCAAAGTTTGTGGGGAATAATAGCCATTTTCTGTACTTTTGAGGCATACGCAATTAGGAAATAACACTTACTACCCAGGAACAATTTTTTTCTGTTACACAGTGAATTATCTGAATCTTCTGAGTACGATTCAAGTATTATCATATATACCAATTTGGCTCTTCAAATATTTATAATTAGTTTTTTTCTGTTTCACCAATCACTGTACATCCATATTTCCTTTTGTGATCCTGCCGTACAGCAAGTAATGAACTCCTCTGGTCCCGATACAGCAGACTCCATATACCCTGTTGTTTGGGTAGACCAAACATGACAAGTATGTTGCTAGTACATTTTAGTGATGTCGAATCACGTTCGACAACCAGGACTGATCAGTCCAGTAAAACCTTGGATTGCGAGTAACTTGGTCTGCGAGTGTTTTGCAAGACGAGCAAATTTTTTAAATAAATATTAATCTGATAAACGAGCGAGGTCTTGCAATACGAGCAGTGCGTGTATACGCTTTGTCTGCCGAGCGTCACGTGATCACAACTGATATACAAGTGCTTTGATAAACGAGTGCTTTGGATTACAAACACGTTTCCGGAACGAATAATGCTCGCAATCCAAGGTTTTACTGTATAGTATCTATATTTTAAATCTCAAAAATTGCTGGCTTGGGTGATGGTGGCGAAGTACGTCCCGAGCATGTGTCTAATAACACCTCTGCAGGACTTGTTTCTCGTGCCGTCATGTTTTCAGAGGCAAGTGATCCCATGGGGATATTATGTTGCTTGTTACAAATGAAAAATTCCATTCAGAGTTTTTACAACTTTGCACACGCTGTGCTACATTTTGTCTAAGTTACTTAGGCATTGAAATGGATGATGAAATGGCCAAGTGAATTTGTAAACGTTAGAGAATGAATCTGTACACTGACCTGCATCAATATGTGTTCCTTCCCGTCTCTTTAGTTTGGGGCTGGTTTTGAAATCTTCTGAAAAAGCTTCATTGTTTATGATAAGGCAGATTCCCCTTGGATTGTTTTTGACTGGATAGGCAGGAAGATCCTTTGAAAAGACAAACACTTTTGGTATTTAGTATTGCAACCCCTTATTCCAATCCTTCAACCATACAGCAAAACCCAAACAGCTTTCAGCAAAGTCTAGAACTCCCTTCCCCCAGCCATCTATCCTGTCAGCTCACTTCTGTTCAATCCTAGACTCAAGACCTTAAATTTTTCCTCTGCCGATGACGATAGATAAAATAAATGCGCTCACTATTCTGTGCGGTGATTCCTGACCTTTTGCGTGGCACGTACCCCCCCCCCTTCTAGACCTCTCAACTGTCCATGTGCCCTTTACAAGGCCTGTTCGTCCCTACCAGCAATTAGTTTGTATAATGAATTAACGTTTAAAAAATTAATGTTTATACGTGTGTATATGTAATACCCAAGACGTTCAGTTGACACTGAACATAATAAGAATTAACTAAATATTTACAATGTCAGTTTAACACGGTGGGCTAAAGTAGTGAACTATTTGTTTTTTGTCAACGTGACACTTTTTTACTGATTGGCCGTGTCGGGTGGTGGAGGGTTACGACACATTTATAAATAACGCGATCTAACCCAAAAACGTTTATTATGAATATTTACAACGTACTTACAATTTAATAACACTTAAATATTACAACTTGTGCAGTTTAAGCCGAGTCCTTAACATAACCATGAAGCAGGGGGCAATGCTAGATATTTTCTAATGGGTTTGAATAATGTATGTATTGAGTTACTTATTATTTTGTGTTTAGGTACTTGTGAACTTTACTTAAAATAAACGTGATAAATGAGGGTCATAGCATGGCTGTGGAATCTAAGCATATGGTAAGAATATATTATTTATAATCAGTTTCTTTTTGGGTTAAATCGTGTTAGGACAATGGCAATTATCTGCTATACACTCCACAACCCTACAAAGCCAATCAAAGCAAATATGGCAACTACTTTGGGGTTTCAGCAAACCAGAATGTTGAAACGCAAGCAAAAAATGTAAATTGTATACAAAGTTATCAAATTATGAATCATATTGGTCGTGACAGCCTACGTATATAATTAGTGTAAAAGTATAGAGCTTTATAACTGCTAGTGCACACACTGCTAGCACTGCTCAAATTATACCTGTCAAATCTCCTAAAAGGAGTCACACGATGCAAAACATTTTAAACAAGTGATCTATAAGATCATTGTGACCCATATCCTTCAATTATACATATTATATCATACTGCTATATCTGTCTCTGCACTGCATTATGACTGACATCTCCTGAAAACTTTACAGATTATTTAACTCAGTAAATCGATGGCATTATTGATCAATCTTTACCCCGTGACAAGAAATCACTTCCACATCCTAACATTTAAATAAATGATTTACTACATTTTTATTTGTCCAAAGCTTGAATATTTAGAAAATAAATTTGGAGTTTCCCGAGGACATTTATCTTTCCAAATGTGGAGAAAACGACAGCAACTGTCAGACGCAGAGAGTTCATAAAATCCCATGACTTGGCAGCGATACGCACCGTGGAATGAGTTGTCGGGTCATGCATGTGGTCTCTTTGTGCTGGCGGTGAAACTTGGTGGATGATCGGGTCGTGTGGGTCTCCACGAACAGCATCCTGAGACATACGTGATGACTCCTCACCCTCATAGCCAGACGGAGCTTGAAACCACACGGATAAAGACATGAATTAGCTTCGTTTGTATATGCAATGGGACAAATATACATTTGCAACATACTCAACATATGCATTATGGATGTAATTATGGTTAATCAATTCAGCAATTATCGATTCTTATGCTCATGACACATGCATTGACTCGTATAGGTAAGAATGATTTTCAACTCATGTGTCTATTCAAAATAGATTTTTGGGTTTGGTATCATGTATAGACAACTCTATATGCATCACAATGGGAAAAATTAACAATTGATCAAATCACAGAAGTCGTCAATGCAACTTGCAGCATGCAGTTATTTTAAGTTAATGTCCAAATTGCATCAAACAGCTAAGCGAGGCGAGTGACGTGACTTCATATGCATCCCAGTGCTGCGGTGAAACTGTGACACTCCAACTGGTACCAGGCTCAATCTGAGGCAGCAGCCAAGCTTGGAGCGATCTCATCATCAACGAGCCGAGCAATGTGTGCCGCCGTGGGGACAGACGACTCTCCGGCCTAGTGCCAAAATGGGATTCGTGGACATGAGGACATGAGGAATTAGTCTATCTTCTTGACGTATCAGTTAAGCAAAAGGCTGTTCTAATGTTGCCTTATGAAATACCCTGCCAAGCTTCCTAACCTTCCACACCCATGCTCTCTTGCGAGTGAGGACCGGGATCTGTGGAAACAAAATAGAACAAAATGTAACTGTTACACCTATATGTGGTAATCTTTTTAACAGACAAATTAAAAAGTAGCATACACTACCAGTGTAAGGTAATTCACGTACCCAATAACTGACAAAAATTGTTGAAACGTTATACATTTTCACATTTCCATAAAAAAAAAATTCAGTTAAAGTTTTAGTCCCAGTGAAAATAAAAAATCTCCTTTTTTACAATCTGTTATGAGGAATATAAAAAAGTATTTGTTTCAATATTTAGTTTGACTATCAATGCACAATGCTCATGAAGAGGTGGTTTGTGTGAGTGAGGCATCTTGGGGATAATGAAAGTTTATTCAAAGCAATAAAAGTAACTGAAGCTGTTACTTCACATACTCTATATGTAACGTCGTTTGATGGGTAATAAGAATGTCCACTTACATCGCCAAGATGTCTGTTCATTGTGTCCAAATGATTCCTTGAAGATAGGTGTCTGGGGCAGATAAGTACAAACACAATTGCACTCAGTGAAAATTTTAAGAAGAGCTCAAGTATTACCTTTGAGTAGGACTTTCATCCAAAGAAGTGACCCCAAGTGAGATTTAAATTCACATTCCTCCAACTGTGTGATCTGATTAAAGCCTGTAGTTTAATGGCTAAACTGGAAGCATTTCATGGTTCCAACACTAAAAACAATTAGCAGTCAAGTGCTATGATGGCAAAGGTTAGTAGATCATGCAGATTCGCTTTCGAAGACACAGCGTCAATAAGAAATGTATAAAATATTCAAAAATCACTTAAAAAGCCACACTCGTACTTTTTCCTTTGAACATGGTGCAGCTTTTTTAAAACCTTGCATTGAGCGAGTTTGTCCTGTGAAACTAATAACCCTTTGCTGCGAGCAAACCAGAGCCGGCGTGGGGCCCTCACGCTTCGGGTGGATTTCCACTGGTTATTTGTTATGCCGAGACAAAACCAAACTGCGATGCTCTGGCCTTACAATACATCATAATCTGGCTCTGGGCCAAGCAGAGATAGGGTCAGGGCTAATCATACATCCGCGTTCATTGTGCGTTCATTGTGTGCTACGTTAGTCAGTATGCAACTCAAACACAGTGTTACCCCCAGCAACCATAGACATGCATATATCTGTGGAGATGATGTGTGGAACATCCCTATTCTCATGTATTCCAATGACCCAGTCGAGCATCTGAAGCAGGGTTAAACCTTTGCACAAAAGTGTACTTTAAAGAGGCTACACTTAAATCGGCGACATTGGTGGGAGATAAAATCACAAAGTATCCGTATTTCTATCATATGCAATACCAATAATTGCCCTCCACTTTTCCAAATACAGCAGCAATCCATGACGTACAGGTACGCATGCACAGTAGAAACCAAGAGTGGCAATGGTTACCACAATCCCAGGCAGGGGCAGCCCATGGCTCCCGTTTTAAGAGACAATTCCCGCCCCAGGTTCTCCAGCCTCGGTGTAATGCATGCTGATGGCAATGTGTGAAGATAATGTTTCAGTGCTGGGCACCCATTAGACCAGTTCTATGGGGAAGCTGCTTGGACTGCACGTGTCTGCCCGGTAGAGAAAATGCTGATGAAGCCACTGCCATAATGTGGCAGTTTCTCATTTAATCCTGCATGCGTTACAGAGGACTGGAAAAATGAAGTAGAAGGTTTCAGCTGCATCAACCCAGAACCACAGAGCAATACTGGTACCTGAAGGCTGTGTGATTGTTGTTCTTGCAACTTCTCTTGAATTTCTGCATGCATACACAAATTACGATGACTGTTAAAGGAATAAATGTGCTATTGGAAAACTATAACGACATTGTCACGTAGGATAGTTTTTTTTATCAAATAATCATTCACTTCAAGATTGTTTTAATGCTTATATTTCACTGACTCGCCAATTATAATTACAGTACATTTGTATAACAATTATATATTATGTTGAACTTCTTTCGACCGTAAGTGGCCAACTGTGCTAATCAGAGGTGATAGCCCTTCGGCAATCCACTGCCAGATGAAGGCCTGTCCACGCTGTGTCAGTAACGTGGGTTATTTAGGCATACTGTGTAGAACGCTGGTCAGTGCAGACTGCTGAAGGGGCCCAGGATCGGTTCAGATACCAGTCGCCACTGATGTTGGCCATGGCTGGGGATTAAACCTGGTCACCGGTTTCATAACAATATCGAGTAAACCAGTCCACTATTGTTCCACCCTATTGCATTTACAAGGGACCAAACCCAATGCATCTTAAAACGCAACTCCATTGTTATACTATTCCAGTCTATAATTCAAGTGGATAACGGCAAAATAATGTAGGTATCTAATAGAGGTAAGTGATTTTGTGCAACATCATCTCTCATGTTGGAGATGTGTCTAAAAACAACACTGGGAATACAAAAATGTGCAATCATATAAAATGTGATCTTATTTTGTGATCTATGTGTGGTTAAACAAGGCGCACATAGCCTGGCGCAAGCACCGTGGTGACATCACTTGCTGGTGACTGGCGGTTGTTGTTGTGGTGGTGAAACAATGCATGTCACTCTTGAAAATAAGACTATCCTGGTCTCTTGGGTGTCAGGGTAAAACCAAAAAACTTAAATAGAAAATGTAAAAACAATGCCAACTGACTCCAAGACCACAGAATAGATTCGTTTCCTGGAAGGAAAACTTGAGAAGCCATAAAATCTCAAGTGTCGAGGAGTCGGCTTTTGTTCAGAGTAGGCAGATTAAGCAATTATTTATGATTTCTATTATTGTATTACCGGAGTACGTATTTACCCTGTGCCCATCTTTAAATAATACAAATGTGCGGCACAATTAACTAAACAACATTTGATTCTAGAAAATGCTTTTCGTCTAGGAATGTTATTTTGGCAAGTCTTAACCGGTGAGTCCCCGAGACTCGAGCGTTGCGTGAATTGTTGCAGATCAGGAGAGCAATGTGGCCATTTTATACACGAACATTAAGACACATTACCCACGATTTGCTTTCAAATTGTTATTCCGCTTGGTTACCTAGGAAAGCCTCACTGAGCCTCAACTCTTTTTACACGCTTTTATTTAACTCACTCTGTCTGTTGTTGTTGTTGTTGTCGTATCCTCAAATCTTGTAACTACATTTTTATCCACTTCCCAATGTGGTATCGACTGCAAACTTGGTATACTTATGTCATACTGATACCAATACTATATTCTATCATTAAAAATAAAAAGCATATATTTTAAAACATTTTTTTGAAATGTTATGCTTCGGCTTGGGTCTAATTGTCCACGCTCAACTGATGTTGGCTGTAAATAACCACGGTCCCTTACGTTATGGCAAGCTTCGGGGCCACTTCCTGGAGTCGTGGAGTTCTGCCATTACTAGTACATTTCATTAAAGCGTGTTTTTAAAAAAGTATTTTTAAATATTACTTATTTTCAGGAGGGTCCTGCAAAACTTTCGCTAGAGGGCGATGTTGCTGCTGCTGCTGCAATCACAAATTAACTTGCAGGTACATTTTTCAGCATTGGCGAGATTTGGCCAATACCAGTTACACTGTATACATGTTGATTTATATATATATAAAACAAATTCCGTTTTTTGTGCAGCCACAAAAAGTGGATTTAAGTGTTCCAAGGAAGCCCTCATGGTTTAACTATTACCAAGTGTTTCAAAGACACTCACCCCTCAATTAAAACTATGATTTCTTTTTTCAATACCTAACGATGTAGCCAGCCAGCTGTTTTTTTGTAAATAAAATGATAATGCGATGTATGATTTAGAGGGCTGGCATACATTTCTGAGCAGTCGGTCTAAATACAAACGGGAAAGTCATACCTTGAATGTATAGCACACTAACGTATAGCCCGATGGAGCCACAAGACAGAGCAGTGCAAAGACAGGGGGAGAGACTAAAATAATAATGCAACCCATTGTATTTCCTTTGGGGAGAACCGCAAGTGGAACCCACGGTTATACCCGCTTTATAAATCATTTACGTTGTCACCAGCTTGCAATGGTTGTGCATATAGTTACGTGTATAGTTGTCGATTCTTTTGACAAGGTCGTTGCGCATCAGGGACTTCAAACCTTCCTTGAGCTTCAACAAATTTTCGGAGCAAATAATGGCTCGTTTCTCTAGCTCCACAAACAGTTCAAATACGCACTGCAAGACACCCTGTTCACAGACACAGCATTGTTAAGTTGATCACTGGAAACAACCACAACAAGAACCACCATCTGTATTTCAACGAGTGAAAATGTGATGTCAACAGAAAGCAGATTATCAAAGGTTATATGGATTTTCGAAAGCATACCTTTATTTACAAACAATGAACAGCAATTAATTGTCATTGATACTTAAATGTTTATGAAGAAGTAAGAGGAAGACTCAAGGTGGTAGAAATCACAGAGAAGATGAGATGGAAAAGGCCGGTGCGGTTCGGTCATGCTGAGAGACAACAGGAAAATAACGTGCGTCAGAAGGTGGAAGTGGAAGGAAAGAGATCAAGAGGAAGGCAGAAAAAAGGTGGGGCGATGTGGTGCGATCGGACACGGTGGCCCGAGGAGCAGAAAGAGAGATGGCGCAGGACAGGGCAAGCGTGGAGACGGTTGGCAAGGACAGCAGACCCCACATGAGTGGGACTAACACGTGGAAAAAGACGACTTAAATGTTTATGTCGGTGATGCATGTGTAATAAAGGACTCGACCCTGGTTCTGTCTCCGTGTCCTTTATTTGGGTTCGCGTTCTCCTTCCCTCACGGCACTCCTCCTGAGACTCTCTGCCTGGCAGCTCCACAGCTGCCTTCGCTCCCGTAGCCTTCCGCGCGCCTGCAGCTCCGCTGCAGGCTCTTGGTGCAGCCCTCTGGCTGCTCTCACAGCAGCTCCACCGCTGCTCCCTGTTCCTCCGTGCTCGGTCACCGCTGGCCGGCGGTGCCGAGTCTTACCGTGTGTGGCGATCTCGCCACTCCCCAATCTCAGCCCTTCGTGGCCTCTGTGGCTATCTCGCCATCTCCAACCTCAGCTCTATCCCCAACTCTCTTCCACCCCGCTGGTTGGCGCCGTCATGAGCCCCTCAGCCACCAGGCTGAGGCACGGCGACCACCCAACGTGTTCACCACCCTTCACTCCCCCGACTGCCCCAGATGGCTTCCTGTCTCCCCGCTATAACTTCTCCCCCACGTGACCCTGACTCCTCCCTCTCGGATCGTCATATCCGCCCCGCCCAAACTTGAGACGCCTCGCAGAACTCGTTCGGCGACTTGACTGCTCCGTTGTCACGCACCCGAGCCAGGACGGGAAGCTCCCGCCCCAGCAGCTGCAGAATCGTCGTCCTCTCCTCGCAGCTCGTCCTCGCGCAGCAGCTCACTGCAGGCTGCTCTCCTCGAGGCACCTCCAGATGGCAGCGCAAAGCTGCGTCACCGCCGCGATGTTGAATGGCGGCGTCTCCCCGCCGCGGTGAAGACAAGATGGCGGCTTCCCGCCTTTTCTCCCCTGCCACGCCCAAGATGGCGTCTTCGTGCCACGTGGCAGATGGCGCTGGCAGCGCAGGAAAGGCGGAGGCCTGCGGATCACCACCGGGCCTCCCCGACGCCGTCCTCGGTGTGGTGAACTCACACAGTTGCGCCAGCACGATTTTCAAGGTCTCCATCTGCGCTGCCATCTGTCTCCATCGTAAGTTGGCGTCCTCCGGCACAGACAGGTCCACCAACGCGGCGACACCTTGCTCACCCGGACCCGTACTCGTTCCAGCACGGATCTCCTCTTCCATCGCAGGCAGGTCCACCGTCTGAGGAAGGTCGTCGTCTGATGATGTAGCAGATGATGGCGCAGGAATATTCTTTTTTTTTCTTCTCTCAGTTGTTTTGAGATGCCGTTTCACTTCTGACACCAGTGTAATAAAGGACTCGACCCTGGTTCTGTCTCCGTGTCCTTTATTTGGGTTCGCGTTCTCCTTCCCTCACGGCACTCCTCCTGAGACTCTCTGCCTGGCAGCTCCACAGCTGCCTTCGCTCCCGTAGCCTTCCGCGCTCCTGCAGCTCCGCTGCAGGCTCTTGGTGCAGCCCTCTGGCTGCTCTCACAGCAGCTCCACCGCTGCTCCCTGTTCCTCCGTGCTCGGTCACCGCTGGCCGGCGGTGCCGAGTCTTACCGTGTGTGGCGATCTCGCCACTCCCCAATCTCAGCCCTGCGTGGCCTCTGTGGCTATCTCGCCATCTCCAACCTCAGCTCTATCCCCAACTCTCTTCCACCCCGCTGGTTGGCGCAGTCATGAGCCCCTCAGCCACCAGGCTGAGGCACGGCGACCACCCAACGTGTTCACCACCCTTCACTCCCCCGACTGCCCCAGATGGCTTCCTGTCTCCCCGCTATAACTTCTCCCCCACGTGACCCTGACTCCTCCCTCTCGGATCGTCATATCCGCCCCACCCATTTACGCCCGCATTACACATGTAAAGATGCCTATTTCTGCCAGGTATAATGTAGTGTAACCATTGTTCACAAAATTATAAATATTCAATGAAAATTAAAGTGACGTACAATTGTGGAATTTAGGGATGAAATGCCCTTTATTTAACCACGAAAGCCACCACGAAAGCCACAGACTCTTTTTCTAGAGGGTTCTGCATTGGAACGTTTGTCCAGTACGGGACCTTAAAACAAGTATTGTGTACGTGGGTGGGTACTGGAGTACCTGGAGAAACTCCACAAATACAAGAGATAATACTCAAAGCTCTAAACAGATAAATTAAATAATCCATTGCTGAACTGCCATCTCCTGGCCAACTTCACAGTGGCATTCTACAACATCTGATACTCCCAAGGCAGCCTCCGACTTATTTATCCAGGAAAGCCAAAACTGAGTTGTACGGCTCTTTTTCATGAGGACCCTGCGTTACAGTTAATTACAGGCACTCCTTGACGTACGCGATGGATACATTCCTGGTAAAGCACAAGCATTTCAAAATCGTGTATGCCAAAAGCAATTTTCCCATAAGAAATGGTAAAGGAGGTAGTTAGGGAATTTCACTCACACCCACAGACATAAACGCCTATATTATCCTAGCATATCTACAAAAGCGCTTACATCGAGGATTGCCTGTAATTTTGTTACGATGTTTTCTGCAAATTATAGAGTGCTTGTACAACAAACCCTCGCTATGCACGAGTCCTGAATTTGCGAGTTTTACATCTTCATGAATTACTAAATATCTTCTAATTCCCTATTTGCCAACCGCCGGACTCCAGTATTCGCGAGTGTGCATAGTGCCAGACCACCAACACTGGGAAGGTGCGTGCAGGATGTTACCTTTGACAATGTCTGCGAATATTTAGGTGACCCTCTCGACTGCCCGCTTAGTCCTCCGTCTCGTAGTAATCCCGCTCTGAACTCGCTATTCTGGATATTTTTACCATATTCGTACTCACGGTCGACTCGTTTATACATTTTGGGATAAACAAGTCGACTGTGAGAATGCAATCAGGGAAAGTGGTGCAGCTAGCGCACCCCAGAGTGATAAAATTATACCACCGCCAGCCTTAGCCTCCAAGATGACACAAGACCATGGGCGATCAGGGCGATTCAGTTGTAGGATATTGATTGATATGGATGTTAAAATAATCAATTATTTTATAAATAACTAGCTGTACTACCCAGCTTCGCCCGGGACTTGGATCCACTATGCCCGGCCGCCTTTGTCTCCCCAGTAGCGATGTTCACATACCACACCAGTTACTCGTTTGAGGCTGAGTCGACGTAGGGGAGGCCCAGGAGCAGTTGCAATAATCGTCACCGGTGGTGGCCGTGAGCGGGAATCAAACTCGGGTCGCCGGGTTTGTAGCGCAGTGCGCTAACCACTACACTACAATGCGTTACGCTTCCACATGCGCGGGTCACATGACAGATTTGACGTCACAGCTCACTTGCCGTGCAAAACATATATGCATTATTGAGCTCCCCCCCCCCCCCCCCCAAAAAAAAAAGTTTATTTTTATAATGTTTGCATGGTGTACAGTCTGGAAAGTACCCACATGGCAAATTTCCAGTTTGTTGCATGTCGGGAAGTACGCTAAACATTTTGAACAAACACACATATTCACAACTTTGCCTTTTATAGATATGGAGATGTTGGTAGGTAAGCAATTGCTTTTCATATACAAATATAATGTGATACAAAAGTGGATGTAAAATGTACAATTCAAAGAGAATTTTATTTTCTTACCGAGTTGTCTGATGAATTTGATCGAGGAATTGCATAATAGAACACAAGCTCCTGGTAATTTGTCATTGTTAAATTGTTGGCCAGTGTGTAAAGCAAGATCCTGAAAAAATATACAAATGTCAAGCACTCAACGTATTACATTCAAAGGCACAATTACAATTTGCTTCCATCTACAGCTGTGTGCCTGTCTTGTAAAATGCAAACATTGGCTAAGTACAAAAAAGATTCCACATTCAAAGCAAGAGTTTCGAAGTGTTATGGTCTTCAGTTTAGTCACAAATTGACTATGCAACATAACTCAGCATGCAAGGATTCGTCAGCCCCCCCCCCCCACCATGATCCAGTAAAATTGTTATGAACTGTGGCTACAATATCAATTAATTCTGTTTTGTTTGTACAGGCTAATTTGTATGCTCTGCCTCTTCTCTTTAATTCTGTTTCACCCCAATGTAACTCGCATACAATTAATAGAAATCAGTAAAAAAAAAATTTTTACACGCAGGTTAATGCACTTGTTACAATCATAACAATAATCGTGTTAATTGATAAACCATTAATGCATAAAAATAACTACCTTAGAAAGCATAATCTGTTTAGAGACACACACACACACTAGCTATGCATTCATGACTATACAAGCACCACGTAATGCAAATGCACAATCAAATAAAATCCTCTATGCCAGAGAGTAGGCGGGCTATGAATTCACCCTCCTCACAATTGAATAATTTGGCAAGGTTGAGGGAATCACAATTTTCTTAAGGAGAGAAAATAATTTATTGTCATCGTTGAAGGTAGAATGTCTCGTTTACATGAACGTCTTACAGTACACCTATTCCAACGTGCACAGCAATTCCTGCATGCACGATTCTGTGTCACGAGCATAAACACATTCCTGCGGAGGGAGCTGATAGGAACGTTGGGTTGCTCGGTCAATGGCCAGGGTCAACGGCGGCGTGGTGTATTCCGCGAATATGCCCGACTGTGAGGGCGGGCACAAGCCGGAGTGAGTAGGTTAAACGTTGAGTTTTATAAGGGCACCACGGGGTGACCAGCCCCTCCCCACCCAGCCCCACCCCACCCTCCCCTCTCCACCCAGCCCCACCCCTCCCATTTTTGGATGCAGGACGGACAGAATAATCCCCTGTGGGCTGGTGTAACCAGGAGGTTCCGACCAGTATAATCTATTGTAATCGATGACTCAACAATGTGTTAGATGTCTATTGGATAGTGTGCTGAGATAGCCCTTAGTCAATAGATGAGATGCAGAGAAGCTAGACAACACGTAATTACGTGTTCAGTATTTGGTCAAAGAAGGGTCCTATTTAGTGCATCCCTAAGCGCTTCATTTAAATGCCAGGGGCCCAGCGTGGCTGCGTTGCTTGAGTTCACCTGAAGTCACTTATGAGCCCCGTCTCTTGTTGCCAATTCTCGGCGAGGTTGAACTTCCTCAACAGGTCCTTGCGCTGCAGGTGGTGCAGCAGTTCCGCCAGCAGAGTAGTGTCGCGTTTGCTTAGTTTATCGCGCTTCTCCAGCAAATCGAATATCTGTAAGGCTGAAGCGTTCTCAAGTAATGACGATGAAATCATGTCCTTGCACAGAAAGCGCAAACCTTGCAGGTCCCTTTGGACAAGTTCACCATTAATGGCGGTCAGCACCTTGCGATAATTGAAGCTCATTTTTGTTCCTGCCACCGCTGGGGATTACAGAGATACGCCAAGTGTTAGTATACGGTATTCTATTATTCAGTATTATTTAAATAATTTGACTGCCAATGTCACGAATTACATATGCAGTGAACAACTTCCATCGTCTGTATCTCGCAGCATTTGCTGAAAGAATTTACATCACAATGTCCAATTAACTGTTCATCTTGGAGATACACATCTGGACTGTGTCTAGGGCTATGTGTGACGAGTTTAAAATAAGCACGCATAAACAGGTACATTTCTATGAATCGATGTTGCATTGGTAACAAGAATAATACAGTACAGCATCCCTTTCCCAAGTTCCGGGTTGTACTGCATGTGGCAGTGTTGAAGAAATACAACTCACGCAAGTGACTGTAGGCTCACAAAGAACACAGGAATGTTGTGTTTACGCTGTGCGTGCCACCACAGGTATTTTTTTCTAATGTAGCCCGAGTCAGTGAGAGGTAAGAAGTACAGTATTTCTAATTCGTGCTCCGATCTTGTATGGTACGGATAACACAATGTGGATATACTCTATCTACAGTGCTATTATTGCAAAACCCAAGAACACATGGTACAACTCAAAAACACATCAGAGAAGAATACAGCACAGCCAAAACCTATGCAGTAAAAAAACAGCAGGTGTTTGTTGGGTTGCGAGGTCGTTATCTGGCTGGTTACACAATCTGAGTCCAGTCCATTGCATAGGCTGATTTCAAAACCCCTACCATACCATACAAAGATATGAGCACAAGTTATAAAAAATGTGTCCTGACTCAGGCGAAATAAGAGAAAAACACATTTGATGACACACCCATATTGGTTAGCCCAAAAAAAACTTAAACCATGATAACAAATTCTGATCAAGTGATACCTATGACAACCCATTATAGTAGGTTATCCCTAGATAACCAAGTGATATCCATTATAGTAGATTAACCTTGATTCCTATGATATCCCAGCACTTCAAACCAAGATCAGGCTTATACAAGATGGTCTGATTTTTTATATATATAAGGGTGCGCATCACCAACCCAGGCCACAATAGAATTGCAGTTCAATATTCATTTGACATTCTCAACCGTATTACCTGGACGTTTCGAACCAACTGTTATGCGACACTTGCTAGGTCCTGATATTGTACGAATAGAACATCATATGTGCACGTTGTGAAATAATCCATAACTGGCCAGGTTCCCATAACAGTTGGTTTGGGACGAATGAAATTCTAACTTTAATCGAATGCAGTGAGGTACTGATATAGTAGGGGCTGACCCCAGGTATACATACACTAACCCTGACATCACATGAACACCACCCATTAGCACATTGCATTGACACTTTAACACAGCTAAGCTGCACAATACTGAACTGTATTATACGTTTATACAATAACACATAAGAACAGTTACACAATGTATTCTGGTACAAAAATTTAGACCGTTCCCGAGGGCATGATTCAGGATTTCTTGCATTGGAGCAGAGTTTAAACCTTTGAGAACAGAATACAACATTGTAATAGTTTCACATTGCGAATACAACACATTGGCAAACCAACACATTGACATTCTACTCTTGCCTTTAGCAATACGTTCAGGAGCTAAATAACAATGTCTAGGTCTGCTTGTCACGAGATGGCTTCAGGAGAGTTTGCGGAGTTTTGCCGTTCTTCCTCCATTGACGGAGTGCTGACCAATGCTTTGTTTACTATTCGGTACACAATTTGGGTTGCATGGCCAGTCGCACTACTGGGGCTTATCTTTAGTGTATTTATTTGGGTCCTCTGTGACTCTCTATGGGTTTATATGGTCCATAGTTTGGGTTGCATGGCCAGTCACACTACTGTGGCTTGTCTTTAATGTATTTATTTGGGTCTCTGTGAGTCTCTATGGGTTTATGATATGGTCCATAGTTTGGGTTGCATTGGCCACAACCGCACTCTAGCATTGTGATAGTCATTCATTTTACATTTATGAAATTGGGAGCATCGGCCTACTTATGTTCTGATGCAGTTGACTTACACCAGTGTGGTCGAGGAGGTGTGATGATGTTGGGGATCTGGGATGAGGTGTTTATTCTGGAGCTCTGCGTTGCTCCACTCCGTTCGCGCAACAGCGTTCTTCTGGATCTGAGTGAGAATCGGGGATCTGGGGTGAGATTCGGGGGTTATAGGGTGAGGTTTCGTGGATTGAGGTGAGATTAGGGGATTCTGGGGTGAAATTCGGAGGATCTGGAGCGAGATACCAGGGGATATGGGACGAGATTCAGGGGATCTGGGGTGAGATTCGGGGATGGCGCGGTAACATTCTTGAGCACACGCAAGATTCGTCTCAACAACGTCCGTTTCCGCCACGATGCCGCCCATTGGGGTTGTGTTTAAGAAACAAGTTGGTGTGGCCACTGCGAAAAGGCGACCGTCTCTTCCCACTCATTAGACATTCACGCGTTAATACTAAATAGTTTTCATAAAAAACTACTTCAACAATTGTTTTTACTTTACCAGGTAAGACCCTCACTGAGCGATGTATCTCTTTTTCAGAAGCGCCTTGGTCATCACGAACGATAGCTCAATTTAGTGCCTTATATTCAACCTGTAAATATATAGCAGCCAAATACTCTAAACGTGCGATGTTGATTCTATATGAGGGAAAACCCGGGAGGGGGGCTGTAGAAAAAGCCACGCGAACACGGGGAGAGATAGAGGGAGAGACCGCAAAATGCAAATATACAGAAGGCGTCAGGTTCGGTATCAACAACAACAGCCTCTCTTCACTACCAAGTGGCAGGGACGCAAACCACGGCGCTTGTGCCAGGCTAAGTGCACATTGGGGGCCGTCCATAAAATGACGTCACGCACCTTGTGACGATGTGTGACGAGGGGGGGGGGTTGAGAAATATGACGTCACATCAAAATGCGCAACTTTAAATAAATATAAACACGTTCTACTTAATTAAATAGACTTTTAAATAAATGTTTTCTCCTACAATATTAGAGTGCAGCGCCACATTAAATACGCACTACAATGACAATAGTTTAAAGCGATTTGAAGCATGTTTTATTTTTCGATTTAAAGCTTTCGTGACTGCAAGGATTCATCTTCTTGGTTTTTTCGGTAAAGTGACATAGAAGGGAAATAATAAAATAATAAAAATAAAACGTTATGTTTTATTTGTATAATAAAATAATAAAAATAAAATACGTTTTATTTGTATAATAAAAATTTAACATGTTTTATTTATTTCCCTTCTACGTGACTTTACCGAAATAACCAAGGATTTGAAGCATATTTAAGAGCTTTGTGACGTCATATTCGAGGTGGGGGGGGGGTCTGACTTTTTGTGACGCCGTGTGACGATGAGGTGGAGGGGGTCAAAAATCCTCCAAAATCGCGTGACGTCATTTATGGACGGTCCCTTGGGGCCATCACGCCGAGAAGTGTGGAGGGCTCGCCGCTTGGCAAGGAGGTCACGGGGCAGACCCAGCGGGTGCCACGTGTTGCCGCACGAGGTGACTGGCACGCACGCACGCACGCATGGCGACGATGCGAGACAAGTTCAACAGACACACCCGCGGGGGACCAGGCGAGCGAGTTCACGTCTCCTCGCCAGCGTCGCGTTATCACGAAGACAAGACGGCCGCGGCAGTCCCACAACACGGACGCAATTAGTGACCGCGAACACGCGAACACAGCGAAACGTCAACAAGCGCAACACTTCGTCTTAACACGGCCACGCGTATCGTTGACACGCTGACAACAGCAGCAGTACGCACGCGAATAACATTCGGGAACATTTCTTCGCGACAAACGAAACACAAAAAGCATCGCCATCGAGAGAAACAACCTCACGAACACACCCCACGTACGGTCACCGGAGCGAATGTGTCGTGGATACGGTACGGGGTGAGGGTGGTGAGGGTGGGAAGAAGACGACGTGAGGTCGTGTCGCCTCACATCGCAACACACCTGGGCCACGACGAGACACCGAGCGAGCCTCAACACCACCTCTTCGTCACCTCTTCTTCACTTCCTCGCAACTTCACTTCGCCTCAGCCACCTCGAGCCAACGGCCTCACCAAGTGACGGGGAGGGGTGGAGTCGGTGTCTCCGAGCCTTCTTCCGTGTCCGCCCCCCCCCCCCCGGACACCGCCACAGTTGGTTTGCTCCGCGGCCGTCCTCGCAAAAACTGGCGGGAACCACCGGACTGTACCAAGTGGGGCGAGAGCGAGAGGGGGGGGGGAGGCGTCCAGCGCGAGACGATGGATTTCGGGAAATTCCGCGGGGCATCCCGTGACGTCACAGGGTAATGACGGCCGCCCGACAGCCAATCAACGTACAGCAGGGGGTCCAGATGTCTTGTGACCCCCCCTCCCATCACAGCCCCCTCCTAACATTGTGTGTGTGTGTGTTAACATTCGCATATTAATTTCTGTTTAAAGTATGGGAAGCGCCGCGGTGGTTCGGGTGCAACCTTGATTCGGGTGCAACCTCAACACAACAAAAACATGAACAAGAAACATCTTAAAGTGATTACACGCAACAGAAAAAAATCCTGGAAAAAAATCTGCTAAATCTTCCAGAAAAAACGCCGCATTTCAACGCTGTGCGCAAAAATCCCAGTGGGATGCAAGTCAAACAATAACAACCACAAGCCAATGTAGATTAAAGTTACCAGGCTAACTCTGTACGACAACAAACAAACATGGCCAGACCACACCGTCCTCAAAATCACCAAAGTTATCTTCCTCGGCTGGTATGCAGGAAGTCGGGGGGCTGGGGTGGGTTCCATCTCGAGGCTGACGCCTTCTGTCTATTTGGAGTTTGCGGTGTCTCGGGGAATCTTACCCGGGCACCTCGGGGTTTTTCCCCTCCACGTTCTTAAGCAACGTCGTGTTTTTTAAAGAATATTTGGCTGCTGCTATAAATGTCCAGATGAATACACTATGGGGTCGTCCATAAATGACGTCACGCGATTTTGGACGATTTTTGACCCCCCCCCCCCCTCAAATGTGACGTCACAAAGCTCTGCCCCCCCCCCTCCCAAAAATGAAACATGCTTCAAATCGCTTTAAACTTTTGTCATTGTAGTGCGTATTTAATGTGCCGCTGCACTCTGATGTTGTGGGAGAAAACATTTATTAAAAAGTATATTTAATTTAGTAGAACGTGTTGTCTATATTTATTTAAAGTTGCACATTTTGATGGGACGTCACATTTCTCAACCCCCCCCCCCCTCGTCACACATCGTCACACATGTCTGACCCCCCCTCCCCCCTAGGTGCGTGACGTAATTTATGGACGGCCCCTATGTAACACGATTATTGTTCCTGGGTAGTGTTATTTTCTAATTGCTTATGCCTCAAAAGTATAGAAAATGGCTATTATTCCCCACAAACTTTGCTTTTGTGACCAGGACTTTACGTGAAGGAATGACACATGCACAGCACGTTTTCTCATTGAAAATAGGTAAATTTCAAAATATCACTGTCCTGGTCACAAAAGCAAAGTTTGTGGGGAATAATAGCCATTTTCTGTACACATTTTGTTTTTGTTCCAGTCCCTTGGTTGAGCTGTAATTTGTGATAGCCGGGTCGATTCCAAAAAAGAGCTGAATAGCTCAGGAGGGCCTTACCTGGTTAGAAAAAATGTTGCTAAAGAAGTTTAAAGAAAACTATTTTGTGTTGTGTCGATGTCTAATGTGTGGGAAGAGACGGTCGCATTCTCGCAGTGGCCACACCAACGTGTTTCTTAAACACAACCGATAGTCATCGTCGTGAAACCGACGTTGTTGAGATGTATCCGCGTGTGATCAACAATGTTACCGCGCCATCCCCGATTCTCACCCCAGATCCTCCAAATCTCTCCCCAGACCCCCGAATCTCACCCAGACCCCCCGAATCTCACCCAGATCCCCCGAATCTCACCCAGACCCCCCGAATCTCACCCAGACCCCCCGAATCTCACCCAGATCCCCCGAATCTCACCCAGACCCCCCGAATCTCACCCAGATCCCCCGAATCTCACCCAGACCCCCCGAATCTCACCCAGATCCCCCGAATCTCACCCCAGAAACTCTCCCTAGATCTGCAAAATCTCATTCCAGATCCCCCGAATCTCACCCCAGACCCCCAAAATCTCGGCTCAGATCCGGCCCAGTATTTGGATGCTATAAATGTCAACTTCGTTGAGCTATCATTTGTCACCAGGTCGCTTCTGAAAAAAAGCCACAGCTCAGTGAGGCCTTACCTGGTAAAATAAATAAAATTATCTTGACCGTCCTGTATAGGAATCTTTATTTAGATGGCTGCTGGCGTGTCCACGTTCACATACATAGGCCCATGGATGGGGATGAGTAAAACGTGTTTTTGTCTGTGGAGAGACGGGTAACGTGCAGGAGACTGCTAGAGTGTTTGGCGGTGGGTCCGTTGGCATTGGTGTCGATAACACCACCGTGCGTACGGCATTAAGAATGAATATATCAGGCGACGTTTCGGGCAATGGCCCTTATTCACAGCACATACAAGAGCCAATAGAGGTGTAGAGTGGATGACGGGCTTGATAAGGATTATATTATAGCATTTCAAGCACGCCTCCTTGTTGGAATCTATTAATCGATTCCTTTACATCTTGATTTTAAGCTTTCGTGACTGCAGGAATTCATATTCTTTGAGTATTTCGGTAAAGTCACGTAGATAGAAAAATAATAGATCACGACGTTTCGATCACAACACAGGCAATCGTCTTCAGGTTGATTCCCAGATCCCCCCCCGCCCCCCTCCATGTGATTATTGGACTGGCCTGAGCCCCCCGACAGCCTTGTCCAGGGACAGGCGAGGTCCAATTGTAGGTCTGAGCCACTAAATGGAGAGTTGAGTCCCTCTGCTCAGGCTGCCCAACTCTCCATCCATCGACCTTCGCCATCTGTGGGTCCGATGTTTATGGTGACGCCTCCAAGGAGCTTTGCCCCAGCCTCGAGACTCAGGGGTGGGGAACCTTTTTTCTGCCAAGGGCCATTTGGATATTAATAACATTATTCGCAGGCCATACAAAAATAAATGTATGTTGCTATGAAAAAAGCGCCTAGATTTATTGAATTTCAAGTCGTGCGGTTGATTTGGCAGGGCCAGACCAAATGATTTCACGGGCCTTATACGGCCCGCGGGCCAGACGTTCCCCACCCCTGTTAGAGGACACACGTGTGTTGTTTCAGTCAACCCACGGCACCACCTGGGCCTGTACAGTTACCTGTCAAGAGAGCCTTTGACACTTCACGTGGCCTCAAAGTGCACCTGGCCTGGCACAGACGTCACCGCCACTCAGTGGCGAATGGCGGCTGTTGTATTGTTGAGTCGCATGCTTCTCTCAAATGGACACAAATAAGAGGCAAGAAAATTAAAAAAGTGAACCAAACGCGGTTTATGTTTTATGTGTGTGCCTTGGAAGTATGTACAGAGCAGAGCATTTTGTAGAATTCCATGAGGATAAAAAGGTACATTTGAAAATCACGTTTTTAAAATAAATACACGGATAAAATAGGGAAAGTTTAAAGCAAAGTCTACATTGAGTCTCGGCTATTAAACAATTGCAGATTTAATAAAGTTATCAGTAATCTACAAAACACTGACACTGTAATTGTAAACTCATTGGCATGCACACATGCCACCGTGACAATGTGACATTTGATTTTACTCGTCAGGATATTTCTGGTGAGATTCAATAAAAGTGTCTCGGTAAACAAAAACTAACAAGTTGCAAACAAATCGGCAATGATTTTCTGTGGGTATTATACGACACTCGTCCAAGTTCCTTGGTCAGCGGTCATTGCTCCATTGAGCTATGAGGCCAACATTCCGCCCCATGTCCCCCCGTGCCATCTGCTTGGCTGTTGCTCAGTGGACTTTGCTGGCCAACCCACACTCTCCGTGAGCGCTCATTTTCAGGGCAAAGACATGTGCTCTGGTTACGGTGGTTGAAAGATCTTCATATTAAACGATAATTTAGGTGTATAAGCGCCCTTAAACAATGGATCTCAAAGTGCCATGCATATAAAAGACAACTCAAGGGACAAGTTAGAGAACTCGAGCGAGATGTGTTAAAGAGTTGGCGGGGCCTTTCAGGCGAGGCGTACAAGTCTCCAACAACTGCGAGATCCTGACCTCCAAGGACAGGGAATTCCAGGATTAGAAGTCTCTGAATAATATCCTTAAAATATAAATCCCATCTGGTCAATTGGGTAATTGCACATTAGCATGGGGTGCACACTCGACAAAGCCCTCTATGTGTGACTGCCACTTGAGTAGACACGTGAAAGGTTGATTTTCGTTCAATAGATATAATTTACATTGCAATGAAAATGTATTTTACCCATATCTAGGTAACCCCCCATTTACTGATATTCCTAAATGTAGTGGTTAGCATTTTCACAACTGCTCCGACTTGCATCGGATAAACGGTTTAATTAACCGCTCCTGCTGCTAATCACCACAGCCTAGGCTGTGGTGATTCATTCAGGACTGTTTGGTTCTGATACCCTGGCGAATGACATCGGCACTCCTTACTGGCTCAGTAATCAGACCCCCCCCCCACTCACACTGTGAAGCATCTCCACTCTTTTCTGCAACAAAAAAACACCATGCGGTTGGTGAAATCACAAAAAACAATCAGATGGGCTCCAGAATGGACATTTAACACCCCGCAAGTCACAATAAGAGGTCAGTATGTGCCAACGTCAGAGCACATATATTAGATTTAAAAAGGAACTTCAATTAAGTTTCGAAAAGAATGAACATGTCCATATAACTAATAATTAACCTCAATACGCTCTCAACTCGTTAAAGGACAATTGGGGGCAACTGCAAACACGTCATCGTCACTTGTTTAGTCACCGTCTCAGCGGCCACGTGGGCGTGGATTTTAACCGTCGAGCTCCCAAGGACACATTCTTATTTGTGTGCTCTTGTCACTTAATATGAAAAAAGTTTTTTAAGAAATCCATGACCTAAATGGCTACCACCCGTGCAACGATGAAAATGCGAATCAAGGTTTCAAAATTATTTTGCCATGAGGTTACAATTTACTGACAGTATAAAACGATTGTGTTCTTATGCATCTTTAAAAAATAGTGTTGGCACGAATTAAAAACACAAAACATTTGGCATAAAGTCAATTGGCTGTAATTACTGTACACTGTGGAGCGCTTACCATTTTGATAAAAGCAAATCCATCAGGATCACCTGAGAAATCCGAACATGTGTGATTATTAAAACACAGCATAAAGGTTACAGTGCTGAAATCAGCTGGACTTTAAAGCTCGGTGTTCGCTGGAGCCTTTTCAGGGCATCTTCGGGAAGAAGTCTGCTCGTTTTCCCTTCGGCGCCTCCCCGTGCATCATCCTGGAGGCTCAGAGTGGAGTGCCGGTCGATTGCAGAGTCCTGGCCGGCGTCTCTGCCGCCAGAGCGATACACGACTTCGCACGAGCGGCTGTGGGAAGGACTGCCTGGCGTTGCCCCCAAGTGGGCTCTGCTTTCACCGGGAACAACAAGGCCGGGAGAATAGTCGTGCGCGCCAAACTCGGTCTCAAAGATGACGGTCGGGAGACTGGTGTCGACTGCGGACACAATCCCGCCGTTGGTCGGTCTGGCAGCAGTGCCCAACGGAAGGGAGTCCACTTCGACCGCTTGCTTGTCGCCACGCTCTCGCCTTACAAGGGCCTCATCCGAGTCCCGCCAGTTTGGAGACTTGCTTGAATTGCCGTTGCTTAAAACGTCTCCCATTCCTTCCAAAAGGGAACTGTCTTCCTCCGTATCTAACTGCTGGTCCCATTCGCTTCCTTCTCCTGCCAGAAAATATGGATGTAAAATTGAATAATGTACAGGATAAATATTGATAAAGTACAACACGAATATGTTTTTTTTAATTGTTAATCACGAACATTAAAGTATCACAACTGCACACGCCAGTATTACCATGATAACTCCTGGTAAAAACAAGAACGGGGAAGGTTATGAACGAGGGCAACATTGAGTTACGCTTGTAATCTCGGAGGAATGCGGAAAGGTTTTTTGGGGTCAAGCAGTCTTTACGTTATCATTAACACCATCGACGCATGCTTCTCAAGCAGTTAGGAATCGCAGTGGTCCATGCTGCACCACTGCACCATCCTCGGCCTGTGCCTGGGCCTGGGCTTGGGGCGGGCGGGCGGGCGAGTGGGGACGGTGAGCACGCGCAGCATGCACGAGTCGACGGCGCGCCGGGCTGGACAACGCGAGCGGGGTGGGTAGCAGCCGCACGCGGTGGCTCATGCGGCGGAGGGTTCATTCAAGCCCCTCTGGTTTGAAGCACTGCCGGTGCGGTGGGGCGGGGGTGCGGGGGAGAGCCACACTCTCAAAGACGCTCAACGGAATGGCAACTTACGCTATGGTCTAAGGGCTTTTTCAGAGACCTCTGTCTCTTCCCCTCTGGGCCCGGCTCAGTGGGTTCGCCGTCCTGCTCAAGGACGACTGTAACGTGCTCAGAGACCAACAAGAGGTTGGGCGGAGAGACCGAGCCGTTTGGGAAGTTGGGGTCGGCCTGCACAGGACTGACACTGATACCTGTGTGCGTGCAGTGCGTGTACGTGCGTGCGGTGCGTGCGGTGCGTGTGGTGCGTGGATAAACATGAGAACATGACACTACCATCGAGAATTGGCCTGCACACTTGCAAAGCCATTCTTTACTTAACAATATCTTTAATGTAATCTTGCATAGTGTTATCTGCAATAAGCAAACAAGTTTTTTACATTTAGACACAGTAGTGACTCGTTAACTTTATTGTCTTCTGAGTTCCCCTCACAGCCGGTGTTAATGCGCACTCTGTTGTACTATTGGAGTCATAATCATAAATTTGCGAGTTTGCATCCTGCTCAGGGGCTGACTCAAAACATCATCTCTCCAGGGTCAGTAAAGTACACCCTTTTTGTGAGATGTAAAACAATGGTCATTCTATGGAGATGCTGGCCATTTCAATGTGGGATTTCGAGAAGTGGGTCCGCACCACCCATGGAGATGAGCCAGGTCCATTGCTCGTGAGCAGAGATGCGTCGACCTGATTCCCCGTTGTGCTTTTTAGCGCAATCCAGGATCTTGGTGGTAGCGGCTCGGAGATTTAAAACGGGTAAACAATTATCCCCACTCGAGCACCTCCAAGCTCCGCGTAACCGCATTTGTTGCAGAAGCCGTAAAAAAAGAAGAACCAGAAGTAGAACACTCGTCCGTTGAAGCGATGGGAGAATCCGGAGTGCGAGGGTGCGACCCCTGTCTGGGCCAGGCCCGCCGTGCCAGCTCACCTTCCTTCTTCCAGCGGTGGCTGCGGATGGACGCGCTGGTGACGACGCTGCGGGAGATGCGCGACGAGGTGGGCGTCACCTCCAGCTGCAGGCAGCGGGAGCGGCCCCGGCCAGCGTGCGGAGCGTCCTGCAGCAGGGAGCTCTTGATGGCGCGCGCCAGCTGCACGCACGCACACGCGGCCGGGGCCGGGGGGGCGAGGAAGCGTCACCAACCATCGCTCGGCTCCACGGCGAGGACCCCCCGCGCGTCGCTCACTCGTCGCTTGCTCGCACACAACCCCGGCTCTTCACAGGAATGGCAATTTACCCCTTTCCCATTCCGATGACGTACGTGAACGTCGTCAGTTGTTCCTCATCAGTTCCTGAAGAAACATCGTATCTAGGGTCCGATTTTTCAGATTAATCTGAAAATCTGGAAAACATCTCCACTGCGCAACGGGTCGTCCACCGTAGACATGGAGCAATAAAAACAGCTCGTGTGCAGGAGCTAAATGGATTGTTACATCCAGCAGGGGATAGATCATGGCTAATGATGAATTAAAATATAAGATGTAGTCTATATATGTCAATGTTAATTGGAATCCTCATAACCCTATTTACCAAGATTTGTAATTCTCTTGTACATCCCTGCTTATGAATGATTAAAAAGATATATGTGCGTGAAACAGCATACATTTAGTTATATTACCAGTAATGGCTCAGGGTAGAGCTCAAGTTTAGACCGGTACAGGGCATCTTCCACTGCCCTTTTACCCATGTCCCATGCACCATTGTAACTGCAAGACAAACAAATACAAAGTTCAAGATACAAAGTAAAAAAAAACTGAGAAAATTATCTGTTATGATCATCAACACTATTCAAGTCTTGTACTTTCAGCATAAAGAAACCTTTCAGTAATTTTAAGGTTGGGCAATTGTTGGAGTGTGCCTTGTGTAGATATTTGAGTTGTTTATTTGGCCGTGACTGCCCCCATTTTATGTTACATGTACATTCACACGACTAAGCATTCCTCTGCAATTCCACAACACATGAGTTTTCTCACTGAATTTTTTGTATTACCAGCTACAATGTAAACATTCTGTGCTAAGAAGTTAAGGCGCCTGTCCTCCCAGAACCCGGCAGTCAACAGAACGTCGCCACCCATTGTACGGACCGCCTGCCGCCGATACAACAGCAAAACTCAACACCGAGGCCTTAATAGGACAAGTACACAATAGGTGATGTATCAGGCAGTGGCTCTTTTTCCTAGCACAGAGATGGAGAGGCCAGAGACGTGAAAATCATCATTGGCGTTATTGTGTTGAATGTAAAAACAAGCTACTTAAGCAGACAACGCCTCCTTCACATATATGTTTCGCCGCGTGCAAAATAAATATGAAGCACATATATCCAGTTTGTTATTTACATTCTTCAAACTTTGTGCAATCTTCTTTGGTACAAAATGACAACATCGGTGATAGTTTCCAGTGCAACGAATGAAAAGTATCCACGTAACATACGCAAACGGTTTCCAATATACTGCAAGTGGTTGCTGGATCAATCACCATTTGTGCTTTTGCATTCTCCCTGTGGGGTGGTTCAGAAGTGTGAGGGCACAACACACACCAACTCTCTCTCTCCGCTGGTTCAAACCAGAAGGGCCAAAGTGCCGAGCCCCCCCCAGGCTGCCAAGGGAAGTTTTTCTCTCTCACAAAGTAGCGCCACAGTGCCGTGTGGAACTCATGGCCCTACTCGTGTTCTAAAGCTGCATCACCCCTGCATTAAAAACAAATACGCCAGACTGCCTGCAATGGGGCATCATCTCCTTGTACTTCCATGGGAGATTTCAGGTGAATGTTTATCCACAGCCTGCAATGTCGCAGGCCAAAGGCCATGGTGCGTGCGTGGTGCATGCGGTGCGTGCTGCATGCGGTGCGTGCGTGGTGCATGGTGCGTGCGTGGTGCACGCGTAGTGAATGCGTGGTGCGTGCGCAGTTCGCCGAGCGGACTGCTGTGGAGGTGCGGCACTGACATGGCGTGGTAGACTCCCTCCAGCAGCTGTACGAGGAACTCGGCGAGCAGAGGCACACGAGGGTGCGGCTCCTTCCAGTCTCGCTTCATCTTCTGCCGTGGGAATCCACTCACGCATGCCCTGCCAGGAGTTGCCACGTGTCACTCTCACAACGGCTGACGAAAAATCATTGTCGGCAGGGCAGACTCAAGACGGATAAGTGATTAACACTGCACTTAAGAGACCGTAAGCTGCACGGCAGCTGGAATACAGCAGAGGGTCATGGGTTAAAGAACTGAACAGGTCACGGGTTTTGGGGCTGAGGAGTGTGGAGACGCTGGTTTGACCGGCTAGGGTGTGGCTGCTCTTGTTGCCGCGGGACACCAATCCCTACACATTGTGGTTTTAATATGGTTAAAAAAATACATGACTTCACGAATGTGTATTCTTGGTAATGTGTGACTGGCTGAATACGTATACATGTAGAAACATATTTTTTCAATTCCTCTTTCAACTATATATTTTTGGAGATTTCACATTCCGACCCACAAATTAAATGATGATGCAGGAAATAAAGTGTTTTGTTTGTGCAGCAGGATGGCAGGGAAATACAATTCATGTGAGGTGACAGAGAGAGGCAACACAAGCGAGGTGACACAGGAGAGACTTAATAGCAGCAGTGAATCTACAAAGGCACCGAACGCTGCTCGATGTGTCCACTCGCTCAGACCTGGTCTCGGCTAGCCTCTGCAAGGCGTGCTCATGCTCGTGCTGGCCTCCCCTCGCTCAGCCGTGCTCTCACCTGGTGCACAGCTGGCACAGCGAGTGGTAGGATGACAGGGGCATGAAGACGATGTTGGAGTTGTAGTAGAGGAGCAGGGAAGTAAACACCTCAAACCTGTGCGGCCGTAGTGGGCGGCACGGAGAGGAATGAATTAGAATCATTTGTGCCATGCAGTTCGGTGGGATAGAATCCTGCTGCTTACAATCTCTAGTCTATTAGATACGGATGACAATGAGCTGCGGCAGGAGAGTAACACAGCGATAACACCACTTGTGTCTCACAGGAAGAAGCACCTGGGTTTGATTCCTGACTCGGAGTTTGTGCGTTCTCTATTCTGCATGGGTTTTCTGGTTGCATCCCATTTTTAGAAAAAATGTTAACTGCTATTGGCCAAACATCCCAATGCTTGAAAATGACCTTCAAATTACTCAATTGGGATTGCACAGCAGCAACATCGCCGCCCCCCACCGTGAACGTTTGGCAGGACCCTCCTGAAAAAGAGTCTTGAGACTCAGTGAGGCTTTGCTGGGTAAACAAGCATACATTTTTTTCAAGCACAAGATGACTACGGCTGCCCTCTTCACAGATCGGTACTCGTGTGTGGGAAGTCAACAACAGTCGCCATAATCAGGAACGATTAAATAAAATTAGCACCAACAGTGACATCGGGAAAAACGGTTGTCCGCTCCGGAGCGCAGCTGCTGTGCGGAGGCTCATCATTTACACGCCTGCCGTGCAGCACTGCGTTGAGGTGCCATACCCCAGCTTGCCAGCAGACAGAACTACAGCAAATACAGGTAGTCCTCTACTTACGATGGAGATGCGTTAGGACCCCATCGTAAGTAAAAAATATCGTAAGTCGAAGATGGTCTAGCCTACATAGAAGTCTTAAAGAATGGTGATAATTTAGCAAAACAGAGCAATTTACAGTACCGTACTGTATAAACAATATTCTGTATGTATTTATTAATTACAATACTGTATTGCACAGTAAAATGTAAAGTAAGAAAACCAGGGTCAATTCTTAGCCTACCTATATGAACTGCAATTTAATAGAAAGTTTTTTTCAGGAAACAATCCTATCTTCTATAAAAACTTTTAACCTACATTGAACGTATCGTGGTAACCTTAAAATTAAATCGCTAAAGCTACGTATCATACATGCATTGAACGTATCGTAATGTATCATATTGTACTGTACTCACCAAGATTCGTACGCTGCTGCATTTGCCTGCCGTACGAAATTTAAATATTTTACAATTTTGTCGTATCGCTATCGCCATCGTAAGATCGAAATATCGTAAGTCGAACCATCGTAACTCGGGGACTATCTGTAGTCTGTTCTATAACGCGTGTTTTCACAACGCAAATTTGACATAATGTGATTAATGATTAGGGAACACGTTTTTATAACACGGATGCGAATTGGATATAATGAGGTTTGAGCGAATGAAACTACGTCACGCGAGTAGGAACAAGCGGTTGTAGGGCTGCCTCGGCGTAGCATCACACAGGGTGGGATGCTGCTGGATGCTGCTACCTGCCTAGCTTCCTCGCGCCTCTGGACCGTGCGGTCTCTTCGAGGGCGAGCGAGCACTGTGAAGGTGAAATGATGGTGCCGCTCAGATAACCCTGAGCCGGCGGGGCTTGGTGCGGACCTGTTCTGGGCCGTGATGGACTCGCGCTGTGGGTAGGAGTCCGCGTACACGGCCTTGCCGGCGCCACGCTGGCTCAGACCTTCCTCCGTCAGCGCCAGGGAGCCAATGCTGCATGGCTGCGCACAGCAAAGGTTGGCGGGCGAGAATGACACGGCTCAGTCACGTGCACAGACAGGACAACGGGGCGGCGCTGTCATCACGTAGGGGTCTCCTGTCGCTCTCTGCACGGTCGTAGTCGATGCGTTCCAGGAGTGTGCTCCTAATCTCGTTACCTGTATAAAAGACACCTGGGAGCCAGAAATCTTTCTGATTGAGAGGGGGTCAAATACTTATTTTCCTCATTAAAATGCAAATCAATTTATAACATTTTTGACATGCGTTTTTCTGGATTTTGTTGTTATTCTGTCTCTCACTGTTCAAATAAACCTACCATTAAAATTATAGACTGATCATTTCTTTGTCAGTGGGCAAACGTACAAAATCAGCAGGGAATCAAATATTTTTTTCCCTCACTGTATAGCAACAATCGCCTGAAAACGTGGCAGGACCAATCCTGAAAAAAATCGTCTTGAGACTCGGTGAGGGTCTCCCAGGTAAACAAGCGGAACAAGAATAACAATACATTAAAAAAACTAGCAGGAATCCGCGAAACTTGGCCGATAAAACGATGGCGAATACGTATGCTTTATCATCACCACTTCCTTCCCTGCACCTCACCAGCATCGTGTAGCGTCATAGCCCGTCCTACCTCCTCACCACTCACGGCGTCTCTTGACGTCATCGCTCCCTCTGTCATGCACCTCACCCGTTGTCGGGTGATGTCATCACCCCCCCCTGCGTCTGGTGACGTCACGCCCTCTCCTCACCAACGCACCCTAATCCAGCGTGACGGCCTCACCCCTCAACTCCAACTCAGCAGTGATGCGTGACGTCATCGCCTCTTCCGACCCTTCAACGTCCCGTGACGTCATTACCCCCAACCCCACCCCCTCCCAACATCACCCCAATCTGGCGTGACGACGTCGCTGCTCCTCTCCCCAACAGCCCAGGGTCGCTGAGGTCATCAGCCCCTCCCCTATCAACCCCTCCACCTCAGCAGCGTGGCTAACCCCCACCCCCCACCCCCCACCTGTGTTACAGACAGACAGACAAACAAGCGCGTGACCTCGAACGCACAGGGCAGAGGGCAGAGGCTCCCGCTGTGCAGAGCCCTGCCGGAACGGAGTGGAGCTGACCTGACGCCCTGATTAACTATTATTTCACCTTACCTCGTGGTAAATGGACGACTTGGACAGAGAAGGCACGGTAAATGACAGAACTTTCGGCTTTCCTTCATCATCCACCGTCTCCTACAACAACAAAAGTACAGCGGTCCCGCGGTTAATGGTGACAACGTTTAACAGTTTTTCAGGTTAACGATTCGCCTCCCATAGTGACCCCATGGTTTCGCCTGACGTTGACATTCTGATTAACATTGTGTCTACGTTATGCACGCGGGAGACAATTTGGGCAATCCGAGCACTCGTAAGTTGAGCTGAACCATGTCCTCGGACAATCAGTGACGCCCATTTATGAGCGTTGAGACCCCGACTGCCTTTGTTTACATTACGTTTTCTGTTTCGGCAATGAAAATCGGCTCTCTCTTCGATTAACAGTTATTTCGCTTCGCAGTATTTTTCGTGGAACGGATTAAAAACGTTAACCGAGGTGACTACTGTACATATTTAGATGCGCTCATGTAGATTAACGAATGAATAAAAATGCAATACATGTCATTTATCGTAACAATTGTTAAATCCACTATTTTCAATGTACCTTATGTACGCACTTTTAGGTGTACATTGATAACTTCATGCCCATTCCGTCACAGCCAAGAACCAGTAAGCAAATTTTGAGATACACCTGAGAGCTAGTTTGCTCCAACTGATATTCGTAACACCTGTGCCTCACCGCAAGAAGGGCCTGGGTTTGATTCTCGACTTGGGTGCCTCTCTGTGAAGAGTTTGTATTCTCTACTCGTTCTGCATGGCTTCTTCCAGCTTCTCCATTTTTCTCTCATAGCTTTAAGAAATAGCAGGGCTATTGTTGCCTGAAACGTCAGCTTAAGTCGACTATCGTTGCTCCGACTACGCTCGTTTACCCAGGAGAGCCTCACTGAGTCTCAAGACTCTTTTTCAGGATGGACCTGCCAAGTTTTTCCAGTAGTGATGTTGCTGCTGCTGTGTTTAATCCCAAATGAGTCAATGGTAGGAATGTTGTCAGCATTGTGATGTTTTGGCCAATGCCAGTTCGATTGTGCGTTTTTGTTTTCATTTACTATGGAAGCAACCCGGGGAAAACCAGACAGAATAGCGCCCGAGTCGGGAATCGAACCCAAGCTCCCCTCTTGCCACTGCGCCACCCGCGCTGAACCAAGCGAGACAGCATGGCGAGGAGGGCGGCGGGCTGTGGGGTATCATCATCATCATCACCAGGTTGTAGATGCCCAGGAGCAGGGCCTCCACGCTCCCCTGGCTGGGCTTGTCCCTCCGGGCCACGGCCGACAGGTGGCGCCAGATGAGCTCCGGCACGAACTGCAACGCGAACCTGTGCAGGGCGGCCTCGCCGCTTCGGATGAACTCGAACAGCTGGTGGCAGATGGGCTCCAGCAGCTACGAGACACAGAGTCGTTCGTCAGAGAAATAATATTGCGCTGATGTGTTTATCCAGGAAGTCCGCACTTAGTCTCAAGACTCTTTTCAAATTGGCTCCTGCGTTTGGACCTTTGCCTAATGCCACTTCAGTTGTGTTGCGTCTGCAGATGATGCTCACGAGTCCATGCCAAAATTACAAGGAAACTATAAAAATCCAGACGGTGGTGAAATTTAATATTTCGTGGTGCCGGGTTGGGAGGGGGGGGTCTCTGGGTTCGTATTCTGGTAGTGTTTTAGACGCGAAGTGATTCACACGTCGTCTTGTACGCCAACCTAACCGGGTGACGTAAGGATTGGGGCCAACAGCAGCTTGCATTTTACCATGGGCATTGGTGGCAGCGTGCACACAGAGAGGAGATGCGTCGGCTTGGGCACGTGGCTGGACGTGGCTGCGGACGCTCACCTCTGTGCCCATGTCGCGCATGGCGCTGTACAGCGCTGGCACGACGCTCGCCTTCTCCTGCACCCTCTCGGCATATGCCACCACCGCCACCTCCGGCAGCCCCTACACAACACAAAATCCATCAGCACCCAGCCACAAAGACAAAGATGCCCTGCATAGACAAAACAGACTTTTGGGGCAAGTGCTGTTCGCAAGTAGCGCCTATGAAGGTCGGCATAGTACATGAAGGGGTGGATGGCCAGCACCACGCCTTTGTCTCCCCAGTGAAGATGTTTACACCTCGTACCAGGTACTAATTTGAGGCTGAGTCAACCTAGGGGAGGCCCAGGAGCTGTTCAGTTATTTGTCACTGGTGTTGGCCATGAGTGGGAAACGAACTCGAGTCACTGGGTTCGTAGCGCTACACTTCGAGCCACAACAACAACAACCGCCATTTACCACTAAGTGGCGGTGACATCACCACGACGCTTGTGCCAGGCTATGTGCACGTTGAGGCCACGTGAAGTGTCGAACGCCCACTGGCAGGAGGTCACGGGGCAGACCCAGGTGCCACTGGCCAACTGCCTGAGATGACTGGCTGATGCACCACATTGTGCCCCCTACTGTGCCAACTTTCTGTGCTTTAGCCACCCGGCGCTCCACTCGTTGTTGTGAGCGTCGCTCCTCTGCCCTCCAACTGCCCAGTAGCGTCTTTCACGAGTCTCCTCCACAGAGGCCGATCTTGACACCGCTGGTACCAGTCATCGGCAAGTCCACTCAGCTCCACAGCCTCCAGTACCACATCACTCCATTTCTTCTCGAGCCCATACCGCGCCTGTTTAGCCCCCTCTATCCGGCCGAACAAAAGCTGTTTAGACATGCGGTGGCTGGACATGCTCCTGGTCACGTAGTTTTACCCGTGCCCGCTCACCATCATGAAGGTCCTTAATGATCGTGAGCAGAGGGTCAGGGACTCCGAAAGCACGAAGAATAACCATCAACACTCAGCCACACACAAGCCCATCAGTCCTCTGAGACATATTAATTCCCAATGAAGAGATATTATACAATCGCGATTGTCTGTAATGGACACAAGTTAATAGAGTCAATTGAATGCTTCAACATTTTATGAAGCATTCAAGTCTGCAAATGAGACCTATCCCACCTGAAACAAAATAAACTTGACAGCTGAAGGAACCTCGCTCCATCATCATTATGCCCAGCTGAGTCGTTCACTACCAAGGAGTTAACGCGAGGATCTACAGAATTACATTTGAATGCTCAAGTTCACACGAAAAAGTAATTCTCCAAGATCTGTGCAGTGAGATAATGCAACTTGCTGAGCAACATATGCAGCCAGCTACGCTCAATCGCTCACTCGTTCGCTCACTCCTACTTCAGCGGTAAAAAAATCCCGAGGCAGGAGCCTGGCATGAAGTCACGCTTGTGACTATGGGACGAGAAGGGTCACGTCAAATCTTTTCTACTTTCAACACTGCAGTAGCTCACTTGACAGCGAACATGAATGTCGCGATTGTTATTTGCAATATTTATTGACGTTCGCTTAGTGTTGACATCAGTTGTATATTTGCGTATAAACATCGTATAATTGTGGCCACAACTATTGCGTGTTTATACGCATTCGTGGTGGTAGACTTGAGTTGTTTGTTAGGGTTCACGTATGTCCATGGAGCCGTAAAAAACACGTGTTTTTTCCCCATACTTTCCCCAACATCGTTGTTTGCTACACTGCATTTGAACGAGCAGAAATGTACGACTGATGCTTGCGTGTGCCGGTGTTTACAAAGGGCACGTAACGCAGAGAACAATTGCCTTTGGAGATGTTTTATTTTCTCCAGTTTAAACTACACAAATATTTACGAAAAGGAAGAACACGTGAGAAGGCATTTGCTGAGGAAGTCAAACAAGGCAAAGCCTCCAAAAGGACCCATTTCCTCTTCCCAGCTTGTGAGGTTTTGACATGTGGAATTCACCTGTGCTCAGCATTCCCAGCCCCTTGTTTAACCGGGGTGAGAACTCAAGAGACAAAGGGATCAGAGTCTCGTTTGCAGTGGTGACCTGCACACAAGTGGAGGCCTTGCATAACTTTCCCCTGCATGGGACCGGCCTGACATTCCAACGGCACCCACGCATCCAAATGCAGTGCAGCAACCAAAATGGTAGGAAAAGCATTGGGAACAAAACCACGTAATGACCCTGGCACTTAGTGGCGCCACGAACGTGCGTGAACTGGAGCAAACGTCACACACCAGTCCGGCACCCACGAATGCAATTTAAACACGCGACACAATGTGCCCAATTACACGACGTTTACACCACACAAATGTACAGCCTCCGATCACCTCCAGGTGGCGCTCACCCACAAGATGTTTTATTTTCCAAGCGATGAGGGGCAGCTCATCCCTGAAGTGGGATTTAAATGATGAGCTCAATCCCAACAGCACTTCTCCAGCACATGGGGACTGTGTCGAAGGAGTATGGTCCGGGGTGTTACGTTTTTGCCAAGGGGGCTTATGTCCGAGGCTCTCGCTCTCGCTCTTTCACACTGCCCACCTTGAACTCAGAGAGCCAGTTTTTCACCAGCGTCTTTTCCTTTTCTTCCATGGCCTGCACACAGCACACACGTACAGCCACATTACCCCAACAGCAGTGGCGGCAGCAGCGGTGGCAAACGCGGCGCCAGGCGGCGCTTCTACTTGGAACTCACGGCGGGTCGCTGTCCCCCGAATAATCTCTTAACTCTCTCAACCAGTTCTGTGGCATAGTCGAACTCAAGACGGAAATGTTCCGTAAAGCTTACAGAACGTAACCTTGTTTTGTTCCCTCCAACATTTAGAAACACGTGCTTCGATTATTTGGCTACGATACATTTCCACACGATAAGCCACTTCGTTGAGCTATCATTTGAAGCCAATAACTCAGTGGGCCTTACCTGGTATAATATAAATAGTTTCGTTTTGTTTGTGGTTTTTTGTGTGATTTGCTTACTTTTCCCATACTTTACAATGCTATCGTGTTTTGTATTGTTTTTTTGTTTGAACGTTCTGATCCGCCCCTACTGGACATCTTTTGAAAAGGAGCTTGAAAGCCCATCGGATTCCTCCAGTGAGAAATAAATCATCTGCTTCGGACTTCCTGACGGCCTCCACGCAGCAGTAGAATCCTGACGTGAAACCAGTCGGCGGCGGCCTAATCCAACGAGCACAGACGCCTGTATGGATCCACGTCACTGGAATTGGTGAAACGTCCCCATTGTGATGAAACATCGCCTGCGAGTTACTCATTTGGGACCACACAGCAGCAATATCGCCGCCCCCCCACCCCCTACCGCGAAAACTTGTCAGGACCCTCCAGAAAAAGAGTTGAGACTGAATGCGGATCTCCTGAGTAAACGAACGCAGTACTAATAGTAGACTATGGGGACGTTCATAAATTATGTCACGCACCTGGGGGGAGGGGGGGTCCGACATTTGTGACGATGTGTGACGATGGGGGGGGGGGGGGGGTTTGAGAAATGTGACGTCACGTAAAAATGCACAACTTTAAATGAATATATAATTGTTATAACAACACTAATTGTTATAACAACACTCCTACAACATCAGAGTGCAGCGCCACATTAAATACGTACTACAATGACAATAGTTTAAAGCGATTTGAAGCATGTTTTATTTCAAAATGGAACTTTGGTTTTGGGGGGGGGGGCAGAGCTTTGTGACGTCATATTTGAGGGGGGGTCTGACTTTTTGTGACGCCATGTGACGAGGGGGGGGGGGGGGGTCAAAAATCGTCCAAAATCGCGTGACGTCATTTATGGACGGCCCCTAAGCTGCCATTGCAGGCAACAGCCCCGCTTGAGACCAGACAAGCAGCTGGACAGAAATTTGACTTTGCAAGTTCCCGCACCTCCGATTAGCCACGGTTGGCAACATACGCTGTAAAAGAAGTTAAACATACATGCGTACAAAATACTGGGAATGTGAAGAGAGTTATGATGCACAGCTTACTATGATCACACATTGGATAGCAAATCTATTAGAAACGTTCAATGGCAACGTTTAATGCTTCCCCATCTCCGCACGCACGGAAGGTGCCCGAATGCGTTGGTGAGTCTGCACGCGCACAGGGAACTGGGCACAGCTGGCGGCCCTTGGCCAGCCGCACTGCGAATCCCGCAGAGCAGAGCAACTTGTGCAGCTGCCCTGCCTGGCACCTCGCTCACGCACGGAAAGGAGAGACCGGGAGAGGAAGCCATGCCCTGAAATACTTCGGATTGAAAGAAGCAACATGAAACCGTTCCCTTTTTTTATTTATATAAAGTGATCACATATAAGAAGAAGAAGCCATGAAAATTAAAAGCTTGCTTAAGTCACAAAATACGTTTCGATTTAAAGCTTTCGTGACTGCAGGGATTCATATTCTTGGTTCTTTCGGTAAAGTCACGTAAAAGGGAAATAATAATAATGAAGACGCTGTCTTTCCAACAGCTCTGTTCTTCACCTGAGGATGGCTGCGTACGTTGTGGCCGAAACGTCGTGAGAATGATAAAATGTTTTATTTTTATTTTCCTTCTACGTAATCACAAAATACGGCTTGGAAATCCATGCGCGGAACTCGTTGGGATGCCCCAGAGTCATCCGGTCACCGAGCCAGGCATGTGGCTTTGTGTTTCCCGGCAACGCCTCACCACCTGCGAGCGGCCCGGCAGAGCCACATGGCGGAGAAGGAGCGCTGCGGTCTCTCAGCTGCTCATGCAGCTGCACAGGACCAGCGGATGCGGCAGCCGCAGCAGCTCAGGAGAAGCGTGCAGCTCACTCTGCGTCACGAGGCTGCGCGAGGCGGGGGGGGTCGTGGTATTCCCAGCGCTGCTCGACTTAATGTGGCCGTAGCTGCGTCGCCTGTGGAGGACTGCCACAGTCCCCGGGACTCTGACCCGCATGAACGCACGGGGCTGGGCACATCGCCCCGTCTGCATTGTTATGGGACAACAATGAGCTCATCATGGCGCTGCACCGAACCGAGGCGGCGTTCCTCAAGCGGGCCCTCGATTGTGGCAACCATCGTAACCGCAGCGGTGCGTGCCACACGGCTAAGCGTACAGCATGGCACAAGCACTCCACGTGGCACGCTGCGCATCTCGCGATTGCTGCGAGGACGAGGTGAACGTGAATGCACGCAGCTCCACGTGGGTTCAGCACGGTTTGGTGTGAAGGACCTGGGAATACCGCACCACCGATTGGCACGCTTGGCTAAGTACGGTGCCAAAAGAAGTTCCACGTACACACGTACCAGGGAGGAATTAAGGCATCCCCACAATTGCACCGTCTAGACTCGAGCTGTACGGCCGTCATTTCAGATTCCCAAGACGTCATTCGAAATCGCCGATACGTTTAACAACACGGTGGTCGCTTCTACGCGACGCAGAGGCGGCGTTGCTACCACGGAGACGCGCTGCACAGCGCGCTGTTTCATCCGCGCCGCAAATTGGACCCTTTGCACACTCCATGATGTAATTTGCTAAAATTGGCCTATTTTCAAATTAGCCACAAATGTCATTAACCGCCCCCATGCGACAAACAGCGCTTTCTCGCGTCTCCAAGGTAAAGGCGTGAAGTTTCTCAACCGGCTCTTACCGGGTCAAGTTGCTCACGCATTACTCTCCGGGCTGGGTACTCCGAAGCTGAGCAAAGCCTTTCCAAATAACAAAAAACGTTCAACAAATCTCGAAAACAAGTCCTTAAAAGGTCTGCGCGCACATGAAGTCGACAGATAAGCGCACGGCAAGGCCGTGTATTTGAAGTGCTACCATGAACGTTACTTGAACAGCGTCTCACACACACACAAACACTTCACGAGCTCAAATTCAAAGTTGGGTCACGCGACCTCAACGTGATTACTGTACTTTGACAAGACGGTGGACTTCTCCGTGCCGGCGTGGCCAGACGAGGGCGGGTGGTTAGTCCTTGACACGCGTCCGCATGGAGCGTCCGTGCCGCGGAGGCTCTGCCTACAACTCGGCAAGCGAGCGGCACCGGGTGCATCGCACTCTCCGTGCAGCCAATTGGAGTGGGCAGCCTGCCTGCCTCCCTGCCTGGCTGCATGCTTGCGCGTGTTCTCAATTGCGCGCGTCCCAAAATAGACACCTCACCGCACGTTCTCCGTCAAGGGGGCGGCATGCTTGGCACGATCGAACGGGCCAGTGTCCGAAACACTCAACTGCGTGGAAAGCGTCTCTCGGTGCAATGTGGCAGCAAGTTGTGGCCTCTGTCTCGTCAGTTTGCTGTGCAAGGAGGAACTGCTCAAACGTTGTGGCCGGACAGGGTTGGGAGCGCGGTCATAACACTTGCCCCGCGGCAAATAGCACCTGGGTTCGATTCCTGAAAAGGGCACCATTTCTGCGTGGAGTCTGTCTGATCTCCCCTCTGCTACAGATTAAAACGTATATATAATGTAACTGGTATTGACCAAAGACATCAATGCTGAAAATGCACCTGCAAATTACTCAATTGGGATTACACACAGCAGAAATATTTCCCCCCCCACTGCAAAAAAAAACTTGCCAGGTCCCTCCTGAAAAAGAGTTTTGAGACTCACAGTAAACTTTTTATTTTCGTAAAGCTATGAGAGGCTTTCCTGGATACATGAGCGTAAGCAAAACAACAAGTAGGCATACTCAGCAGAGGCTGACAGGGAACGACCTCCTCTTTCCCTTGACGTCACCGTGACGCAAGTGTTCGGTGCAAGATTAAGCAGAGACGCCTTTTTAATTGCCTCTCGTTAGAGCCTGTAAACACGCACACCTCGCAGATGGGAACCCTCGCCAGGAGCCGAGTCTTCAGAACATCTGAGATAAGTACATAGAATAAAAATCTTACATTAAACTAAACTACTTTTTATTTTAACAAGTAAGGCCCACTGAGCTATACAGCTCTTTTTCAGGAGCGAACTGGTCACAAATGATAGCTCTACAAAGTGGCTTATCGCATGTAAATGTATTGCAGCCAAATACTCTAAACGCGTGATGTTGTTTCTAAACGTGGAGCGAAAAACCGGAGGACCCAGAAAAAAATCCACGCGGCCACGGGGAGAACAATATAAACTCCAAATATTACAGGCTGTCATGGTCGAGATCAAACCCTCGACCTCCTGTATACCAGGCGATGTAGTTAACCTTGATTTGAAGCTTTCGTGGCTGCAGGAATCCATACTCTTTGGTTCTTTCGGTAAAGTCACGTAGGTAGAAAATAAAATTAATCTCTTTTTGGAAAAAAGAAAGCACTCTTTGGAAGAACATAATCAACCAGGTAGGGTGTTGACTGTTATGTTAGCCGACTCTCTGTGTTATATTGCATTATATTTCTAAGCTTACTAGGTTTGATTTGTCTCATTCATTTGTTACTGATGATGATTGCTTGTGTTGCAATCGAAGCGTCGTATTCTATTATTTAATTGATTCTCTTTCTACGTGACTTTACCGAAGGAACCAAAAAGTAATTCCTGCAGTCACGAAAGCTCCAAAGCGAGTACGAGGTAGTTGACATCTGTCTGCCGGAGGTGGGCGGAGGGTTTCCAACGACTTCAAAACAGAACTGGCACACTTCCTTACA